CAATCAGTGGTGAATACACAGGTACCTTTGTAGACTACATTTTGATGTACAGTGTCAACACGCCTCGACTGACACCCGCCCCATCACCCCTCATATTCTGTCTACCCATACGAACATGGTAACCATCACATCCGAATCCATCAAGAGGGTGCTCAACCAAGAGTTCGGGACCTCGATCGATGGTTCCCAATGGAAGCGCAAAATTAGATCAGATGGTACCAAATCGAAATGGACCCCAGTCTCGACCGAGCTGAACCGTGAGGAATCACAGCCCCTGCTCCTCATGCTTGTGATATTGAACCAGGCTGAAGGAGAGCCAACACACTGGTCTCTATTTGTCGCGGCAGAAGGTCAACCGGGTTCCGTCTATCAAGTCACCGGCGACGCTACCCAAATGCACTACGCATTTGAAGAAAAGGGCAACATTGTCACTTCTGAGAGTTACAACCGTTCGTATGTCGTTGCTCAACTGGGAGAAGATGGTGAGGACCTGGTGAGGTCGTGCGCCGAGAACGAACCTCCCCCGCATGCTGTGAACCGCGCCTCGGTCAAGGAGAACTGCCAGGGCTGGACGGTCCGAGTTATGGAGCGCCTTCAAGAGGCTGGTATCGTTGCAGAGTCATGGGTCACGTTGGCGAGAGGCATGTTAGAACCGGTCTAGCAAGGAAATAAAGTTGTGGCGTTGGTCTGGCGTAGATTGTCAGGACGCGTGGGACGCCCAAACCAGCGGAATCCCAATATTGCCCGGGGCCGTTCACTATAGACCCACCTGCCGGGGAGGTCTTTTTTTTCTGATGTTTAATTCGTACTCCAGACAACTGGCATCAGGAATGCCGAGATTATCTTCCCAAACATTCGTTTCTCGGTCTTTTCAGAATGTGGAGGGACACCATCGGTGAACTGATCTATACTTGGGATGTCAAAGAGTCTAGAATGCCCCCATCTCCATGTTTCGATTTAGCATCAACGAGTTTATGACCCCGGAATTAGCATGTTGCTAAGACCTTCGTCGATGCCATCAAGTGTTACTTTAGGGTCGCATTAGCCAATGCGGAAGGTTGGAAGTCGACACCACAGTACTTCGTAATATTACCCTGCCTACTATGTACCACGCAGGGATCACAGTGTGTGGTTCAACCTTCCAGCGACGAACATCCGGTTCAGCCTCACTAGGATTATTGGCCGTGCAAGGTTGATGCTTACGTTGAGCTTTCAAAGAAATTTAAGTCTTGCACCAACGTTTCGTTCCAGAACTCTATCGGCCATGGCAATGGGAAGCTTCCCCTCCTACGATAAGATCTGATGAATGGATTACGAAGGACTTCCCCTTCTCACGAAGTCCCTTCGCCTTGTCGCGGGGTTTAGCTTGGCATACCGACGTCTAAAAGAATCAATGATGGGCGGCCTCCATTCGAAGCAGTAGGTCCATGCCATTCTAGGACTAACTTAGGCGAAACGGCGTTCCCACTCGTGGCGTTGTGCTTCGAGACCGGCACGCAGATGCCGCTGAATTGCCTGGTGATGTCTTAATGTTGATAATGTTGATGTATAGATCTCTGAGTTCCAACCCGAATGTTGATGTATAGATCTCTGAGTTCCAACCCGATCGACGCTAACGGGAGGCAAAATTCTGATCGATACTTTGTCCTTGGCACAGTCCTTACAAGAGGTTCAGCTTTAGTCAGCGATAACACCGAATTAGGACTGTAATATTCGAATATTCGAATGTAACATTTTTGTGATCCCGATCTTCTGTCTGAGCGAGTCCCGAGACAAGACACTTCTACCACAGAGACAGTAGTTAATAAACAGATCGAATACAGTCTAACTCACGGGGCATTCCTTGGAAACACCGAGACCATTGTGTGCACGTATTCCTCTTAGGCTCAGGATCCTGTTGATGTGGTCATTGTGTGAATGCCGCCGAAGGACGCTGGGGACTTCCGTCATTCTTGACCGGACTTCTAGGCGATCCCCTGAATCTCTATTATGCGTGCTCCCTCAACTGTACTGGATACTTTGTGTACCATTTACTCCCCAGCATCACCTTTATGGGGAGGAGTACCTCAGTAGCGGCTGGCCCCTGCAGTCGTAAGCTCTCCTCAATCACGCTCAGCATGCTACCCAGCTCCACACTGAGTTTTAGTGCTAGTTATGGATGAGGGGAAGAGTCCATGACTTCGTTGGGTGTATTACAGGAGGTACATTCTGTAAGGCCAGATATTGAAGGAAGTCGATGTACCTCATGGCGCACCCCGGCATTCATTGCTGCAACCGAATCTCTTGCGATCTCAGGAAATCAAAATATCAATGAATGGGAAGCTCCACAGTGGATCTCACATTCAAACACGATTAGAGCCAGCCATCACAATTGAATGATCAATGTACACGCCTTCGTAATTACCGCGTTCGCATACCTACCTCGTACCTCGATGGTGAGCGAGGCCCCGAACTTTGAACGCTCAACTACTTCGTACTTCGTAGAAATTGACAGGCATCACTCTTATCACCGGCGCTGCTGATCGGTGGTCACCAACAGGCTTGAGCTTGGTGGTGGTGAGACGGAGGCCAAAATTCTTTGAGCAAATGGTAGTGACTGCGTAAGATATTTGTCAACCCGGTACACTCCACCGTCCCCGAAACTCTGGAGTCAGCACTGAAGGCTACCACCCGTCTGCCACCAGAGGTAGCTACTAGCTAGGAAAAAGGCCGAGCATGACAGAAAGGCAAGGCTGGCACTGCGTATTCACCACGGTTCCAAGGGTGTGTGGTAATGTTCCTACATCTATTACGTCTACATACACTATTACCTCAGATGTTTGTAATGTCGGAGAACAAAAACGTAACGATCGAGTCGTTTCTAATGCTGCAAGGATCGCTTGACCCTTCCTTGCCTCAACGTCAGATGGGGGCTAGGCGACTTATCCCCGTTGGCTCCAAGTTAATTGTTCGGGTATTTCTTCCCACCGCTCCCTGAACAACACATGCATCTTTCTTCTACTATTGGCGATAGAACTGCACTAATAGCTTATAGAACCGGAGTACTTACCTCATAATGTGGTGTAGTTTACTTCGTACCTGTGTAGAATACTTCAAGTTGGATGTGCACCCCACTGTAATATTAGCGGCTCCCGAAAAAGCAATATTCAGCATCCGAGCTTGACTCGTTCTTCGACAAGTCGTAGCGAAGCGTTGCCTAGTGTCTTGGTAGTGGAGGGGTTCTTGATACTAAGCAGTGATGTTCTTTCTCTCGAACGCCGACCGCAGACGCCACATTTTCTGCTTAAAAGAGTACCTTGTTCATGGAAACCTGCAGGCTAAAGCCGAAACTTCCTTTGGGATCTAGACTCCTCAAGCTCTTCCGCCGCCCCTCATGTCACAGCTCTCCTGAGCCTGTTTGGCCTCCCCCGTTTCCTTGCTCTGTTCTACTTGGTAAGGAAACTTAACTCTGTGAAGTACACGGGAGAGAGTAGGACGGTACCTCACGGGAGGACAGAGAAGAGTACGACTCCCGAGTACCACCCATGCTCTCCGTGCTTCCTTCTTCAGCTGTTCTCGTCTCCTCCATCACACCTTCCCTCGCGAACTTGGGATCCGGTTCTCTCCACCCGCCCCCGCCTTCTGAACCTCGTTGCTACTTCTAAATTCGACCTTCATTCAACAAAGTATTATTACACTTTCCGACTTGAGCTTGCTTGTATACATCGACCAGGCCAACTTTCTCCTATTCACTCCGACACTCGCCGCCTTTTCAAGCTTGTCTTGCTCTCTTGCTTGCATCCCCACGAACGCCGGCACCCAGTCGCAATCAAGCAATCAAGCAAGCAAGCACGCACCCCATCTTAGCACCCGCCACTGCAACTGACCTTGACTCCTCCAATGTACGAAGTACACTCCAGACACTACCCGAACCGGACGCTAATCGGTTTAAGAACAGAGGCAGCATTAGCATCGAGATCCTCCCGTACCCTGACCCAGACCCAGACCCAGACACAGACACGTACTGGTACCCGCTGCCATTTGATCGCCCTTGCCCATTCCCCATTCCCTGTTCCCCATTCTCCATTGATCCATTTCCTTCCTTCCCCCTTCTTTGTCCCCTTCCAAGTCCCTTCCCCTTCCCCAGCGAGCGCGGGCGATTGCGCACACACCCCCTCAGTTCTCAGTTGCACCCTCAGAACACCCTCATCCCGTAAATTCAACCGTCTCGACATTGGGAATTTAAGGAATTGTACTTGTATCCTACTCTTAATCCCCGTCCTCATTCGCCGGAACTTTCCACCTCCTCTCGTCCACCCCCGTCGAGCCGGATTAATTTTTTTCTTTTTTTTTTTTTGGCCTGCGTCTTCCAGGTCCAATCTACCTACGCTACTTGCATCAATACTCGTTCCGACTCTCCCTCTTCCTTGCGCGCGCCAAAAAGACCGAAAGAAAGGTGCCACCTTGCCCGCGTAGAAGGCTAATCCGCCGTCCTAATTCACTCGACAAACCTTGCCAACCTTAAACTGGGGAAACTCTATGTCGGCTACTCCGTTATCGAATAGGTGATAGAAGGATTGAACAACTTTCACCCCACGATCTGGGAGAGCCCGGAACGAACTCGACAACGGGACCCCTTTCCGCCCCATACACACGCCGCCTTCTCTCCCTAAGCTTAATCCCCGAAAGGAAAAACGAGATCAAAGTTTCCTTGCGAGTTTGAGAAGAGAAGCCATGAGGTAAAACCGACACTAATGCGCCCCTTGTTCCCCCTTGTCCCTGGTCTCCCATCGTCCCGTTCCATAAATCAGATCGTCTCCCCGTGCACTTGACCCGTCCACCAAACTCCTCCAGCCTGTGTATCCCTTACGCATACTCTCCCTCTCTTCCGAGCACGAGCACCGAGGACTACGGAATAGGGGGCCAGGACCTACCCATTACGAGTGACGCCGATTCGAGCGACCATGGCGATGAGGGCCATTTCTAGACCCTTTGCTAACAACCATTATCCCACAGCACAAATGGCTGCCGTTGCTGAAACTCCCCAACGACCTGCCACCCTCGCAGATTGCTCCGACGACCACATCACAAGTCGAATCGTTCCTATCCCGACTCCCAAGATCCAGATGACGGCCCCTTCACCCGGAGAGCCGATGGAAATCAGCTCTCCAACCAAGCCTTTTGCCAAGATGGCCTCCAGCGCCGGCGCCAGCCCGACCTCCAGCGGCCCCGTCGCCCACAACGGTATCGTGAACGCGAACGCCAGCGCCCACGCCCGTTCTACGAGCGCAGACGATGCGAACGCCAATGCCAACGGTGCCGCGCCGACATCCACGCCGACCTCCAGCGAGAAGAAGCCCATCCCATCGGCCGACCAATCTGCGCTATCCAATCCCTCTTCGATGCCCGCGCCCCCTGCTGCCGCCGCGGCCGCCGTACATCAGCCAAAGATTGTCCAGACGGCATTCATACACAAGTTGTATAAGTGAGTGGCCAACCGCTTCTGCACTGGCCCTGAGGATGACATCGACATATCTCATATGGGACTTGGGAGGGCTAACAAGTAAATCGCAGTATGCTTGAGGATCAAAGCATCCAGCACCTGATCTCATGGTCACCCAGCGCCGAAAGCTTCGTTATGTCTCCGACAGCAGATTTCTCAAAAGTCTTGGCGTATGATGTCCTCACACCTCCCGACTTCCTCGCCGCGCAATGACTTGTTCAATCACTCACTTGGGCAATGTAGGCAATACTTCAAACATACTAATATCTCCTCGTTTGTTCGTCAATTGAACATGTACGGGTTCCATAAAGGTAAGGCATATGCGGCCCACCCCTCTCCTCTTCTTCCTTCTTCGCCTTGAACGACCATGGACGAAGGCTCATTGATGACGTAGTGAGCGATGTCTTTCATACTGGCAACCCCGAGACCGCCCTCTGGGAATTTAAGCATGGCAACGGCAACTTCAAGCGAGGTGACTTGGTTGGTCTGCGAGAGATTAAGCGACGCGCATCGAAGCACGCTCTCGTTCATCGCGAATTCAATAGCCAGAAGCCCAGTCCCTTGCAGCCAGGTGCTCCCGCCGAACCTATGCCAATGACACCGGATGGCAACGACCCGAGGCTCGTTGGAATGGAACACAGCCTCTACGATATGGGAATCAGGTTGCAGAGGAGCGAGGAGCAGGTAAATGCCATGCACATGAAGCATCAGGCTGTCAGTGAAGTGCTAGGCAAGGTGATGCAGCTCAACCAAGAACTGTCAAGGGCTCTCCTTGCGCTTGTGCCCAGCCCTGACCACCCTGTTCACCGAGATGGTATGCGACTTTATCCTAATTCCTAGGCTGTTGTCTTTTCTGCTTGTAATACGTCTACATACTACTAGAGAAGGGTGCGCTAACGTGTGTGTCTTTAGTTGTTGCCCTCCAAGGTGAATTTCAGAGACAATCCGATGTGCTGCGGGCTATCGACGAACCTCACGAGCACTTCCCAAACAGCCGACAACAGTATTTCTCCAATATCGAAAATGCGCCAATTTCGCCGCGCCAACTGGCCCAAGATGATCCGCGACGAAGCACCCTTGCCGTCCCCCATCGCAATAATTTCTATCGCCCGCCTGTCTCCTCTAATCTGTCCGTCAGCGTCACACCCCGCCGTGCCTTCGGTTCATTTAGTTCAAGTACTGCTCAGACATCACCCAGCTCTCTCCGTGGGCCACCTCCTCCGCCACCGGCGCCCCACCCCCTCTCGAACGTTGAGCCTGCTCCAAGCCACCTGACCCGACGACACACCTCCGCTGACATTCGGGCCCACGGCTGGCAGGGCCAGCCTAACCACAGCCCCTACCCCGCCGCGCCAGGTGGACCTCCTCCACCACCAGTTGGCCAATGGCCTCCTTCGCCGAACCGTCTCGCGCCTGAGGACCAGCGTATCCGAGAGTCATTCTCGAACTACTCTCTTTCTGCGGCGTCCCAACAGCCCCGTCCACATTCACGACCAACTACGCCGCCGCCTCCATTTGCCAACGGTATATCTGGATCAGACACCTTTGGAAGCTGGTCCTTCAACTCAGCGGGCGGTCGTGAGAACAAGAACCTGGCGGTCAGGGATAGCTCCGGACCCCCTACGCGGCGTGGGAGCATGGCTCATATTCTCAACCCGGCGGATACGGCCGAGAGGGAAGACGAAGACGAGGATCCACGAGGAGACGATGACCGGAAAAGGAAGCGCATGCAGTAAGAGGGATGAAAGCTTTGGAATAGCTCTATTCCACACAATAGACCGAGGATGTTGTCGCACTTCGGCGTAACCTCAGCGCCAGGTTCAATCCTTGGCGTCGACTCCATCTTACAGCCCGGCGCGGAGGAAAAACAGAACCAATTGACGACACAACGATCTCTCCATTAACCCTCCCGGGACTCGGCTCCTGGCTTTTTGTATATTCAAACTCTCGAAACGACAGGCGGGCTGATATCGAGCACGCGACATACTTCTACGTACAACTAAGTCGCACTAATATCGTGGTCTTCATTAGACCTCATTCTAACAGGGAAAAAAAGACTTTGCCCTTTGTTACAACGTTCACAGGCGGACATGGCCGGCTCAGCTCGAAAACTCGAAACTCGAAGCGACAGGCTTGTCTAGTATTCAGGATCCAGCATTCGTTCATTTGGATATCAACGGCCGAAAAGATGTTTTCTACGTGTATTTTACTTTCCAATATCCTTCTCCTCAGCATGAGAGGAGACTTTGTTTCAACATCAACTTCAACGTGGGGTATATAATGGATTAGGTGGTAGGCCTGTTTTGGGTCCCTTCGCCAACAGCTTTGGATCCTTCTTCTTTTGACTTTTTCCCTTATCTTTGGTTTTTTTTCGGAGTCGCGATGGAGAAAAAGGAGACTTCTCCCATTTTCATTGCTTTTGCCCTTTTCTTTCATTTTCCTTTTATTTTTGGCTACGGTGACATGGCGGCGAGATTCTCGGCGGGCGGCGGCATGGATGACTCTTATGAGGACACGCATGGAGACAGCGGTGGGCTTCTTTTGGAGCGCGTCATTGCATCGGTTATAGGGAAATGGGAATGGCGGTGGGGAACATGTCAGAGGCTTTTTGTTATTTACTGGTTGTGATGTATTCAGAGATGTGGTAGTAATTTTGGTGGTATTTTCTGTTTCTGGCAGTCGGATCTAGGGTGGGCAGAGCTGATAATGAGGCTCTGTTCCTCTACAGCTACTCATAAAAAAAAAGAAAGGACTTCAGTCACCTGCGCGCAACCAAGGAGGCCACGGGTGACTCGTCTCTATATTGCAGAAATAGAATCAAATGGGTATGTCGTGATGCTAACGCCGTTCGAACTCCTCCATATGCCTGACTAATTTGTACTATCCACATATTTCCATATCTAGTACGTTCCCTGGTGTTTCGGCATCTTCCTCCGTTTTCTTTTTCTTTGGCTTCTTCTTCTTCTTCTTTTTCTTTTTGCGCGCCGGTTCGCTGGGGTTCGTATCTAAGCCTTCCGGGGATTTATTTGGCACAACAGACGACTTTGTAATGCTCTCAGGCGTGTCCTCGTTCTCGCACCCATTCTCATCTTCCCCGTCTAAACCCGCTTGCTCCTTTGCAGCTGCCGCGGCAGCAGCCGCAGCCGCAACAAGTGGGTGCTCTTTAGGTTTCCCGACCACTGCAGGCCCATTCCTCCTCGCCTTCTTGTTCCTCCCTAGACCACTTCTGCCCTCGTCCTCATCATCACTTTCCGCCGGTGCCTCCGGTTTCCGATTCCCATATTTTCCATTCGACTTATCTTCTCTTTGCCGCTTCCCCAGCAACTTCCTCTTCAGCGCAAGATCCTCCCTCGCCGCATTTGCTTTCTGCTGCGCGGCAGCATCCCGCCCGGCGCCGATCCCGACGTTCGGTTCTAGCGCCGTGAAGTCGTCTTCGTCTTCTAGTCTCCTCCGCTGGGATTCCTGAGGCTGATTCTTCTGGCCTCCCGACGCGAGAGAGGAGAAGGCCGCTGGGGTTTTCGTAGCGGATGAGGTCGTGGGTTGCGGGAGGGAGGCGCCGAAGAGGGATTGCGCTTTTGATTGTTTCGTTGCGAGGAGGAGGGAGATGCGGTTGCGGAGGTCGAGGGGGCAGGGGGTTATCGTTTGGGGGGGAGGGTTGGAGGGGGCCATTTTTTTTGGTGGTGGTGGTGGCGCGGAAACCACCCTCTTCGGATTCCCCTTTTTGCGACGAGTCGGGGGTGTTTGTGTGGTGTGTCTGGGAGGTTGCTTTTGTTGGGCAAGATCGAGATCGTCTTTGGCAGATCTCAGATGGTCGAAGCCAAGTAGGAAAAAAGAAAAAGAATTCCCCGCGGATTTTCATTGATAAGAAGCTCTTATCGGAAGTGTGGCGGACAGGTTCTGACAGCTGGCAGGCTATGTGTCGATCTTTCATGCCTTTCGGGAGCTTAAAGCCTTAAACACACTTCTTGGCGGGAACTCCTCCCTTGATCAATTGATGCTTGGCGCAGAGGTCCAAGCAATCCGCGCCGCCTCCTGGTAATGATCTGACCCTGACATCAAATCCTTCGGATACTTTTGAGAACCCACAAACGTCGGTGTCCAGGCAATGTGCAGGATGGACATGCAGGTTGATTGCCTCAGATGACTGGGGTGGGTTTCACCTGTTATGGGAAGAGATGGCAGATCGCAATAGAGCCAGGAACCGAAGGCCGGGACGGGGGCCTGATGGCTTGGGACTTAATTTCACGGCTTCCATGGACTCGGACAACCAACAGCAGCACCAACGCAAGGTTGCATCAAAGGAATCCCAAACTGGGGAGGCCTGGACTGCGAGACTCTGGAGGATGGGTGTAAAGGGGGGAGGAGGGGGGACAGAGAGCTTCAACAGCGCAGCTTTCACAGTCAGCAGCTAGCTCATCTTCTTGTTTTTGCGTGTCTCACTGTCTAGATCGATGGAGATAAATGCCCCTCTTCGATGAATTACATACCTTTCTGAGTCTTCACGATGAGGAGGATAGCCGTCTTGCTTGCGCTCCTATGCTCCGACACGACATACGCGCAAGTTCATCTAAACTACTCGACTCTGTTTCCCTTCGATCCCGTGGCAGCGGAAACCCTCGGTGACGACCTCCTTCACTACATGGTGCCTGTGAGACTTGGAACCCCGCCGTTATTGAGATATCTTGTCCCAGCTGTAGGAAACCCAGCGACAAAAGTCATAGTGAGGGATGCGTGCGTGGAATTCGAGGAACCTGCCGTTTGTCAATGGGGATCGTGTAAGTGACTGTGTCGTCTCTTGTCCTTATCGTCTTAACCGGATGCCCAATTCGACCGGGGCAACGCTTGGAGCAAAAACAGGAGATTGACTAACACCGGGAGGTTCCTAGACAACGACTCAGCATCATCAACGAGCAACACAGATGGGATCGACAGCGAAGACCATGCCTTCCATGACGTGCTTCAGATAGGGAATATAGAGCTGGCCGCGGCGGACCTGACAATATTTTATGATCCCGCCGGGAGACTCGTCACCCAGCCTGGCACCTTGGGACTCGGCAGGGGAATATCTAGCGAGTCGCCGCGGAGTGTACCAGAGGCAATGACTGAGAAAAAGCTCATCACCTCTCCGGCTTATAGTATCTGGGCTGATAACAGTGGTAAGTTGTGCTATTAACAAATAAAACCGTGACTTGCCCTGAGTAACTGATTGGAATCCCCCCTTGGTCCGCCTCCCTCTCGCAGATGGTACATCCGGGCACATTCTCTTTGGAGCTGTCGACTCGTCTAAATTTAGCGGGAAGCTTTCAAGACTGGCGCAGCCGCCCCTCGACGACGACTGGGGCAACATCGTCCTCCCGGCCGATCTCGTTTCTTTCAGACCCAGTGTCAACGACGAGCCCCTGACAAACGGCACCGGTCGCATAGCTATCGATCCCTTTGAGCCCTTCTCCTGGCTGCCCAACAAAATCGTCGAACCCATCCAATCGTACCTGGGAGGCGCCGTTAACCTTAGCCGACAAGGACGGCCCCGAATAATGGTACCCTGCGCGACGGCGCGTCAATCCTCCGCTAGACTAACTATCCGCTTAGGCGGGGACCCCGGCGTCGTGGAGATTCAGCTCGCCGGCGCGGATCTCATCATTCCCGAGGCCGTCTGGTCCGAGACGGGATACAGTGCCGAGGCAGGGCGCGAAGTACCTTGGTGCTTGCTCGGGCTGCAGGATTGGGAAAACGAGAGCTCTACTGAATGGTTGTTCGAGGCAAGACCGCCCTTCGGCATCAATCTCGGCGCATCCGTGCTGAGGAACATGTACATGGTTTTTGACACCGTGAATAAGGAGATTTCCTTTGCGCCGCTGAAGTTCTCTGGGGACATGGAACCTGACGAATCGGCCACCATTATCTTCGAGTCCAATGGATCCAAGGCTCCATTATCGGTGCCAGCTCCTGAACTGGCCAGCAGTGACACTAGTGATCCTGGGAGTTCCGGCAGCTCGGGCTCCAAGCGCGCACTCGCTATCGGGGCGATAGCGGGAATAGCTGTTGGTTCTGTCCTCGGCGCCGGCCTGCTTATCGCCGCCATCTTGTTCTTCCTTCGGAAGAGGAAAAAGGTCAACTACGATGCCGTCGCTGAAGCCGAACTCCCTGGCGACCTGCCCTCCAATTCTCCAGAGATGCTCGGCGTCTCAGCGACGGCTGAAAAAACGGGAGGGAATATCGGATGGTGGCGGAGGGGTAAAAGGAATCTTGGCAGGTCACCCGCCACTAAACTCTCGCCAGTTGCCGAGGAGCAGACCGTCTCGACCCCGACGCCCACCCCCGCCGAGTTGGAAATGGCCTTAGCTCTGTCTGCGAAAGGACACCTACACGACCACTCCGGAGCTAGTCCCGTGGAACTGGGGAGCCCTGGTGTGCCTAGCCCTGTGGAATTGGAGGCCGCCGACGTGGTTGTTAGACCCGTCGAGCTGGAAACGCCTGGTGGTGTGGTGAGGCCGGCTGAACTGGATACGTCCCCCGTGATTAGGCGCAAACCCGTGAGTCAGAGCATGATACCGCGGTCGGTGGCGGAGGGGTTACCCACGCAAAGTGGGCCAGTGGGAGAAGTAAAACCCTCTGCGGACACGGGGCAAGTAGTGCAGCCTCCTGCTGAGACGGTAAAAGAAGTCGAGCCCGCCGTTGAAATAGCAAAGGAGGCTAGGACTGTGGAGGAAGCAAGGCCGGCCTTGGTAGAGAAGCCGAAAAAGACTCCCTCTCCGTTTGATCCACAGGCATGGAGGAAGAGGATATATAGATGAGGCAGAGCAAGGCGGAAGGGGCGTGGTGCTTCAAGGGTGGTTTAGTCTATACCCTATTTTAGAACAATACCCATATCAAGGATTTTCAGTTGTAGATTCGAGATGTGAGGGCCTCCTCAGACAAAGCACACGTAGGACAAGTAGACATGCTGTCGAAACTAAGAATTATGTATTATCTATATGCCCCAAAAAGAAAAGAAAAAGAGAAGAAAGAAACAAACTTTTGTTGGTCGGGGTATCTCTTCGCCCTCAGCTGCATCCGCCTCTCTTACACAATGCCCCTATCCACGGGCCCTTTTCCAAGTCGTCATCCTCGTGCCATTCATGAAAAGTATCGTACAAGTTTACATAGAAAGGAAAGGAAAGCTACACGAGAGCACTCAACCACTACCTTCGGCATCCTCAAACCGCACAACGGATCCCGTCCCTGAAACTCCGGAGCGTACGCTCCCGGTACCACTGTGGGGATAGGGTAGCCTTGTCTGCGCGAACGAATCCAAGCTAGAAACGAGAGAGGCGGCCCTAGAGGCGGAGTCAGAGTCGGGCCACATGCTTTTTGGTGTGGTAGGCGCCGTACGGAATGCAGCATCTCCGGTTGCCACGGATGGCGTCCTCGCGAGGGTCCGCCGAGGGATGGTGACTCTGGAGGACCCGCTGCTGCTAGACGTCTGCGGTCGCAAGGAGGCATCACTAGAGCTGTAGCTGCCGCTCGAAGTGAAATAGCTGCTGGAGGACGAATCGTCGAGATGATCGGGGTTCAGAGGTCTCATAGACCTTAGGACCTCAGCGAAGAGGTGCATTAGGTGCCGGAAGTCGGCGTTTGATATGGGCCGGGTTGAGAACCGGGCGGCCTCGTAGCACGTGAGAAACTCCGATACTGTCGGAGTGAACTTGAGGACGCGCAGGCTGGATAGATGGCCCACGTAGTCACGAAGGCTCATACTAAGGGGTCGGTGTAGAAGTGCGACGACATCAGGGTCGAGCATTGGTGGGTTCCCCTCAGCTACGTCCGGTTCTGTCTGGGGCATTGGCGGGGCGAGGGTAAGCGCCTTCGCCTCGATGAGATTAGGAAATTCCAAAAAGACGGTGCTATACTGGATATCCGCGAGGTCAGGCGATATGGGCGACCCCCATCCTAGCTGTTCAACCTCGTTCGAAACAGGCTCGTGGGGGGGAAGTACGACCCTAGTATCCTCCTCCTCCTCGACCGTCGCGGACCTCCTCAGTCTGAAAAAATATCTCGAGGTGCTGCGCTTCTCAATATCCCCGTCTTGACTGATCCTAGTATCCGTACCGCGGGATTCATCCGTAACCGCGGCTTCGAGAGGAGGTTGTCGAATTCGAGGTCGAGCATCGTACGCAACGGCCGCACTCCTGTCAAGCCCATACTTGATAAGTCGGTGCACCACCGGGTGCAAGTCCCCCTTTTCGATCGGTATCCACTGCTTCGGGATCGACGCGAGGGCCGTCTTATTTATGTACAGCCTCGTCGCGTAGATGAAGGATACGATGAGGAGCGTCATTAGGTAGCACACCGCCACTATCCATATGTTGTAGATCTGGTTGTTTCGCCATGCGCGGTAGATGACGTCGCAGGGCGTGACGACGAGGAGCGCGACCAGGAGGACGTAGAAGACGGTATAGAACGCATTGTATATGAAGCGGAAGACGGTGTGGGCGGAAACCATCGTGGCTGAAGACGGGCGGCGGAATCGTAGAGGAGGCGGTGGAGGGATTGAATCCCGCCGGCAGAGCAGGGGGGATGGCGAGCTTGGAGACCTCTTAGCAGAGGTCGGGCTCGACAGGTATCTGCAGGCGCGTCGGCAGCGGTATTGGCAGCAATCGAGGGTTCATGGCTAGATATTATGGGCTATTCATGGGAAGAATAAGTCATCGATTCATACTGAGGTCCTCGAAGCCGGTTGGAGCGATACGAAACCCAACCACGGGATTTGGTCTCGTTGGGGGTGCATGGTGCAGACGACAAGGTGATGGCATTCGTTCTTTCGGGAAAAGGAAATTAAGCTCCCACGTCACGACCCGGATAATTTCATAGCCCCGCTAGATAAATACCTATCGAAAGAGCCAAGCAACTAACACCAGGACAGAGGTCAAGACAACATCATCGAATCATTTTTTTTTCCATCTTTATCCATTCATATCTTTGCCATGTTACACATAAAACCGCCATCGTTACGATAATTGCAACCTTTTTGGTACTGTACATATTATTTCGCTCAGTGATTAGGCACTGCGAGATGGACATTTCATCGCCGCCTAATCTCAGCCATATCGGGTTCCCTCGCATCATCCGCGCTCTCCGTCACACCTGCCGCCTCTTTCGCAAGGCGTAGATCAGTTAAGGTTAATCGTAGATCATTTCTAAAGGGCTCAAAAGAAGTGATGAGCTTGCCAAGCGCCGATCTTAGCGCATCTAGTAAGGCATCCACCTCTGGACACTCTTTCTTTGCCTCGACATCGGTCCAGTGCACCGGAAAGCTAGCCGTGAAGGCATCAAGCTTCCTAATGGTGCTTGTAAACGTCCGAATAATAGTCGGCACGTCTCGGTGGACGTTTCCAAACTTATCCTCCCCTAGACTATTTACCGCCAGCAGGCCTAGTACCTCGACGGCGTTGACGTAGAGAGCAAGCTCGGCAGACGGCGTACCTAGAACGGCAGCCGCCAAGCCGCGTCTGTACTCATGTCGGAAAATAGGGCCAATCTTGTCGTTTTGGAGAATCCTCAAGATGACCTGTCTAAATTGCCCCACCACATGGTCGGGCCGTAATGCTTCCTGCTGGTCCTGGGTGAGCACCGAGTCCTTAGCCTTCTTCCAGGTCTTCTTGGCGACCGGGCTCAGCTGGGACATGGGCGTCTTCCCGGGAGATCTTGCGATGTGATCGATGGCGTTTTCCACCTCCCCTCGCATCGATTTCGTAGACGGTTGATGCTTGAAGATGGCCTCATCCCTGGGCGGTGCGGTGGTTCGCGCTTTCGGTTCGTTCGGCTTCGTCTCGGGCTGAGGAGCGGCCGGCTGCTTTCCGTGCTCATCCACCCTCGTTGCAATCGACTTTACGAGTTCGAGGCAGATGGAGTAGACTTGCGACCACATTGGGCCGTCCTTCCGGTCAATGTCTTCAAAGATAGCCTTGCGGCGATTCGGGAAATCTCTGGCGATATAAGAAAGCTCCCACATGGCATAAGCCTAAAGTTTTTTTGGTTAGTCTTCGATCCTTTGAGAGCGTTGAGAGAGGTGAATCTTACCCTGACCGGGGTCTTCTTGCTTTTCAAGCCGTTGAGCAAGCTGCCATTGGGGTCCTTAGATTCCGCGGTCAATGGCTTGCCATTCTTGAGAGGTTCCTTAGCCATAAAGGCTGAGAACGCTGCATTACCCGCTTGCCAGAGGACAAAAAGAAAGAATCCGCCGAAAATACTAATTTTGAGGGTGTGGAAAGTTGCAGGAGTCGACGGAGGCAGCATATTCGTCTTGGGCAAGTTGTAGAACAGTCGGAAGAAGAACAAGGCCCAGGGCCATGCGAACGAGCGCAAAACAACAAAATAGAATAGTAGATGGGTAATCAGGGCAATCACTGCCCTAGAAGCGGCCTCGGACATAATATCCGGTGACTTTCGAATCGCCCGGCTGAAAGTGCTTGCGCCTTTCTCCTCCTTCTTCCCATTCTCATTCGAGCCTCCAAGAGTCAACTTGTCCTGGTCCTTGCAGATATGAACGGCGGCTTGGACTATGCCGCACGAGATAAAGTAGAACGCCAAGAAAAGAGGCCTCTCATTCAATCTCGGCCTATCCCCATTTCGGTAGACGATCCAATGCATCGCCGAGTCATCCGAGTAGGCGTGAAGGAATATGATAGAGAAGAAGAGGCTGGAAATAAAGTAAGAACCGAAAGCTTCGTATGTTTCGGCTCGTGCTAGGTCCTGTGTAAAAGTGGCAAATGCGGAATTTGAGGTACGGACGTCAACATGATATTGCGCGATTCGGAGAATAAGGATGACGAGGCCGCTGCCGAAGATAGAAAGGGCTCGAATCCCCGACGGTCCGATGGGGAACCATGACCAGAAATCTACGTATTAAAAAAGATGTTAGGCTCTGCAAGTGTAGGAGGCAGGAAATATTCGGGTTGGGCACAGAGGGGTGGAGCCTACAAGAGTAGTCGGAAAGGAGAATAGATATAACATAGGAAACGGCAAGAAGGATGGTCGCTGTCGAGGCGAATCTCCTGTGTAGAGCGGGCTGTAGAAAGTCCTTGTAAGGAGCTCTTCTTCTACCAGATGGAGCTGCCATGGTTAGCGCATCGCCGGATGAAAAGAGTGGCTGGATATGGTTGGAGGATGGCGATGTTTAGTCGTGGGGAGATGGATCTCGAGATGAGGCTTGGGTTAGGAGCCTGCCCGCAAAAGTAAATAATGATCAAACGTTCAAAAAGAAAATCTGCGTGCTGGCGCAACAACGCGACAGAGCTACGATAAGAGGTAAAGTCACGTGGAGATAAGATCACTCGAAAGCGCCTGCCCCTGGATTGGATTGAGCAAGAAAGACGTACGATTACGTAGGCAGGCAGCCACCCGACCACCATCGCCGCCGCCTGCCTCTCTGAGGGGACGATGGATCCTCTGACACTACGGACTTGACGGCAATAACCCTCTTGATCTCTGCCACGCGCAAATTCCACAAGTCGACCCGCAACAGCGGAAGCCAATACTATCAAATATCGACGATAATTCGCAGAAGGACGTAATGTCATTTGACCAGCTCTCGTCTCTCGAGGCCGGCCACGGCGGCGAGAGCGGCGCCTACAGCGACGACCCGGGGTTTAAACAATTGCTGCGCGAACTCCGGACGAAACTCAGCGACTTGGAACGAAACGTTTTGAAGCTCAGAACCGATGTGAACCTCCTAGGGACAAGGCGCGATACCGCTCGTGTCCGTGAACGAGTGCACGACTTCCTAGAAAAATCTAGGGATTCCTGTTTGTCGATCGGCGAGGGCGTCAAGAAGCTTCAAACCTGGGACGACCTTTCGGTATGATTAATCTTATCGCTTGTACCAGTCGGGGCGTATGCGTCTAATTTCTAACTATTTTCGCTCTCAGAAACAACAAAAGTATGAGCGCAATAAGATCTCGGCCGAGTTCCAAGACGCCTTCAAAGAGTTCCAGGACCTACAGAGAACCGCCCTCGAGAAACAACGAGCATCCGTTAGCGCCGCGCGAGCAGCCCACGAATCGGAAACCGCCGGTGAACACATCTCTACCAGCCCCCAAGAACAACAACTGCAGCAGCAAGAACTCTCGAGCCTCGCCGCTCAAGACGAGGTCGATTTCCACGAAGCCCTCATCATCGAACGAGAGGAGGAGATCCGAAACATCGAGCAGGGTGTTGGCGACCTCAACGTGCTTTTCCGACAAGTAGCCCAGATTGTTAGCGAGCAGGGTGAACAGCTCAACACCATCGCGGACAATGTCGAGGTCACTAGGGATGACACGCGGGGCGCCATGGTGGAACTCACTCAAGCATCTCGATATCAGAAGGCAGCGAGAAACAAGAGCTGCTGCCTGCTCATCATTGTTGCTGTTATCTTGACGATTGTGCTGCTGGCGATATTTTTGGATTGAGCGATGCTTCCTTTTTGAATGTTCCCTATCTTTCCTTTGTCACTTTTTACTCGTTCATCCAGACTTCTCGAGCTCCCGGCCAGCGAGCATTCGATGATTATAGGTTCTGAGGGCGTTTCCATGGCTAACTTGTATTTTACACGCGGTCTCCTTTGTATATGTACATATTGAGGTAGCAGATAAAGCTTGCTTGCTTACTCCTCTTATTCCTCTTTCTTATTATTCACAGATTTTTCCTTTTTCCTTCACTTGAAATGCCCACGACGTGTCTATTTGGGCCCGGCAACCCACCATTGTTCTCTCGTCGCACCCGTGCTGTTTAGCCAAGGATTCTTGGAAGGTGGAGGGAGACTCCTATCCTTAAGCGCTGTTGAACCTCGAAGAATCAGTGACGATGATAGCCAGAAGAAGGTCACCCCAGACGGTAAACCCGACAAGATTACAGCCAGGACAGGAGCAAGGACCAATCCTCCTCGTCGAAGCCTAACAGCCATCGAGGTTTGCTTAGGATCGAGAAGCTGCCGAGCTTCAACCATGCTGCGTGGGAAATTGTTGTAGATAAATGAAGCGCTAATTAAGACAGGGAGGATGTAAGTCGGGTCGGCGACTGTAAGGTCCTGGAACCACAGAATACCCTCAGTGGCAAGAGTAGGGTCCATCGGGGCGGCTCGGCCGACGCCCGCAATATTCCACAAGGAACGCGAAAAGATGAGCCAGGCGGGCATATACACGACGAGAGTTCCCACGAGGGGTTTGAACATGGTCAAGCCAGCCTCTTTTCGTAAGCGCTTGTATTCCTGCTGGGCCCTCTTCTGGGGATTGTCGAGCTTCAGCTGTACAGCTTTCTGATACCATGCGAGACGTAGATCGGAAAGCCTTTTCTCTCGGTTGGCAAACCGTCTCTCGTAGGACCTGAAGGGCAATCTTAGGGAGACTACGAGGGTCGCCGCGATCCCGGGGATGAAAAGATACCACGGGATTCCGGACGCGGCGTGCAAGCTTATGAGAGCCTCGCTGGTGCTCTCAATTAGGCTTGAGAAGGTCACCATGGTTCTCGACCCTGCCAGTTTCGAGCCATGAGAAACCGTCGGCCGCGCATTGGCGAGGATAACATGGCTGGGGTTGCAGTGATGTCGCGTGCTGTTCGCGAGGACACCCACTGATGGTCGTGAGTAGGGAAGCAGCCGAGCTGCGCACCTTTGTGATAGCATCGCGGAATATCAATGGCTGTATTTAAAGTGGTCAGAGGGTGTATAATATGAGAACGAGTGACAGATACTCACTTACATTGGAGTATTCCCAGCTGATCACTGTCCCCAAGAAGCATCTCCTTGAGAGCTTCAAATTATGCAAGTGAACTTGCCAAGCGGGAATCGGGTGTTGCATACAGCGTCGTCTTTTAGCTCGCTTAGTCATTAACAGATTTCCGCTTCAGGCACAAACTTCGACTCACGTTCCACAACCCCATGTCATCGCGACGAGTAAGACTCCTGCGATCAAGTTGAAGAAACTCCGATTGCAAACCCAAGCAAGCACATGGATGATCCAGTCGAATTCATTCGCTCTTTTCAAACTTCTGCCACCGCTTGTTCCAGGCCGCATCGGCGCCTCAAGGGGGAATGTTCGTGAGATTGTCCAAGTTGAAAATCCCCAGAGGATCCCGCACATCACCAAGAGACTTTCCATTGTTTATCGGAATACACTAGACTCGTAGCCTGCTCTATGGTCTGCCTGGCTGACCCTCGACGCTTTGTTCTCAACAAAAGGCTGTTTTCATCGGCGAAGACAATGATTACGCTCCGTGATCACACCTCCCCTACCATTAAGAAGAGGAGGAAGGGCCACGAGGTGGGGTACAAACGGAAGGACGGCATGGACAGCAGGCCTGATAAACCAAAGTGTATTTCGAGAGGACACCTCTTGCATTTCTAGAGTTTCTCGTCCCCCTCTTCTCCCATTGCTAAGTTGAATGTATATGCATCCCGCAAATGGATAGCGTGCCGTGAGGAATCAATATAAGCTAAAGAAAGTACAGGCCGGCCTTCATGTTGCCGAGGCCATGTTGCTGTCAGCATCGACGGCGTTAAGAAGTCAACACAACTGGCCTCAAGTACCTCCACATAGTCATGGAGAGGACCCTTGAATGTGTAACTTATGGGAGCTCTGTCCGTTGGACGATACCGAGGCATACCCGAATTGATTTGCTGCTTAATTGCTGAGCATCAATATATATTTGCGAACTCATGAAGAACTCGTGGTCATCTCGTCGCCAATGAGTCGCGGAATATTTCAATTGATTACTCCTGAGCGAGCTCGCTTCGGAGGAGGACCTATGGCAAGCAGTTCTGTCATTTTAGCTCTATTACTGCATAGACCTGGTCCCTGCCCACATGGGTTTGGCCTTTAGCTCGTGCCTTCTCCAAATGCGCGGCATGTGAACATGTCAAGTGATCGTGACTCCAGCGCATGTTGACAGCTGTCAGCATCAATTTAGACTTCAAATACATGGCATTTCCGCCCCTGGGAGTTTACTTCCTTCCACTCCAAACAGTTACTGTAGTGGATAGGAGAGTTATTTCGACTTCCCTCTTCCTTAGAAAAGACCCCCCGAGATCCCTTAGCTAGGGTTTCTCCCTCATCTAGCACAATGCCGTCAGAAATGCTGGAAGAGTCTACCTGCAGCACGAACTGCAGCGACGTAAAATCGCAGCTACCCGTCCCCTCCGCCGCCATGTTCCTCGCCTCCATTCCGCTCACATATTTTGTTTTCCTACCGATCCTAAGCCGCCTAGTCGGAGCTATTCTAGCATGGTACTTGCGGAGGAGGTCCTCCGGCCGCAAGGCGCTCCTGCTCACCTTAAAACACGAAGACCAACGACGATTCCAAAAGGAGAAGACTCGAGCTGCGCAGACCGGCGCCGATGAGGAAGGATGGGAGAAGATAAAGTTGCAAATCACACCCTCGTCAGGGAACGGAGAAAAGGCGCGGAAGGACTGGGATGGGATCGTCGGTTTCTTTCACCCCTTTTGGTGCGTGTCTCCAGCCCTCTACCGGAAGGCGCGGACTTTCATGGAAACTAATAGGATGTAGCAATGCGGGCGGTGGCGGAGAACGAGTGCTCTGGGCTGCGATTAGGGCCACACAGCTACGATGGCCTAACGCCTTGTGCGTGGTATATACTGGGGACCAGGAGATGTCGAAGGATGCGTTGCTCTCGAGAGTAAAGGTGAGCATTTACTCTGGAGCTCTCCCTCCCCAGCCGTATTACCCTCCCAGGTAAACTAATAGCTCCCTGTCTCTAACCAGAACCGTTTCAACATCGATCTCCACGCTCCCACCGTCGCCTTCGTCTACCTCTCGACCCGCGACTGGGTACTTGCCTCCACCTGGCCCCGATTCACCCTCGTAGGCCAATCCATCGGTTCTCTGATTATGGCCTGGGACGCCTTCCACCTAGTAGTGCCCGATATCTTCATCGACACCATGGGATATGCCTTCGCGCAGGGTTTCTCCAAGTTCCTCTTTAGGCGCATGCCGACATGTGCCTACGTACACTACCCCACCATCTCCACCGACATGCTCGAATCCCTCGACCCCTCCTCGCCCCTCGGAAGTCGGGGCTTGAATGCGGGACAAGGCACAGGTATTCGTGGCCAGTTGAAAAAGGCCTATTGGCAGCTCTTCGCCGCCCTCTACTCGAGAGTTGGGTCCACCATCGACGTTGTCATGACGAACTCGACCTGGACTCAGGCTCATATCAAACTTCTCTGGGGGCCATATCGCAGCCAGAAGACAAAGGCCGAGCCCATAACCGTCGTCTACCCCCCTGTCGCCGTCAAGGAGCTCGAGGACGCTATTGAAGTGACTCCCGAGACCGAGAAGAAGCGCGAGAAGATTATATTATCCATCGCCCAGTTCCGACCGGAAAAGGATCACACGCACATTATTCAGTCCTTTGCCAGGTTTGCCAAATCTGGCTCACCTACTGCTCAAGGCGCACGGCTTGTCCTTGTAGGAAGTGTGAGGGATGACGGTGACTCGAAGCGCGTCTATCAGCTGCGCTTGCTTGTCAACGAACTCAATATCAAGGACCGTGTCCAGTTCCACCTCGATGCCTCGTGGCCCGAGGTGCTGGACTGGCTGAGGAGGGCCTCTGTGGGTGTGAACGGCATGTGGAACGAGCACTTTGGCATCGGTGTCGTGGAATACCAGGCCGCAGGTCTTATCTCTGTGGTTCATAGTAGTGGTGGTCCCAAGCTGGACATCGTCGTTGACATCGACGGTGAGCCGACTGGTAAGCATTCTGGCATTGATTCTCATTCACGAGGGATTTGAAACTAGAAACTAACAGCCAGCACAGGTTACCACGCTACCACTGAAGAAGAATTTGCAGAAGGCTTTGAGAAGGCCCTCTCCCACCCTAACCCACTTGCAGTTCGCCAACGAGCCCAAAAATCAGCTCTCCGCTTCACAGAAGAGGAGTTTGCCAAGAAGTGGACAGAGCAGATGGAGAAGCTCGTGGTCATGGTTGCCTGAAAGCACTCACATTCTCTTTCTTTTTGCGCTTCCACCTGCACATTAGCATGGGTGCCCTTTGTTCAGAGCATATTATCCTCACGGTTCTTTTCCTTAGCTGACTTCGCTGGTCTCGATGTTTCTTTTCGTTGTTTGTCTAGTTTCGATTCTCGTGTTTCCATTCTCGCATTATTTTTTTTCTCAAGTCTCGTGTGGCCATTTTTGAGGGCGTATAGACAGATACCCTTCCGTTCTCCTGTTCTCTCATTTCTTTTCTGTTTCTTTTCCGTTTCTCCTCTTTTTCTCCCCCAGCGCTCATAGCCACGGGTAGACGGCAGATGATGAGCTTCTAGACGAATTATGAATTTGTAATACTAGAGAGTGGGCGTTTCCGTTCGAGAGTGTGTATATTCCACGATTGTGTGTGTAAATATATTTGAATGCAATCATTAGATAAAGCAAAATGCTTGAATGTTCTATGCAACCTGGCTCCGATAACATGCCCGGCAATGGATATATGGCCATGACTCTCTCCCATGATAACAAGAAAGCAAATTGTAATGCAATAAACCTCTTCCTCCCCTTCTATGCCGTGGCCCCACCGCTATCCTTCTGCCTAGGTTCCGCCTCGGCCTCAAACACGCCGCCTTCCACCCTCACAGCATGCACAGCACTCAGCCCCTCAGCGACCCTAACGATCTCGTGTCCTCTCTGACGCATACTTTCGACCGTAGTATTGTCGAATTTGTACTCGACCAAGACGTGATTCGGCATGAGCTGATCGTGAATACGCGGCTCGGCGAGGGCCTGGGGGAGGGAGAAATCGTGCTCTACGAGGTGCCAGATGACTTGGGTCGTGGCACTGATGATTCGAGAGCCGCCGGCCGCGCCTACGGTTGCGTAAAGTGTAGAAGGCGTGCCAGACTCAGCGTCTGCGGGGATTTCGATGATGACGGGGGTGATGGACGAAAGGGGCCGCTTGCCGGGGCGGATGAAGTTTGCTGCCGAGGGCGCGAAGCCGAATTCGTTGGACACATTTGGGATTGAGAAGTCGTTCATTTCGTTATTTAAGACAACCCCAGTGACTGGATCCATAATCAAAGACCCATACAGCAGATTGATCGTGGTTGTCACAGACGTCGCCATGCCGTCCTTATCAGCCGTGACGATATGCGAAGTACCCTGACCCTCCGTTGTGTAAATCTCCCTCGGGTCATATACTTCGATCGGTTGCGTCCGATCGTCCAAAATACGGTCTCGGATAGACTTTGCAACGTTCTCATCCAGCATCGCCTTCTCAATCTTGATCGATTCGGGAACAAAGTCTGGATCTCCAAGTTCCAGACGCGAGCCGTAGGCAAACCTCATAGCTTCGTTGAAACGATGGGTCGTGAGATGAACATCCTCCCAATCTTCGATGGGGTACTGCTCCATTGTCTTTAGGATGCTCATGAGGATGGCGCCGCTGCTGGGAACGCCCGAGGTGTAGAGCTTGTAGCCGCGGTATGAAATCTCCAGCGGCTCTCTCCGTATCACTTCGTAGGACTCCAGGTCGTCCAGGGTCATGGTTCCGTTCTCCTTCTGGATAACGGAGATGAGGGACTCCGCAATCTCGCCCTTGTAAAAGGCATCCGCTCCATGCTTTCCGATCTTATCGAGGGTGCTGTTTCTTACCGTTAGCGGGTTGTGGCCTCGATACAGGGACATCGGTAATGCTCACTCGGCATAGTTCTTCCTGTACATTATGTCGCCAACTTCAACGAGTTTGCCTTTACGAGAGGGCAATGTCAGCGTCGTAAAGGTGACTCGCCGGGAATATAACATACCATTAGGGGCAAAATGTTCCGCCCACGCCGGGTCTTCGAGGAATATATTTCTATTTTTCGTGATCACGGCATTCATATAGCGGATAGTATCATGGCCCACTACACTGGGAAGTTAGCAAGAGAAGCCGGGAATAAGAACAGATACAGACCTTTGAAGCCATATCTCGCAACCTCGGAAGCGGGTTCTACAAGATGTTCCCACGGTAGTTTCTACTCCCCGGTATTAGTCTGCCATACGACGCACGTAGATCTTCGCTGAATAGGACAGCGGGAGGTATTGCAAAACACATACTCCATACTTCTTGTGCATATACTCCAGTCCGCGAACCTCTCCAGGTATCGCCACAGACAAACCGGAAGTAACGCTGCCCTCCACATTCCCATCGTACATGTTCTCAGAAGCCGCAGCCGGAGCCGCTTCCCGGAAGTCGATCACCTCATACTCGCCGTTCTCATCCCGCACGACAGCGAAACCGCCGCCGCCAATCCCTGAGTGATGCGGCGCAACAACGCCGATGCAGAAGGTGGTGGCCACTAATGAGTCGACTGCGTTGCCCTACATTTCCCCGGCGATGTTAGATGGGATGGTCACAGCACATGGGGTGTGTAATGAAGGCAAAATGTGAGAAGATACATACACCGTTGAGCAGAACATTGCGGCCGATGCGGCTGCATTCTGCGTTTTCACTCGCGACGCCTCCGTTTACACCGCCGTTCTGGAATACTATCTCGGGAATGAAATATGCGCCGGAGAGTGCGGCGAAGGAGAAGAACAAGCACCGCAACATATTGACAAGGTGATGAGGTAATTATTTCACCTCCTTGGATGAAAACGGGGAGAAGATGTCCTTCGAAGATGTCCCGTAGGTTCTCATGAAAGAGTGAACCCTGTTTTCTCAAGAAAGGCCAGGGCTAATATGAATACGCTCGGTTGGCCGACCGGGTGCTTAGTACTTGGTACTCCGAGGTGAGATGGGGGCAAGATCGCGGTGAGATATGTGGGGACGAGGACGAGAATGAGGACGAGACTACGAAGTCAAGCGAAAGCCCCGGCGACATGAAGAGCTTCTAGATAACTTCAACCCTCTACGACGGTTCACATGCACGATGCTCTAGTCTGGGGAAAACCACGAGGGAAAGTTAAACCCGCTCGTGACCTTCCCTCGACTTGATGAGATAAGGAAAGGCTAATCGCCAACAATTTGGACGCCGGGTCCAGGGTTCGGGCAAATCGGATCCGGTCCAGGGGGTCAGAGTGTCCACGAGGACGGCGATTAGTGATGGGGAACGTCGGTGCCCAACCGAAATCGGCCCCCCCGAAGCCCTTGCAGGGAAGGTACCTGGGCGCACCCCAGAGACATTTGGATACTGTGTGGAGAACGAAGATCACTGGCGAAGATCACTGGTCAGCTCAAATTCCTTCCCACTAAAACGGCAACGGAGACTTCAATGTTACGAAGTACCTTCGTAGATGCAGATGGGGCCCTCAGACCGTTTCAGCACTTCGGAATTAGCTTTAGCTTTGGCTCTCTCAGTACGCTAGAGGTGCGAAGGTACGCCGCGACCAATCAGAACATGTGAATATCCAACCTGCCAAACTCGGATTTTCTCATCGCATCGCGCAAAGAAATATTTCTACTAGTGGTCGCGATTCTCACTTTTCTTGTCCCGCCTCATACAAATCGCGGTGGCCATGCAATGAAGCCGTTCGCAAGACGACTATACACCATTATCAGTACTTCTTCTACCAAAGCATTTTACAGTCCAGCCGTACTTGTAAAACCACGAGGGCTCGCGACCCTCATCTCTCAAAGGATGACCACCGTCCAAGATGCAGTTCCCAATGCGACCGGCCAAGCCGCGGCCGTGAACGGGAACCGGAAGAGGCCGCACGGCCAGGGTGCGAGGTTGCTGAAGAAGCAGAAGACAAAGCGGGAAAGGAACATCACGGAGGGATCAACCGAGGAGGTTCTGCTTGCAGATGTACAGGCCCTGCTCAACTCGCTAAAGTTGAGCATTGATGCGATACCAGAGAGAGAAGAACAACAGCTCGCAGCCACACTACCAGCTGAAGGCTCCGAGGTAGACGTCAAGGTCCTCGAGCTCTCCTCCACCGGCGACGGCCTTGCCATCCTAGACAGCCCAGATTCCGATTCATCATCACCATCCGCCTCCCCTCCCCAAGTCTACGTCGTCCCCTTCGTGGCACCAGGAGACATCGTCCGCGTCAAGGTCTACCGCCACCTCCGCAAAGAAGGCTACTCCGTCGCCGACTACATCTCCGTAACCCGCCCCGGCGCCCTGCGCGACGACGCCCGCATCCAGTGCGCCTACTTCGCCAAGTGCGGTGGCTGCCAATTCCAAATGCTCGACTACCACGAACAGCTGCGTCACAAGCGCACCATCGTCGAAAAGGCCTTCCGCAACTTCTCCCAATTACCCCCGGACCTCGTGCCTGTCGTCGGCGATACTATCGGCAGCCCGCTCCAGTACGGCTACCGCACGAAACTCACCCCGCACTTCGACGGACCGCCGGGGTACCGCCCCTCCAAGAGGCACGCCCCAAAGGTCTTTTTCGAGTCCTGTCCGGACGTGGGATTCATGCAAAAAGGCAAGCGCAAAGTCCTCGACATCGAAGACTGCCCCATTGGCACTGAAGTCGTCCGCAAGGGTATCACTCGCGAGCGCACTCGCATGGCGAAGGAATACGCCGACTACTCCCGCGGCGCCACCATCCTCCTCCGCGAGAGCACCAAGCGGTACCCCAAGGATAGTCCCGAGATACCCAAGTCCATCCCTGACGACGCCGTCAGGGTCGATACCGACAACCACGTCGACGTCAAGACCTGCGTGACGGACAACAACGCTACCACCACCGAGTACATCGACGACCACATCTTCACCAACCCGGCCGGCTCCTTCTTCCAGAACAACAACTCCATCCTCCCGCGCTTCACGGATTACATCCGCCAGCACATCCTCCCTCCCACACCCGCTGCCGCAAGTCCCATCAAGTACCTCATCGACGCCTACTCCGGCTCGGGTCTCTTCACCATCTCGTTAGCTTCCCTATTCACCGGTAGCATTGGCATCGACATCGCCGACAAGTCTATTGAATACGCCCGTAAAAACGCCGAGCTCAATGGCATGAAAGCCGATTCGTGCAGCTTCATCGCTGCCGACGCACGTCAGCTCTTCCGGAGCGTCACGTATCCTCCTGACGAGACCGTTGTGGTTCTCGATCCGCCTCGAAAGGGGTGCGATGCGGATTTCTTGGGCCAACTCTTGCGGTTCGGGCCCAAGAGGGTGGTTTACGTGAGTTGCAATGTGCACACACAGGCAAGGGATGTGGGTGCCCTGGTGAGGGGCGATGGAGGAGATGGCACCAAGTACGAGATCGAGAGTCTCGTCGGGTTCGATTTCTTCCCTCAGACAGGTCACGTTGAAGGAGTTGCCGTGCTTAATCGGGTGGAAAAGGGAGATACGGCAATGACATCTGAGACACGAAACGAAGTTTCGAGCGAAAATAATTGAATATAGCATTTCATTTGTATAATAGAAATAAAAGCATGGGCACCACGGGCGGAAATAAAAATAGAAAGGCCAATCCATCTATGATCTAGGAGATAACAAATCATATCGTGGTCGTATTCATCAAATATCAAGTCTAACCTCCTTCCTGTCTTCATAAAATAACGCCAAATAATGCATTGAAGCGGGTCACGACAATCCGAGCGAAATATCGCAGGTTTTTTTCTTTTTTCTTCTTCTTTTTTCCCTTCTTATTTCTCCTCAATAAGAACCTTCGAAACCTCCAAGACCACCTCCAGCACCTCGGGACGACGAGTCTTCTTAGCGCATTCGGTGAGCATCTCGAGGCCCCCTTGCTGGGCAACTTGCTTCTTTCCAAGCTCGCCCACCCTGCCTTCGGCCGTGACAACATTGCGCAGCACGAACGCAGCTCGATGTCGAAGGTCCTCATTGTCTTCTTTACACAAATTGAAGAGGATCGAGATGCCGCGTTCTTGTTGCAGAATGGCCTCGACGACGTTCTCATGAGCAGTTAAAGCTGCAAGAGCCCCGCTAGCAGCGCTCCTGGTAGCGATGTCGTCGGAGTCTGCTAAGGCGAGCAGGATATGGAGGCGTTGCTTGGCTTGAGGTGTCCCGTCGGCGTACAAAGCCATCCCTTCGATGTCTTGCACCAGGTTGCAGATCAATTCGACGGCGGCTTTTCGAACATGCGTGTTGGAGGACAGCAGTAAGTCTTCGATTTGGGGCCATGCTGTCCGGATAATCAACCCCCGAACATCTGCGTTATCCATAGACGCCAAATTAGTCAAGGCCATGAGAGACTCAAAGGATGGTAGCAGGTCTCGCTTCTCCGACGTTTGATCGGGTGTCAGGATGGAGACAAGAGGCCGGATTGCAGACGTGACTGGGCTTGCCCGATTTCCGCCAAAGACGAGAGCCGGATTAATGCTAATGAGAATACGCGCAAGCGCTTGCGCAGCCATTTGGCGAGCTTGAGGCTCCTTCGTAGGGATGCTTGACCACGCCGTAAGAAGCAGTTTGACGGCACCTTGCTGCGCCAGCTTCCCGCGCAGGGCCGACGTAAGGGATATCGAATTAATGATGGAAACAATGAGAGAAAGAGAAGCAGTGGAACCATTTTTGCTGTGTGCGACTAAAACTGGGGTAACGCCGGCTTCAAATACAAGTTTACACCGTTCAGAAACATGGGTATTGTCGTCCAAGGTATCATCTTGAGATTGCGTGAGTTTTCCGGCAGCATTCGCATAGGCCTTGAGCTGCCGCATCTTCTCCTCCTCCTCCGTGAGTGAGGGCCTATACCTCGTCAAATTCACGAAAATGCTGAGAGCGCCATACGTCATCGGTGATTTCGGGGGAGCGTCGCTGAGAGATTTAATGAGATTTTGAAGTAGCTCCGGGTTGTGAGCCACTCGTTCCTTGATAGTAGGTCGGAGGGTCACGTATGCGAGCCCCTCGATCGAGTGTTGTTTCGCTTTTTTGAGATCTTCATGGCCGTCGGTTTTCCGCAACTGGAAAGTAGTAAACTTCTCAGTCAATTCCTCGATGGTTGTCGAGGCCGACTGAACTCTTTCGCCTCCTTCATTATTCAATTGCGTCTTCGAAGGTATCGCCTTCACCCTAAAGTTAGTTAGACGCGAAATCGATGTTGTGATAAGATGGGGTAATGAAGGGCAAAGTGTTTAACGAGCATTAGACACGTACTCTAATCTTCGCTAGGACAACGCCGGCCATGACCTGGACCTTGAGAGAGTGCCTGTTCATGTTGACTGAGCCATCTTCAAGGCTGATTTGGGTGTCGGAATCCAGCGCACGTGTAACCTCGTTAGGGTCCTGGTCGACAACCTCCTCTAGCCAGTCGATGCAGTACTTCTCCACGGCCTCGCGACACTGTGGATGCATGCAGGCGGCGTTGAGTAGCTCAAGGCATGCTGTCTCAACCTTGCGGCTCTTCCATTTGCGACTCATCAAGGGCGCAAGACTAGGGAGGAATCCGGGGCTCAAAAACAGCTCCGAGATAATCTCGGGCGCAATTGGGAAGATGAGTGACGCGACGCAGAAAGCGACAATGAAGTCATCATAGGTACCCCTCCGAACTCTATCGAAGAAAAACGTAGAGAGCGCCTTAGCGCCCTCCTCACCAGCGGCCTTGAGATAAGCGGCAGTAGTAAGAGTGGCATGAGCCCGAACATCCTCGGGCTGCCTCATGTCCATGTGACCTAGAATGGTGTCGAGACAATCGGCATCAATGACTTTGCAGATTGACGGAGTGTCTTTGTCCGCCTTTGTAAGCTCGAAATCCTCGTTCAAAAGGGCGGTGACCTTGTCTAGATCACGACACGTCTCGTCATCCTCTCGTCCACCTTCCATCAACTGCGCGAGGAGAAGCTGTGTACGATCCTCTCGAGAGAGGTCGGGGCGCTGTTGCGCCGCCACTGTAGTTGTTGCCATAGATGGGGGTAGGTGGGTGTGTTGTGTATGAGCCGTGCAGGAGAGCAGAAGGGTTTGCGATTTGGAAGAAGGGAGGGGAAATTGGCGGGGTATTGATTGGAACCAGTGAAGTAGATCTGTTATGAAGGCGGGGACACCGACTGCTGAGCTGAATGGGTAGGACAGGGGAGAGAGCGGTGGAGGAAGAAAAAGGTGGTTGAGTGTTGAGGTCGCTCAACAGAGCTTGACGGGTTACGGTCAGGCATATATATTTTTCTAGGTTCCAAAATTAAACGTCAACACTTGTAAGCGTCAAAGTGTCGAGACCGTAGTCGGAGCTACTGAATCAGGAGAAGGAAGGTACGGGGCTTCTGTGTCAACATTGCGCCGACCATCTTTTACAAAGTACATGTGTAATAGTCTGGACTCTCGACTGATCTGGGTGGTCTTGCCCTCCTGTTTGGCCTTTGCTCCAAGCATGTGGCAATAATGGCTCTTGACCAACCTTCTAAACTACATGGACGCACCTTCCGGGGAATCCATCCGTGTCTCCAAGCCCAGGCTGACTCGGGGTCTCCTAGCGCTAGGTTTTCTGTGGGCAAGTGCGATCTAACAACCCTGCACTTCGTCCCACTTTCCACTTTCCACTTGTGATTTCACAAGATATTAATGACGGTGGCATCGGTGGCATGCGCACCCCACTCTCCATCCACTCCATCCACTACACGGTTGCACTTGTCACAGGTCGCCCGCGGGATAATATTCTAGTCGGGAAGCGAGGATGCAACGGGAAGCATGTGCATGCAACTTTGGTACGGCTGCGGCTGTATCGCGCACTCTGTGCCTGCCCATCTGAAGTTGTGCCGGGTCATGCAACACTATCAAAGCGATTAGTGCTACTGCTTTTACTTTTTATTGTTGGATGGTGTCTGCGAGCTCTCCCGTCTTTTCCGCTGCCACTGCCTTGGTCATCAATCGCTTCATGATAGGGCCGATAAGCTCATCGACTCCACGTTGATGACCAAATAGCACTCCACCGAGATATCGGTTCGAGCAATGCAAAGGTCAAGGGTGTGGGGTGTTTCGAAATGGGACAGTAGTAATTCCTATTATTCACCTTGGCGTTGCTCGATCGAGATATTTAAAGAAGATTGACCGAACAGAGAATGACAGGACCCTTGTCCTAGTGCAAGACGAACTGAAGCCATTATTTTGCGATACTACTTCGTACGCTTCGAGCACCGAGCCAAGCTTCTTGCCCACAAACACGTTATTCTGAGAGGGTGGCCATTTGCTTTTGATGTTGGTGACATCAAGGTAATGTAGAATGGAATGTTGGAATTGGGTTGCGCCTGTCATCATCGGCTCCGACCTAATCTAAGATGGCTCGGTATGAAGGAGACAAAATCCGTAGAGCAAATGACAGCCTGGCTGGCTACGTCCAAGAGAACAATGTGAACGTAAGATGCCAAGTCTTCTGGAAATGATTCATTTACATGTTAGTATTAGCCCACTGTGTCGAGATATTTCGGGTCCTTATATGAAGAGCTCAACCTAGAGAATCTTTGATACCTTGTGTAAACAGATCAACCAAGAGCTAGCGAGAGATCCATACGAAGTACAAGTCGACGCTCCAATGTTCTTGATTTTGTGTGTTGATGAATCGATGTTAGTGGGGGCACGGAAAAAAAGTGCCAAAATGGAAGCTACCAATGTACCTACAGACTCCCCACTTCGGCCTCTTCCCGCACTGCTGCGGGCAGTTGTTGGCGTAAAATCAAAGGTGCATGTGAGTACTTCGTACTTCGTACGAACTACGAAGGTACATAGCCACATTCCTTGATCGACGTCAGAAAAGAATTTCGTCAGCCTTGCACCGTTCAACATCAACTCCAAACGCCTACCCACGCATTCTCTCTCCATCACCCCTTCATAACCTCTCATCTCAACCTGCTGTTCCCTGGCAGCCCACCAAAACAGCAGGGCCACATTCAGATGGTTCCGACTCCCTCCGCTCCTCGCCGCGGGGCTCCCATCCGCCCACAATGAACAGCATCAAAGACCCCGATGCCACCGAGCACTACGACGTCCCCAGCACCGACGAGATCCCCTCCCTCCTAACCGTCATCCTCGACACGAACCCCCGCGCCTGGGCAACCCTCGGATCCTCCCTCTCCCTCCCCAATGCCGTCGCCAACCTCCTCATCTTCATCAACGGCCATCTCGCCTTCAGCAACGCGAACCAGGTCGCCGTGATAGCGGCTCACACCAACAGGGCCCTATGGCTGTACCCCCCGGCACAAGATCAGAAGCCACCCTCCGCGGACGCCGACGCAGACATCGATATGCGAGATGCGAGCTCGAGCGCTACCCCCCTGCCTATGGGCTCGGCGAATAAGTATCCCCTCTTTGCCCAGATAGAAACCGCCGTCACGTCGTCTATACGGAAGATTTCCGCCTCGAGCACGCACGATGACCTGAACCAGGTCACGACGAAGCTCTCGGGAGCCCTCACCATGGCCTTGGCCTACATAAACAGAGCTTCGCAAAGCATAAGCGCCACGAAAGCCCCCGCGGCAGACACGGCCAAGGCCTCTGCGAGCTCCGGCCTCCGCGGCATTCGCGCCCGCATCCTCGTCATCTCCGTTTCCGACTCCCAACCCTCCCAGTACATCCCCACCATGAACGCCGTCTTCGCCGCCTCCCACCTAGAGATACCCATCGACACCCTCTCCCTCTTCGGAAACGACACCTTCATGCAACAGGCTAGCTTCATCACAAACGGCACCTTCCTCTCCGCCACGGAACCTCGTGGTTTCTTACAGTATCTCATGATGGGCTTCATGGCCGACGGCGAGGCACGCAACGCCCTCGTCGCGCCCCGCCACCACTCTGTCGACTTCCGCGCCGCTTGTTTTTGCCACCGGAGGGTTATCGATACCGGCTTCGTCTGCTCTGTTTGCCTAGGCATATTCTGCCAGGTGCCTGAAAACGCCGAATGCCTTCTCTGCGGGAACAAACTCCGCCTGGGCTCGTACGGGGCGAAACCGGCCGTCGTGCCACGGAAGCGCAAGAAGAGGAAGAAGGCAGTGAATGGAGGCAGTGGGAGGGAGGAGACATCAAGCGCTGCGGGCACGCCCCGTCCAGGATAGGCTCCTCGTGCTGGTACTAAAGCTCATCACCCTCCCCCACTTCCTCCTAGCCCTTAGTCGAAGAAGAGGAAGAAGAAACCAGAAATGGAAATTATATTTTGGACAAGCCGATTCCCGCCTATTCTCCGAAAGCCTACGGCCTGAACTGGCACGCGCAAGGTTTGAGAATAAAGGGTTAATCGAATAGGGCTGTCCGTGAGGTAGTGCCTCATGCTATGTACCAAGAAATCAACCGCGTCATGCAGTAACGTACACGCCATCTAATAAGAACATCATGAAGTACTCGTTGACTTTTGATTCTGGTTTAACTCCGTCTACTACTGGCTGTGGTGGATGTCTGTCTGTCTCCATGGAGACTGTTGGGCTCCATGAGGCTAATCGTGACGATGCAGACCTACTGCAGTATGTTCATCTAATATATCTACCGCAAGTGTCCACTCCTGGGGTAGATGAAACATCCCTGGAACCAAATTGAAGAAGTGTCATATCGTAGAACCAACGGTAGGCTTTAGGACTAGCGTATTTCTGAACTACATACGTACAAAAAGTGCCGGGCCTGTGACTGCGCGTGTAATCTGCACAGGAAGAGCCCCGAGTTGCATCGCAAGGCTTCTAAACCTCGAGTCCCTCAGCCATCACAAAGTAGGTGTGAAACATGGAGTGTACAGGTGTCACTAGCTCTCCTCGCTCGTTTCTATGCCCTTTCTCAGGCATATCCCCGTGATAAGCACCCAGTTTCGGAACTCAATTTCACCGGATGGCAACTCGGCGAGCACCAACCGAACATTTGGTGTCCCCATCCGGAGCAAGGCGAGACATGAGGCACTTGGGTTCCCTATCCGTGGAAGCCATTGTCGCCAGGGCGAAGGAGTCGGTATTGTGACCAAAGTAGAAATATACGGCGTTTCTACTCTTCTTGACAGCGATCACTCCAAGCGCTCCCGTGGTGGTCATTCCTTGCACTCCCGGATGCTTCATGAAATCCTCCATGATAAAAGAGTGAATGATGTCATGGTCATCCCCGTCGTACACATCCTCGCCCATCTCGCCGCACCGGCTGCCTCGCATGAGTCGCTCGGCGCATCGCTGGGAGGCCATTGTGGTAGCCATGTGCTCCCCAGTGCCGCTGGCGACCGCAGCCACAGAGACATTGTCGTGGTCCGCCGGGTGGGCCGGGATAACGGCGGATCCGATTCTAACGAGAGCTGCCGGACCGACTCTGCCTCTGTGTTTCATGCCGATGCCACCTGAAGATGAGCCTGCAGCTACGCGGCCCATTTGATCGATTGCGATCGCACCCACCGTGTCTGTGATCATATCATCCGAATCCTGTGCGTACTCTCCATAGAGCCTTTTATGGCCAAATGAAGACTTGTTCCATTCGGGCGGCGCCGTCCTGTTGTCCTCGTGACAGCCCAGGATGCCCGCTGGGAATTGTTTATCAAGGGCCTGAGGTGAAGTCGATCCATCTCTTAAAGCCTGCTCAGCCAAACCAATTCCGTTTCCATCCCGGGGTCCATTCGTTGGTGCTTTTGAGACCTCGGGATGGCGACCCTGGTATTGCGGATGCAGAAGTGCCAAGGCGCCCTCATTCGTCAATCCTGGAAACTGAGCAAAAATTTCGGCCCCCGGGGCGCAAGTATCAGAAGGCTTTAGATGGGGAGTAGGCTCTACATCTTTCCCAGAGCTGTTCGCCGTGGACTTCCTCATTGGAACCTCGTAGCCTTCGGTGCTAGAAGATTCAGCTCTGGATGCGGGGATAACGTTCGACGGTGAATCAGGTTGAGCTTCATTAAACAGCCCAGTCGCCACTGCGTTCTGATGATCCGACTGATCGGGGCCGAACGGACGAAGCGTGACCGATCTTCCGGGTCGAGAATTCTCCGCGGCGTCCGGCGTCTGATTATTCGGCTTGGACTTCAAAGCAGCAGCACGCCTCAAGTCTTGTTGCCAGCGGTGGAACCGGTCACTAGCACTTTTGGAGATAAGATTCTCGTTGGGCACGATCTCCAACCCATGTCGTTGTGCGAACTTAACGGCGCCGACTCCGACTAGAAAACTGGGAGGGACCCTCCGAAGCGACAGGGGCTCGAGGCTTTTATCAAGCAGGACCTTGGCTAAACATATGGGATTTCGAATATCTAGAAATTAGTTCGTGTCAGCGCTAGGTTGCTTCAAGAGAAGACGGGTTGACGATAGGACACACTAGATACGGCGCCACAGGCACCGCTACGACCAAGATGGTCGACAACACATGCATCGCATTCGACCGTTCCGTCGATGCAGAGGTTCGAGCCATATCCGGCATTTGTGATTTCTCGATCTTCAAGAATTTTGATGGCGATTGTCACGGCCTCGGTTGCGCTCGCACCAGCATTGAGAAACCTCATGGCCACTCGAGCAGCGCTGTCATACCTGTCAGCCAAAACTATCCTTCGCGCAGGTATGTTCCTTAGGAGACATACTCGCTACATGCTTGTAGGTGGAAAACCTCGTTTGCATGGCTATGGAAGCCGGCCCCGGCGTGAATTGCGATGGCCGTGATGGGTTTCTTTCGAGTTACTGCCGAGGAACTGCTGGACTCGGAAAGGAGACTTAAGGGCGGGGCAACGGGGTAAGGTTTAGTCTGGCTGCTTGGTGTTGCTCCGTCGTTCTGAGGCGTGGCAGACAGTTTACGAATGTTTTCCATAATGATGCCCTAACAACTCTGGATCCAATGTCTGAGAGGCTCGATAATGCTATTCGTATCGGGAGGAGGCGACATTGGCACAGCTGAACTGAAGATGGCAGAGATCAGTAAACGAAAGGGCATACAATATTAAAAGGTCCATACCAGCCCTAGAGAGAATGTCCACCCTTGCCGTCAACCGCTCTGTGCCCTAAGACTGCTGAGTCTGAAGATAGCTAGAAGTGGCCGGCGCAATAATGAGGTGGGAGGGGGGCGGGATGTATCCGACTACCAACTCTGAAAATAAGGATTCAGGTAATGAGACCAAAAGATTGACGTTGGCGGAAATTCTAGGGTCGGGGTCGGGAGGGAGTTTTGGGAGAATCAATGGGAAGTCCACAGTACAGCTAGAAAGACCGAGTAATTCCACTTGAATAAGGAGAAGAGATAATGAATATATCTCATACAGAGAGACGGTGGGTGGGATTGGGGACTAGGAGTGGGAGTGTAAATGGAAAATGGGAGCGAGGACAACGAAGAGATCAAATATCGATGTTGGTGTGTGCATGCGTGCTTGTGCCAGTGGAAACAGCTGGACGAGATCCGCAAATGAATCATCCCAACGCCAACTAGAAGTAGGAAAGATTAGGATACCTGATACGTGGACGATACAATATCAATCAAGTAACTGAAGGAGCTTTCAACTGGTCCAGAAACATAGCTCCATCGAGAAGGGGTTTCGGGTCATGGGGAAAGTGTACTGGAGGTTGTGGGTAGCAGTTAAAGGAAGTCGTGAACGAGTGGCTGGCATAGCATCTTCAATCCATCTACTCCCGCCGCCTAATTACATCGGACACTCTGAACATTTATGGATCGTCCTAACTCGGCATTAGCAGATATTATGGCAGGGTGATAAACAGGCACTCGGTGATCGTGAGTTCCTGGGTGCTCTTCTGGATTCAACAAGCCTACGTTTATATACGGGTCAACCGCTATGCCAGGTTACACCACAAAAATGCAAGAATAGAAATGGGTGACCTTCACTCGGCCTTGAAATGAGCGTCTTAGTTTCGGGTTTGACCAACTCGGTCTCTTTCCGACGAGATGGGATGAAGTCTCTTCTGGGCCTGACTGTGATTCTAACGCTGAGTGGCGGTTTGACGTTCTAGAATGGTGTCCTCGCAATGGCAACGGCAACCCGCGAACTAGTATGATGGGGGCTAGCTACGGCTTGGTATATTAGAAGTCGGACTGCTTTATTGAAAAAGTATGCGAGAGGTGAAGAAGTCTGGAGCTCTCGCCGGCTTACATAATTCGACAATATGTGGGACAACTTCGGAAGATAGTGACGACGGTTCCTCACATTGCTTGGCCTTGGTGGTGGGGCTTGGGTGAGGGACCCAACACCACCGTCGTCACCTTGGTTCCAGTCGCAGCACAGCACAGCTCCCCTGAGCAGGCATCACCGCTTTCCCAACAACCTCAGTTGGAATCTATCGTCATCTCCTCCTACGCACACTTCCCGCTTTGTAGGTTGGAGGCAAACTCCATCAAATACGCCCGCAATGGCCAACCAAACCCCCGCCGTTGTCATGGACAAGTAAGGCCCTATACACACACCCCGCACTGCCCCAAGGTCTCTAACTTGCCTCGTCGCGCCCAACTGATACTGATGGTTTATCCCTCTCCAGCGGTACCGGATTCTCAAAGTTGGGTATGTACAACGTTCCGGCGCCCTAGCTCGCTAGTATAAGTTCGATAGATTCGTCTCGTCTAAACCCGAACCTCTAGGTTTCGCTGGCAATGATTCACCTTCCTTCGTCTTCCCCACCGCGATCGCCACGAAAGGAGCTGCCGGAACTGGAGGAACGGGGTCCGGCCGACCGGCAGTTGCGAACAAACCGTCTTACCTTACTGGAGGAGCTGGCCCCAGTAGCCACCTCAGTGCAAAAAGGGGTACCGAAGATCTAGACTTCTTTATTGGTGATGAGGCTATAGCAGCATCGGGTGGCCCAGGTGTGTCCTTGTGCAAGCGTCAGACACCGCCATATCTGTTCCGGACGCTAACTAAATAGGCTACGGCCTTCACTATCCGATTCGTCATGGTCAGATCGAGAACTGGGTATGCGATGCCCGCCTCCCATTTCCCAAGCAGCAGCACGGCCTCACAGAGCTAACTAAAGCCCTTGGTATAGGACCACATGGAGCGATTCTGGTCCAACTCAATCTTCAAATATCTTCGCGTAGAACCAGAGGAACATTTTTTCCTCCTCACCGAGCCGGTCAGTAGTTACGCGGCTATCTCATTCAGCGTAACTCAGCTAACGGCAGGTTTTCCGTCGTGCAGCCCCTGAACCCACCCGAAAACCGAGAAAATACGGCCGAGATCTTTTTCGAATCCTTCAACTGCGCCGGTCTCTATATTGCCGTTCAGGCCGTCCTAGCCCTCGCGGCGTCTTGGACGTCGTCTAAAGTACACGACCGGTCTCTTACGGGAACGGTCATTGATTCGGGTGATGGTGTGACGCACGTTATCCCCGTTGCTGAGGGCTATGTCATTGGCTCTTCCATTAAGTCTATCCCCATCGCCGGTCGGGATATCACCTATTTTGTCCAGTCCCTCCTCCGTGACCGCGGCGAGCCAGACTCCACCCTTAGGACCGCCCAAGAGATCAAGGAGGAATACTGCTACGTCTGCCCCGATATCGTAAAGGAGTTCTCTCGATACGACCGAGATAGGAGTCGATTTATCAAGCATGTGGTTTCCCATCCCGGTGGCCGACAAGTAACGGTGGACGTGGGATACGAGCGGTTCATGGCGCCCGAAATCTTCTTCAACCCCGAAATCTACAGCTCCGATTTCCTTACGCCCTTGCCAGTTGTCGTTGACGGTGTCATTCAATCTTCCCCCATCGACGTGAGGAGGGGCCTGTACAAGAACATTGTGCTATCCGGCGGAAGCACGCTTTACAAGGACTTCGGTCGCAGGTTACAGAGGGACATCAAGCACCTTGTGGATGCGCGCATTCGGGCTAGCGAGATTCGCAGCGGCGGAGCGAAGAGTGGCGGTTTGGAGGTGCAGGTTATTACTCACAAGAGGCAAAGACATGGACCGTGGTTCGGTGGTAGCCTGCTGGGCCAGACACCAGAGTTCAGGTCGTATTGTCACACGAAGGCTGAGGTAAGTGTTTTCGTCTATTCTCTCTCTTACGAATTTCGTATACGCAGGGATATACAATGTTAACGCGGCGTCTAAAATAGTACCAAGAATACGGTCCTGGTATTGTGCGAAGATTCGCTTTGTTGGGTGGACCTGGAGGACCATAAAAGTGGACCGGAGCGAGCGTCGGATAAGATGGAGATGCGCAATACTTTTATAACACCGGGGATAGGGTATGGTGGTGGGTTATACACTAAGACCCAGAGAAGGCGACAGGTCGGGATTCAATTCTCTATATTAGCTTCCGCCACAGCTCTTTCTAGGGGGGTAAGATCTGGGGGGCGCCATTGCTCGGCGAATGGTTTTGGGGCAAAGTTCATACGAGGTCACGATGTAAAAAGTTTGGCCGTTCTGCGAGAGCGTTAGGGTTGAAGAAAGGGAAAAGCTTTTTATATGAGGGGGCAGACTCTTTTTTTGGTTCTTTGCGTTGGGGAAGTGAAATTCTATATGCGATGTTGGAAATGACAAGATCCCCTCTCCCCTCTTGTAAACCAGGAGGGAGACCCTGCATCCATGTTCCCAACTCTCTCTCTCTGAAGGGAGAAGCTATCGTACCTGTCGGTTGGGTGACCCGTCCGAAGCGCAGTATCTTGAACTCCTGTATTTCGTCGGCATATCTTTGCTTTCCTACGGCGTGTGAGAGTCCGTGCTCTGTTTTCCCCATTCCTAGCTTCGACTGTAGATAATGGGGAGGAGGGTTGCCAAGCCTAGTCATTGAGCACTTGAGCACACAGTCATCACCTTTTGCGCCATCCTAGAGCGTAATAACCGCATACAGGCGCAATCCACATAAGAAACATGTTTGGTGTTTCATGAGTCCGTGAGTAAGACCCGTAGGTATGTTTTTTTTTTTTTGGGGGGCCCGCCTCCTTCTCCTTTAGAGTTTCAGAGGAGTCAAGGTATTTTAGTGCCCCCGCTATGAACTCAAGGCTTAGCCGATTTTCCCGTATCGTCAGGGCGAAAGCGACGCCCAGACTGGCCTTATTAACCCCGGAAACGGAGATTGGCAGGCCGGTTTACTAGTGGTTGGTCTGGAGCTTCAGTGTAGTGATGGTCCATATCAACTCGGGGTCTGCATTGTAGATATGTCGATATTAATCCCGGATTCTTCATCCCCAAAGGTGACAAACAACGTCGGGCTAGAAATATTGAAACTACACGAGTGCGTGAAATACACTCAAGATACTTGTAGAATCTGAGTATGAATGCGAAGATTTGTGAGACGGGGGACTGTGACGGGAAACAAGATGGCGTAGACACAGGCTAGCTTGATGCCCCGACCTGTTTGCGTCGTATGGATCAATGTTAGAGAAAGGCGGCCTGTGATGCCAGTTGAGGCTATACGAATGCAGTGTAGAGATTCAAATTGACGGTTCGAGTGAAATGTGAGATTTGACATTTGGTCCAATACATTCAATACATTCAATACATCCACACTCTTACTGAGAGGAAGAATGCCGAACAGCCATGGAAAGAGAGTAAGTACTTCTTACTGTAAGTAGCCATGCGGTACACAGGCCCTTGAGTTCATTTTGCGGATGTGTGTCATTACCCATTATTAATCCGCTGCTCAAGCTGGGGTGGACAATGGGCGCAAACACGAAATGATGCTGAGAAATGGGCCAGGCCAGGCCATGCCAAAGTTCCGTCAAACGTTTCCAAATCGGAAACTTGGAGGGGAGCAATAATAAGCGCCCTCCCAAAAGATGATACACGCCTCAAATGTGAGACTTTCTTCACGCCCCCCTTTCCTTGCCCCCAAGACTCAATCAAGTACGAAGTAGTATTAAAATCAGGACTATCGTTATTTTGTCCGGTGGTTCAACCACAGGTAGCCAGAATCACACCTTGAGGGGTTTTGGCGGTTTTGGCGGAGTTGTCCTTTGCGACGGGAACACTCGAGTTTGTGTATATAAAGTATATCCACTTGCTCTTTTTTTTTCGTTGCTTCCCTCTACTCCTCTGCTCCATCACATCAACTCTTAACTACATCTATTATCCCTCACCTACCCGTCGCTTTCACCAAAAAGCTCCCGCTTTTCGCCTTTACCTCCCAAGCGTCACTCTATCTCTCTCTCCTCCCCACACATCTCTTCGTAGAGCTTCCACTCTCAGCACCAACACAATGGCCGAGCAACACACCTACAACTTCGACATTACCATGAGCTGCGGCGGCTGCTCCGGAGCCGTTGACCGCGTACTCAAAAAGCTCGATGGTAAGTAGTGCTACATGCTTATTCCAACTTTCCTCCTACAGTTTCGTTTCCTCTCTTTCCTTTGGCGGCGATAAATCGGGTCGAGGGGGCTGTTTTGGCCTCCTCGCAACAATTACCCCACCAACCCCTCCTCGCGTCGCAAATCCCGGCGCAACAAACCACCACAACAAACCACCACAATGTCGCAACAAAACAGAAGCTAACAGGATTCATTTTCTACTCTCTAGGCGTCAAGAGCTACGAAGTCTCCCTCGAGAACCAGACCGCTACCGTCGTCGCCGAACCCACCCTCGATTACACCACCGTCCTGAAGACCATTGCGAAGACGGGCAAGAAGGTCAACAAGGGTGTTGCCGATGGTGTCGAGCAGAGCATTGAGGTCCCTGCTGAGGCGTAGGCGAGCTGATGGCGTCATGCACTGCGGACAGGGGGCAGTTTGGGGATCTTCTCCGGACTCCGGAGGCGTGGAAGCGCATCTGTAGCAGGGATTCGTGATTGGGAAATTCTCTCCTTCAGGGATCGAGGTTGGGATGGGATGGGATCTACACTACCCACCTACGAAGTACAAAAGTAGTAGCATTCGCAACTAAAAATACCAATACAAATTATACCAATGATTCCATCTGTTTGCAAACTATGGACTGCGCGTTCTCTTCGCTCGGCGTAATCTAGACGTGCTCAACGCAAAGTGAAGCAACTCTGTCCATCGCTGCATTCGGTTGCTCTCAAGCCTTTACGGCTGAAGGCGACGATCCTCATAGCTTTTCGCAATCGCCGGGCCTGGCCAGCATCTGCGGCGATTTTGCGGCGATGATGCAATCCAAAGCTGGGCTCCTTCCCCACTAAAAAGTACGAAGTACATCGTGATTGACCAATTGAGGTTAATCTACACGTGGCGATAACGCTGGGGCAGTTTTGCTCTCTCAGCATTTGAGAGAAATGTTCACTGAGAAATGAGAGCGAAGGCTCATCTTCTAAATCACCGAGTTTTCGGCCTGAACTTCGCCCCAAGCCGGTGCGCGTGTCCCTTTCTCACGAAGCTCTCCAACGCGGCATGTCCGAATAAGATTCTAAGGGCACCCACAACCCAAAAGCGATCCTTGATCGTCCCCGGTTATTAATGGGTGGTGTCCTGTGCGGTGGTGGAATTCGATATGTAACCCTCAGAAGAAGTTGAACCGACTCTCGGTCCTCGGTCCCGGCCGAGTTCTGCCCATCAACCGCCGTCCGGGTCCGAGACTTGGTGCTCTTTCACTGACCTAGAGGGCACATCAAATCCATATGCCAAGATTTCTGGATGAATCCAGCATTTCTCACGGCAATCTGCCACCCCCCTCCCTCGATCGACACAGGATATGTTCATATCACTGACAGCCTGGCCCTACCCAATGGCATCGGCGAGACAAGATGGCCAGTTCTTGGACTATTGCCTGCACATCCGTCCTCGCTGGCTCGCTCGGTAGTCTACTCCGGCCTGCCCAGCAGCGGCTTGGACGGCACATGAGTGAGTGTGTGTGGTTATTCGTAGACCTCGACCGAAATTGGTGGAACTACTAAATATAAGATGCCATTATTCCGCCTCCTCTCTCCTGTGGCATACGAATTTCGACTATCCCATCCAATGGCGTATCCCTTGCGGTGGTGGTGTTTTGCGTGATGCTGGCATATTACCGTCGGGCCGGGTGAAAGCTGCGACTTTATCCAAGGTCTCATCCCCTCTACAACACCATATCATTGCTACCGATGTATATCTCGATATGGCCTATCCCCACGCAGTGGCTCCCCGTGGGGCACCCCTCGAGTAGCCAACGCTGCGGCACCGATATTAACCACCCTACAACACATGGCCCGCTTCGATGTGTTGGTTGAAGGGGAGACCAAGCACGGATGACAGAAAAGGCATCAATGGTAGGAGCGGTGTCACTCATTCGAACTTATCCAGACGGCCAACCCAACCCACGCGCTCGCCTTTTGCCTTCGTCTGAGAAGTCTGCCCCATTGTCCTCAAGCCTCTTGTACTTCCCTCACCTATGAAATACGTCTTAATATTTTTTCATCACGGTCCTCTTTAATATCCTCTGCTAATCGCCATTGGGCCAACCTTGTGCCTTGTCACGTACATTCAGTTGGGTCGTGAAGTCACGGAAGACCTCCCTCGAGATGGCGTCGAGCCACTTCTCTCCGCCCTCTCTCGTCTCATTCATGAAGGATGGGCCCTCTGTAAATGACGCCACCCCTCGGCTGCTTTATATTGCATTTACATTGCGAGCACATACTTTGGCCGACCATATGACTTGATACCCGTCCTTGCGGCGAGGCGTGTTCCTCGTCCCAGGGATTTTGCAGCTAATATACTCTACGTGGGCGCGGGTCCTATCTTGATTTCCCGGTTTCTCTTTTCTGTTAGGAGGGATGTTGTTTATTATCTTAGCAATTCCCATGCGTACAATTGCTGTATTTTTTTTTTTTTTTTTGTGATTCTCTTGACACCGCACACACACACCAGGATTCTCTCTGTTACTCCGGTGCTTCTTCCATTTGAGAGCCTCAACCAAGAACTGCCTGTGGCATTTGTTGGATCTTTTAAACTGGAGAGATAGTGGATTTGGTCGTGATCAATGGCTCGGTCTTTGGCTATCCCCGCCGGGCTGGCGAGCTTGCTATTGCTCGCGGTCCGGGTTGACGCCCACGGTATTGCGGATGGTCTTGCAGTCTATCCTGGGGGAGCCGCAGGAGGCACATAGTAAGTCAAGTGAAGCGAGTTCACGAGAAGAGAGATAGATCTACTTTGCTACTTTATAGTAGGGTTTTTATTTCTAACCTACAGATATAGCTATCGAGGATACAATCCATCATTTCAGTATGAGAAGCCGCCTCCAGAGGTAGCAGAGTGGTCGACACCCCAGAACCTCCAGTATGTTCAGCCTCCCCACCGCTACTTATACCTTCGTCCTTAGGGTCAATCCACCTCTAACTTACATTGACTTCCCACAGAAACGGCTTCGTAGCTCCCGCTGCCTACAACACACCAGACATCATCTGCCACCTTGGCGCCACCCCCGGAGCCGTAGCCATACCGGTCAACGCCGGCGACGAGCTCGGCATCCACTGGGATACCTGGCCCGACTCGCACAAGGGGCCCATCGTCGACTCTCTGGCCAACTGTGAAGGAGCATGCGTAAGTCAACCCTTCGCACATACAAATCCCCCCCCCAAACTAACACTCCTTTAGCAAAATGTCGACAAGACCAAACTCAAGTTCTTCGACATCAGCCGCGAAGCCGTCATCAACGCCGCATCCGATCTCTGGGCCCCCAACGTCCTCATCAAGAACGACCTCACCTGGTTCGTCAAGATTCCCGAGAGCATCGCGCCCGGCAACTACGTTCTCCGCCACGAGATTGTCGCCCTCCACGCTGCCGGTCAGCCCAACGGCGCGCAAAGCTATCCGTTTTGCTTCAATCTCGCTATTTCTAGTAAGGGGACGGATCACCCGGAAGGTCGGACGTTTGAGGGGTATTATAGTCAGAACGAGGTGGGCATTGTGTGGGATCTGTTTGGCAAATCTGCTGCGGATTACAAGATTCCTGGGGTAAGTCTAACCCTCCCACCCTACTGCATGTTAGTCGAGCGCCCTCCTTGGACTGTAAGACTGAAGTTCCCCCCGCAGCCAGCAGACAATCTGTACTCCAAGGCCGAGGTCGCCTCCCAGCGCAAGCCCAGTATCACCGCCACCGGCACCTTCGTCAAGTCACTCGACCTCGCCGCTCTTCCCAAGGAAACTTCTTCCGCAGAGGAGGAGGCATCCACCTCCGAGGCTGCTGCCTCCAATACAGAGGTCGCAGAGGAGACTCCTGCCTCACCCACGAACGCCGGCACCACCACTGATAGCGTCCAGGTAAACCCTCCATCTCCCACTGCCGCCACGTCCGAGAAGGAAAGCACCCCTGCCGCCTCGAGCGAAGAAGCTCCGTCCCAGACATCCGAGAGTCCGGTCTCATCATCCGAGGCGCCGGCTAGTAACTCGATTGCTGCGGCGGTAGTGTATAGCACGGTGTATATCACCCATAGGGTTACGGTTACTCAGGTTGATACGACGACACTTTTCGCTACTGTTACGCTTCCACGGCCTTAGCCTCGGCCCTGGCAGTTTCTTTTTTTTTATGTTACAACTTTTTATACAGGGTGGATTATTTACAAACCTTCGGTGGAGGAAAGATGAGGAAATTCATGTGTTTCTTATCCTTCCTTTTTATGGAGTATGACTTATTTTCCTCCTCTTCAACTTATACCTAGAATCATCGACATCGAATTCCCGCCAAACAGAGCGAATTAAATACAGAATACATTTATCTCATAAATCTGATAATTGGAAGCCCTCCTCGGTGGTTGTACCATTCTTCTCTGTTTCCTAACACACTCTCCCACTTTCTACAAATACCATTTCGCCCATTTTCTACTTACCCTCCCATCCTCATCGACCTCATAACTCATGTCTCCTTCTCCTCCCCTAAGCGTATTATCCCGTACCTTTTTTTTTTTTCGGAACCGCGTCTGACCTGGAAGCAAGTTTGTGCCCAAGGCGTGGAAACGCGACGTGTTTGGCTGGTGTAAGCTGGGTAAGGAAAAGAAAAACGACTTGTACCACGCGGCTTCAAAATCTCGCTACTCCTCTCTCCCTCGGACGTCAGGCCAGAGCATCTTGCCAACAATATCTCCGTACCTTTTTCGGCGTACAGTCCTCCATTCTCATCCAAGTTCACCCGTGCACCTGACCCACTGCCACCGAATTCTTACATCAAGAAACCTCGACTAATATCGTAACGATCGAATCCGTTCCAGCTCGCGGCCAAATCATCTCGCGGACGATGTTCTCGTGGAGGTGGAAGCCTAGGAGAGCCTCCGCGTTTCTCGGAACTGATCTCTCTGCCCGTTGAAGAACCACACAGCTAACCAACTTGTTCGACTCGAAGAGCCTCTAGTCAAAGGTCGACTCCGGAGGAAATCATAGCACTGTCTCTAAAACTGGAAGTGGTATGCAAATGTAAAAGTGTATTGTAACACATAGATACATGGAAATGCCCAGCAAGTCTATCCATCCAGTAGAAGATTGTAAAAAAAAAGAAACCATCTGTATCTCTTGCCTTTTCCCGTTAAAAAGAATGTTGCTCGCTTGTGTGTCTAATCATATCATGCCCGTTCAATGAAAGGGGGTATCTATCCAGAAAATCGCCGAAAAAAAAAGTGAATCAAAAACACCGATCAGATCCGTCAAAAGTGTGAAATGAATGCCGAGTCGCTTGCCCCTGAAATTAGTCCGTAAGGGGTTGGTTTGCGCATGATGATGATGAAAACGCCGAGGCCGTGAGTTCCTTTTTCTTCTCTCCGCGTGTCTGCTTTCCTTACCTATCTCCCACCCTTCAAGATATCCCTCCAATCGTCCCCATTGCCCCTAAGCTCAGCCTCCACATCAGCCACGGTCTCCTCCACAATCTCAACACTAATCGTCCTCATAATAACTCCCTGCAGCGCCTCAGTATTCACCCCAGGCGGCGGCGGTCCCCCCGCACTAATCGAAGTACCCGACCTCCCCACGCTTCCCGTAGCGCTAATCCACGAAGCCGCCGTCCCAGGCCTGCTCGTCTGCTGCACGTTCGAGCGGTTCGACATAGCCGTCCGAGGCCTTGAATGGTGCCCCGAAGCAGTGCCCGGCCTACTCGCTCCGCGGCTCGAAGAGGCCGTACCGGGCCGAACCACGGCTGCCGAGGGGCGAGCCATGCCGGATTCGAGATCGTGGCGGGGCGGCGGTGGTGGCGGAGCATTGAAGTAGTAGTCATCAGCGTCGCCTCGGCGGGGACCCTCGATGATGAAGATGGTGGATTTGGCGGAGTGAGGGGGTGTGTGTGAGGAGCGGTGGGAGAGGTCGTCGAGGTGGCTGGATGAGACGGAGACGAGGTTGGAGAGGTCGCGGACGTTGGGGGAGGTGAGCATCGTGCCGAGGGGGATGATGTTTGCAGCGGTGATGGCGAGGTTTTGAGTGAGGCTGGAGAGCTCCAAGGTCAGCCTTCTTGTCGTCCCTTGAACAGCCGAGAAACAGAAAACTTTAGAGGAACTTACACGTCGAAGATGGTGGCGAGGAGGACGTCACTACTGAAGGACCCTCGGGCACCAATGACGGAGATTTGGTACGTCCTGATAATGGAGAAGACGGCAGCCCTGTTCATTCATAGGTTAGCAAATACACACAGGGCGGTTGACGTTGCACAATGGTGAGTGCCACTTACAGCATCATAGAGATTGCCAGGATGTAGAAGGGCCACCTGATGCTCTTTACCAAAACGAGATCTCGTGCAACCATGATGGGGAAAATGCAGAGGAAGAAGAAGGCAAACACGGCAAAGCCTGTTTCAAACACGTTAGTCCCTAGTGAACACTTACACGCACAAAATGTTCGTTTCGCAAAGTCTCTATAAAGTCCATACCTCCTTGAAAGTAAGCAGTCCCCAACTCGGCCTCTCCGTCGAAACACTCGCCTTCCACCTCGTGATTCCATAACTTCTCGAGGGGTCGGCATAACAAGTTCGAGGCTAGCGCAAAGGCGAGATTCACGAGGGCCAGGAGCAGGATGAGCATTCCGAGGAACACGTTCCATGGTCTCCGGCGACCGAGGGTACGGAGGAAGAAGAAGCAGATGGAGATTTGTCCGAGGGTGGTGCCGAACATATGCCAGGGCTTCGCAAGGTAGTAGAATTGCATGGCTCGGATGGAGTTCCCTATTGACGTCGCCTCGATGGAAGTAAAGATCATGGACACGAAACCCATCACCTGTTGGGGAAAGGAGAGGGACTGGTTAGCGCAGAGCCTCTTAACAAGGGCAGCGAGAGTCCCAGCAGACATACCATGGCCACTATCACCGAGTAGTCGTCCCACCAAACTCCGCGATTTGTCTGTTTCCTGGCCATAAACCTCACCCCGCAAGTGCCAATGGCGAGAACTGTTGAAGTGACCGAAATGGCGATGAGGGCCTGCCCTCTGCTGACTAGCAGCTCGTCCCCAGAGCCGTCCATCTCGGAAGAATTATAAAATATTAAAGTAGAAAGGCGGAGGAGGAGGGGGGGAGTTGATTTGGTGTAGAACGACCGGGCTATATTAACTCGATCATGTCTCGTTTTCTGTTCCCCTTCACCCTCTCTACTCGTCCTCGTTGTTGGTTGTGCTTGCACTTTCGATTCGGCGGCGTGGGATTGGTGTTCGGTCTCGTTCTTTCGGTGCGTGTAAGTGGTCGAGTTGAGTCCAGGGCGGAATACCAAAATCTCGTTTGCACAAGTGAAAAGGAAGTGATGAACCAAAAAGTGCCGAAGAGAAAATAATAAAAATTGAAATTATAAAAAGGATTAAAGCTAAGAAGGAATACTGAAGAGTATAGAAGACGAAGAAGATGCGAAGAGAAGATGATAGGAGGAATGAAACCAAGGCGGGATGTAGACCAGACGAGAATTCAACAGGGCGACTCGACTCGACTGTCTTTCCCCTCTTCTCTTGGGGGAAACCCTTGGCAAAACCGACAGCAGGGGCAAGAGAACAGAAGGAAGTTCCGGCAGAAGCTGAGTTCTAGTGGAAAGAGGATGTGAAGAGAGAAAGGTAGATCACACAGCGTGGCACTAGCCCATCAGATGTTGGACAACGGTCATCTTTCCGCAGAAAGAGCAAGAAGTTGGGGGTACAACAATGTCATTGCCAGTAAGACGAAGCAGTGACACTCGATTCACAGACGGAAAGATCACGAAAACCATGGACAGAATGTGAGGCTCGACGGCGGCGAATGAGAGGTTCCGGCATAAACCAGACTTTGATCGCCGCCAGGACTATCTAAGTTGGGGGTCAGCGAAGAAGATACAGAACAGGAACATTGAACCAGAACACGGGGAAAAGCCAGGGCAGGAATAGATGGCACTGGCAGGAACCATGTCCGAGCTGGCAACGGTCAGGCGTCTGGCATCACACATCAGGTATCAGGCATCAAGTACCGTACCGGCCAGGCATATGCGGCACGAGAAGCGTGTAAATGCGAACTGGGTGGCGCGGGGTTTCGAAAGTGGGATCCAAGCTGGATCGGGCAGAGCGATTGGCGGTTGAGTTGGAGAAGGCTGATGAAACGGTCGATCTGCACAGATGAAGGTGGGACGATCGCTGCGGGGAGAGCAGAGGAATGCTGCGAGAGTGGGAGGAAGAGGAGGAGAGAAAGATATGGAGGGTGGAATGACGGGTATGGAAGATTAATCGGGGGTTATCCACGACGGAGAATTAAGTGGTTTCTTTGATTTCTCTGGGTGTTTTGGTAGTGGTGTCGTCGGCGCATAATGATGGTTCATTGATGAATCGAACTTGGTGGTCGTGATGTTTTCGGTGTTTTATCAAAGTATTGTACTGATGTACTTCGTAGATTTGTTTGAAATTCAAGTCCCTCATCTGCACCTTCCCAAGTTCACAGCGGTGAGTCTGTATTTCACGTGCCTCATTCAACTGTTGAAAGTTGGGACAAAGATAGAAGAACCAAGGTGCTCCAATTGCCATAGATCAATCCATCGCGATAGAACAATTCCAAAAGGCCAAACCATGGCTGTCATCCGGATTACCTCTTGGCTTCCGCCTCATCCAATGTCAAAACGCACAAGGCAAGGGATACAGAAATTTGAAGCGGGAACCCCGTCATTGCCCCATCATATCGTGGGGAAGAGGATGGCAAGGTAGCAGCGTGCCTGGCGATGGTCACAGTTTACAATTTAGTTGCGCCCGTGCTGACGAAGAAGCTGGAAAGAAAACGAGTTAGAAATCCAGAAAGGTGGGGGGATGGAGGACACTGTCCGCTCAATGGCTCCTCCATGGGGGTCACTGGAAATGCGGCTTCGTCTGCATGATGATGTTGGGAAGATGGAACGCCAGAGCGCGGTCTGATCGACACGTCAGAAGCTTCCACGAGGCTTCTGTCCTCCATCGAGCTGGCTTGGACGAAGCCAGCCAACAGCACGGGACGGATGACGGCTTTTTTTCTTTTTCCAGCTGGCTCTCCACAACCAACCCCAGCAAGACGGGAGACCAGGGCTTCCCTACTTTAGACACCACTTCCCCGGGTTTCTTGGCTTTGTGAAACGCCTGGACTGGAAGGTCGCCAAGCCAAGGACCAATGGGAGCGGCGAAAGATGTTGCTTCAGAGTCGGACTGCATGCGAGCGGAGAGAGAGGAACGTTTTTCTTTTTCTTTTCGATTTTTATTGCTTTTCTTTCCCTCTCCTCTTCGTATTTCTCTCCATTTTACGGGTCGATCGACACAGGATGTTTTCGGGGGATTTATTTGAGTTTACGCAGAGTTATCCCCCGGGTTGGCAACGGCATTGCGAGCTTCCCGGCGCCATGCAAGAGCCATCACGAGCCCTATCGCATTGCCAGGCCTGTGATAGAACATTGAAAGAGTCCAGTTGCCATCAATGAGTGATATCGATAGTAAAATAGCCTCAGTGTGTCTTCGAATTTACGGAAATAATACGACTTTAACACAAAGGCAAGGATTTGACACATCCGTTATTATACGTCGGCGAGATGCGCGGGTAGTCTCGCTTTGGATCTGACGCTCGAGGTCTGGCTGGCCTCACCCTCTCCGACATTTCGCAGAAACCAATCGCATCAATCTCCGAGCCCAACGCGTACCGGACGGTTTCCGAGCCTCGAGACTGATATCTTCACTATTCCCCCCGTCTTTGTCCCCAGAATAGTTGGTTTCTTTGCGTCTTCCGAAACGTTTTGGATCTTCACCAGGACACCCTCGTCAAGAAGCATCAATGATCTAATCTATCACACACATTCACACACAGAGAGAGGCACTTACACGCACTCCGCGCATCCAGAGATCCTGCCCCACGCGTGAAGAATCAGTACTGGCGAGCACATCAGAGTTAAGCATAAAGGTTGGTGCGTCCGGGAGTCTGTGTATATGTAATGCGTCTCTGGATCGAAAAAGATGAAGAGTCTACGTCTTCTCTTCCCCTCTTGTCCTGACGAACTTCCCCGGATCTAGCAACTGCCGTAGCCTTGACCACTGATCAACCATCTTGATGCTTCCTTCCACCTCACCCAGGATCCCATGCTCACACAAAACACGTCAACACGTCAAGCCTCTTCCTAGATCAATGAGCCGCAATGTCAGAATGAGAAAAAATAAGCCAAATATACAGTAATGTATTCATTCCAACAGGGAAAGAAAAAAAAAATGTGGTCATACTCAATCTAGTATCTACATACAACACATCCATCCCCGGTACCGATCAGCCGTTTCAACTCCACCACTACCCCCTCTCTCCTCCCCCTTAGAACTTCGCCTTAACCGCCTTCCTCGCGAACGGATGAGTCTTCGTCTTGCTAACCACCTTCGCAATATCCTCCTCCGTAACACCCCGAGCCTCCACGGCCGGGTTATACCCCAAGCCACTAATCCTCGCGATCTCAGCATCCGACAGCACGGTAGCCTCCTTCCCGTCAGCCCTCCTGTACACCGTGACGACAGCAGCGCCCCCAAGACCGAGGTTATGCTGCATGGCCCACTTCGTGCCCTTCTTCCCTTGAACCTTGGCGCCCTGGCCTCCAGCGGCACGATTATTCGCCCAGCCGCGAAGATGCCACACGAGCTCCGCGCACTGCGCAAGACCCGTAGCTCCCAAGGGGTGACCCTTGGAAATCAACCCGCCGGAGGGGTTGACGACGTACTTCCCGCCGTAAGTAATGTCTCCGTTCCTAACCAACTCGTGAGCCTTGCCCTTCCCGCAGAGACCCATAGCATCGAGTGTGATCATCTCATTAGCCGAGAAGCAGTCGTGAAGCTCAACGACCTGCACATCGTTAGCCGTGATGCCCGCCTGGCCCAGCGCCGTCTCGGTGGCGAGCTTTGTCATGTCGTAGCCCATGAGGTCGATGGAGCTTCCGTTGAAGGCAGAGGGCGCGTCGGTGGTCAGGCTCTGGCCGGCGACGAGGATGGCGCGGTCTTTGAGGTGGGGGCGGGCGTCGAGGAAGGCTTGGGAGACGATGACGGCGGCGGCGGCGCCGTCGGAGGTGGGGCAGCATTGGAGCTTTGTGAGGGGTTCGTGGATCTTGGGGGAGGCGAGGACTTGCTCGAGGCTGTAGACGGTTTGGAATTGGGAGTAGGGGTTGTTGGGGGAGTGGGCGTGGTTGATGCGGGCAATCTCGGCAAAGTCTTCGACCTTGGCGCCGTATCTGTCCAACCCCCTTCCTGTTAGCCCTTCTCTCTTCTCTGCAATTGACTTTGCCAACCCCCCGCCAGCGATAGGGAAGCAAAAGAAAGAAAGAAAATAGAAATGACAATAAAAAAAAAAGCAAGAAAGATGATACTCACTTCTCCATGTATTCCCGCCCCGCATTACCAAACATCTGCGCCGCACCCGGCGCCTTGGTCACGCCCCTCGTCTCCGCCATCTTGGCCATAAGCGTCCCCAACGGACTCGACCTATCATCCCAAAAGCCCTTCAAGCTCCCCGCCATCATCTTCTCAAAGCCCACGACGAACACGCAGTCCATGCCCGAGGAGATGAGCGTCCGCGCCATGACGAGACCGGTCGACCCGGTGCTGCAGTTGTTGTTGACGTTGAAGACGGGCACCTGGGTCATGCCGAGCTGGTAGACGACGCGCTGGCCGCAGGTGGAGTCTCCGTAGCAGTAGCAGGCGACGGCGGCCTCGACCTCGTCGTAGTTGACCTGGGCGTCGACGAGGGCCTTGACGGAGGCTTCGAGGCCCATCTCGGGGTAGTCTATGCCGGAGCCGGGCTTGAGGAATTTGGTCATGCCGACGCCGAGGACGTAGACCGGGGGCGGGGTCTTCTTGGTAGGGGCCATGGTGGGCGGGCGGGTGTATGTGATGAGGATATGTGTGGGTGAAGTGGTGGGGGGTGAAGTTGAGGTTGATGGTTGATAGTTGATGGTTGATAGTTGATGGTTGAGGCGAGTTTCTGTGTTACTGCCTTGATATTTATTATACAGACGAGGTGGGAAAGGAAATGGATATATATATATATATATATAGATAGATAGATATTACAAAAGACCGGAAAAGACTTAAAAGATGATCCCAGCAGACCAACCCGCCGTCACCGAGATGATATATATGTACAGTTTATAAGTCTGTCCTTTCCCCAGCTTCCCCCATCCCCGAATTCCCAATCCAGCAACGCAGCAGCTTTACCCCACACGACTCCGCAGCCGATGCCGAGGCACGATTCCCCGAAACAAGGGTCTCCTCACGCCTCTCTCTGCCGCCCACGCCAAACCTCACCTTAGCACATGGCATCAAGAATGTCACACTCGCCCATTGAAGCTACATGCATACATCCCTTCTCCCAGGCCTAAAAAAGAAGAAGAAAAGTCTCGAACATCACTGGTTGCCCTTGGCTTCGACTCGCACACCCTTGATCGCTAATCCATTAAACCATTAAACCGTGGTATCATTGATGCTTTCCCCGCATTTTTCTTTCTTCTGGTCCCTCCTCTCCTCCAATGAAGATTGCCACCTTGCCGAGGTCTATTTGCCTCAAGCAAAAGCGTGGATGCTTCGGATATCTCGAGCTTTCCGTGGAGCTGGCCAACCTCCCCAGACTCCCTCGGTGCGAAATTTGTAGATCTCTCGGCCCAAGCTTACTATTGCAATCCGAGAAAAAGAGTCTTCTTAGATGCGGTGACATCATGACCAGCTTGATATTATTCATAATTCATAGTGGTTGTATCCGTCAATCTAACCTTGGTAATAAATTAATGGAGAAAAAAAAAATAAGAGGAAATTAATCTCTGAAGTCTCTGCGCCGATCGACTTTACCACCAATATCCGGCGAGTTCGCTTCCCACATACACATCTCTCTCCACGCCCGAACTCGCAAACAACAAAAAAAAAAAAAGAACTTCATGTTCGCGTTTCCCAAAAACCCCAAGCTCAGCTCTCCGAGCAACTCCGAAACCAAAAATTCCCGTTCCTTCTTACCCAATAACTTTTCTCTTAGCTGCGCGACCCTTTTTGAAAATCTATAAGAAGGAAGAATAAGACTCCCCGGATCATCCGGGACTCACAGGGGAGCTTGCAAATGCTAGCTCTTGCTCTCCAGAAAGCCCGCCCATATGAAAGAAAAGAAAAAAAAAAAAAAAAAAAAAGAGAAACATTAAGAAAACAATTACCGAGGACCAATGTGATGTGCAAGGATGAACACTTAGTATGCTTCCCTACATATTTGCCCTCTCGAGTAAAGTATAACAACAACAGCCCTATATCAAGGGAGACTCCCAATATGCCCAAGTCGCCCCCAGTTGCCATTGTGTATGGTACACCAGACAGAAGCGCCGTTCCAACAAGGGGACACCAAAATGACCAAAAGCCCCCCCCAAAAAGAAAATCCAATCCCAGTCCAGGCCATATCAGGACTGATACAAATATTAATATCCTTACACACATATACCAGACAGAGAGGGTGACAGAGAGAGGGAGAAGGGGACAAAAGGAGACGCCGGGCTCGAGTCCCACACTCCCTGTTCCTCTCCCTTACATCTTCATCCTCGCATTGTCCACCCATCCACCATACCCCCAATTCTCGCAAGTGGTGCTCCCCCCCGCCGACGCCCCAGCAGGTACCGCCCCCGGCTGCGTACTAAACATAAAAGGCTGCCGACTTCTCGCCTGCGGATAATGATCAACGCCCCCACTCCCAGAAGAAGGCTGACCCTGAGGCTGCTGCTGCGGCGGCGGACCCTGACCCTGACCCTGACCCTGGCCCTGACCCTGCTGTACAACCACATCCCGACGACCTGCCGCTGCAGCCGCTCCCCCCAGCTCCGCCACCATGGCGTTCAGCTTCTCGGGGCTCGTATTCGTGCTCCGCAGCAACCCTTCCAACACGAGCTGCAACCCGCCAACCATCGATTCGTCGTCCGCGTGGTGGGGGTACCTCTTCACGCAGTTGAACACGACGGCGAGCGGGATGATATCCTTTAGCTCGCACATGGTCGCCTTGCGGATGAGCAGGTCGAGCGATTTCTGCACCGTGGCGATGAGCCTCGACGGAGTCCCCGGCATGACGTCGTCCAGCGGATCTCCTCCCGCCCCCGCGTTCGGAGACATGGACACCCCGATGGTACCGTTGGCGGGAGCCTGCCGGATGGTATTCATAATGTGGAAGCAGATGCTAAACGCCGCCTGAATGATATCCTGCCTCAGAATCTGAATGTACATATCGCACGTCTCGTCGTAATGCGGTAGCGTCGGGTCCATCTCGTCCAGGTACCGCAGAATCACTAGGCACGAGCGCAGGTACACCCTGACGATCTCTTGCGGCGCGTCGGGCACGCCCAATACGAAGGGGCGGTAGAGCGCCAGCAAGGGCCGCCGCACGTGCATGTCGATCACGACGCGCCACCGCCATTCTTTACTCTTGCTCCTGTCGTTGTAGCCATATCGCGGGAAGATGAAGCTGAGGTCTTCCATGTACTTATCGAGCCTCTGCCCGACTTCTATGACCTCGCCGTAGTCCTGCAACGCATCTATGCGGTTAACTAGGTGTGTAACCTTGACCCGTAGCGGTAGCGTCATGCTCGCGTAGACTTGGATCTGGCACTCCGTATGCTGCTCGATCGGCTTTTCAGGGGGCAGAACCTTCATGTCCTCGTAGAGGTCCCCGTCATCGAGATTCCTCGGCGGCTTGCAAGTATGGTCCCCCTCGCGGAGGAGACAGGGCAGGTTGCTCGCCAGTGAAATGTACAGATCCATATCCAAAATCGTGAACCACAGCCGCCGTCTCATCTCCCCCTGAAACGGCGTGAGTTGGCCAAACTCGTCGGGATCGCGGTGCATGCCCATCGTCATGGCCATCCGAACAATATACCCCAACTGCGTCCACGTCTCGTGCATCTTCGAAAGTGACATCATCCTTCGCGCATGTAGCAGCAGCGTCTCCGTCTGTAGCGTCGTAAACTCCACCAGTTGCTTGCCCCGGAGTCCGTCGAGCCAGGTCCTTACTAGCGCGCAGGCGGTTGGGATATGTACGCCGTCCCTGCGCTCGTGGCTGAGACCCTTGGCGGCGGCCGTAAACCGTGATCCGATGGCTAGGACGGTTAGGAGTTGCGGGAGGAAGTAGTCGGATTGTAGCTGGTTTTCCCAGTAGAGGTTGTACTGCGCTTTGAAGGTCGGCACATGGACCATGCGATATATTATTTCGTTCGTATCGATGTACGATGCGAGCAGCCTGTCGCAGACGGCCTTGGGCGGCATAATATCCGTCATTCGCTTTTGTATCGGCAGCATAGAATCGACGTAAACGGGAATCGGCGTAATCGCTTTTCGGTGTTCTTCCTGCATAACTTTTTGAAGAGCTTCCAATCGAGTAAAGATGTCTCGCAGGCCATCAATCCTTTTACAATTCGCAAGATAGAATTTGGCTTCGTCGAACTATGAAATGTCGCAGGGGCCCTTGTTAGCTGTGTGCAGAGCTACGTGGTGGGAAATAGAAAGGAGGAAGAATAGTTTAGTCGGGAGTAGCAAGAACTCACAAGATTGATCATTGCGCGTGTGCTGCTCTGTCCGAAATAGCGCGTCCTCATGACCCCCCTCTTCACCGACAACCCACGGATTGTATCGGGTGCCGCCGTCGCCAGTTGGGCCTTGATACTACTCAGTTCCGTCCTCGCAGGACTCCTCGCCAGAACATGCTTTTCTAACCGGTCCACCCTCATGGCGAGCTCCTCCAGCGTCATGCCCGCAAGAACGGCGATATCTCCATTCCGCATGGGCGTGCTGAACGGTGGCTCGAGATGCCCCAGTGTCTGCTGTGGGTGTTGCGACGTTGTGGGCGTTAGATTGCACGGCCGTTTCTGAGCCCGCTGGCCATCGACGGCCTCGCCGTCGGAGGCGTCCGAGTGATTCGCGGCATCCTGATCCGTCGCATATTTGCATTGCCTACTCGACCTCTGGCACTGCGAACAGGGACATGATCGATCGCACTTGAGTTTGCGCTTCCGGCACTCGGTACACGACTTGACTGGCCTCGGACGTTTCACGCTCCTCGGCTGTGTCGTCGATTGGGTCGGCTGAGGGGTTTGCGAGAGAACGGTCTGTTGCGGCGGAGGGTGTTGGGATTGTTGGGACTGCTGTTGAGAGGCCGTCTGCGGCGTCTGAGAGAAGGGCCGTGTATGCTGCGAAGAGGGTTCGGGGAGTGAGGAGGCTTGCGATTGCGGGCGGTCGTACGAGCCATTGCTCACCGGAGTGATCACCGAGGTGGACATGGCGGACGGTTGGGTGCCGGCGACCGAGCCGGTTAGATGATGTGGAAAATTAATTTCGGTGATCGAAGGGAGTGAAGAAAAAAAGCCCTCGGAGGAAAGTGGCGCTGGCACCGTGCCGAATGCAGCCGGGCAAGCGTCGCTGAAAACAGCGCTCCCCAATGACCGTACTATTATCTCAAGCTGGTCGTCAGGTCGTTACACTCTCTCGTCTCTTGGTTCGAATCTTCGTCGCCGTCGTGTGGTGGTCCCCGGTATTATCTTCGTCAGTCCGATCGGCGATCGTCGGAAACCCGCGTGGTTAGCTTGGCAAGTCGAGGGAAAGAACGAAGGTCGTCGAGAGATGTCGAGGGTTATCGTCGATTGTCGATCTGTAGCAGTCGGGCTCTGTTCTGTCCAGCTGACAAAATAGCCTGGGCCAGTCTTCGCCTCGGGTTTGGGGGGCTGCGTCAGTTTGGGGGCGGATATCAACAGGGCAGGATCTTGGGCACTGCCGAATCGGCGACGCGGCTCTCGGAGATTTTATGCCTCAACACCACTGGCAGAAGGCTGTTCTGTATGTCCCCTTCCACTCTCCCCTCTTCTCTCGTTTTCTTTGAATAGAAGGTCGAATCAGACGGCGGGGTGATTCGATACACGGCGAAGCTGTCGTTCAGTCTGGCCCGTCATCCACATTCGGGGAAGAGGGTAGATGTCCCTGTGCTACCTCCTGTCAGGGTCGGAGCAGGCGAAGAAGCCAGCATTTGGTAAGTGGAGGAAGAAGGCGTCAGCCAGGACCACGTGCGGAAAATAGAGTCGAATGGGAAGCTTCCGTCTTCAGGTATAAGGTTGGGATTTTCCGGGGCGCAGCGTCGAAAAAGAGGTGGAGGCCGGTGGAGTAGGAGAGGAATGTGATGGCTCGAAAAAGGTTAAAAATGTCCAGAACGAAGACCAAGATCGAATATAGAACGGAGATAGGGGACAAAAAGCAAGTGAAAAAAATTACAAAGTTTTAGGAACTCGGTTAATGGTACTTCACTTCGCTAAGGATGGAATCGTGGGGGAGGGAAAGGGAAAGGGGAAGTCGGCGAGGAACTAAAATCTGAAATGCGGGCTGCATCTCAGTTTAGCGGCAGAGATCAAATTATTCTCTTTTCGGGATTATGGGGTGTGTCCGCTTGTCCTTTCCAATCCTCGGTGGCGCTGGTGCTTCTTGGCTTGTTGGTGTGCTGTGTGTGTGTTTGCGTGCTCGGGGATGCAGCCGGGCTGGGCTATTGGGCTGCTGGGCTGCTGGGCTGCTGGGCTGACGAGTTTAAATTTTACTTTGTCCCCGACTCCAAGTCCAATGCGCCGTGCCTCCTTCAAAGTCTGGGAATTACAGACCTTCGTACCTGTGTCGACCTGCTCCATACAACCCGACACGCATGCACTGCTGAGACGAGACAAGTCAAAATCTGTCTGCACCTTGTTACGGAGCTTGGCCTTGGAAGACAGGCTACGAAGTATATCTCTAGGTAGATTACAGCATCGACGTCAAGTCTCGGCCAAGCTCGTAGCTAATCCGGCCGGATCAACTCGATGGAAGCCGAAACAGAACGTTGGGCATTGGACTGAACAAGGACGAGTGAGGAAAAAGAGAGAAACATAAAAAGCGGGATAAATACAAAGTACTTGAGTACTTTTAGTGTTTTACCGAGTCGACGGATTTCATCATCGGTACTTGCCACGCAGAGGTTAAAAATGACATTCTGTGCATTTGTATTTCTACTTTGTACGATATCAATACAGGCTTACACTACGAAGTACACGACATCGAATCTTCACACCTGGCTCTTCCTTCATTTTCCTTCGCTTCGGTCCCCCAAGCAGAATTGATGTGCCACGCTAGTGGCGAGGGGTGAGTCCTAGCACTTGCTATGTACGGAGTAAGCCGACAATATTTAGTCAGAAACGCGCAGGCCTAGTGTACAATTGTAGTGGCAGATGCTAGCAAGAAGTTTGATCAACTTCATCAATCGACAGACAGGCACAGAGATTTTGATACGTTCAGGGTACCCCGGACCCCAGCACGGCTTTAGTGTCCAGCCCTGCTAGTGTAGTGTACTTCGTAGTAGTGCCACGAATAGTGCCAGAGTCGAGACTCACAGCCAGCGCTTTGTACCCTAGTCTGGGTCTGCTTGGTACCAGGAACACCAACCTGCATCGACCTCGATGAGTACTTTGCATGAAGAACAATCATCGTTGATGTCCAAAAATATTTCCCACAACTCACACTGCTCATTCGTTGACTCACCACCATCTCTAATCATGGTGACTATCAGTGCTATCAGTCAGTGTAAATTGAGCCGAAATCTACTCTCTCAACTGGGGACCCAAATCTCCTCGGAGGGGGAGAAAGCAAGTTCAGAGCATTGAACAAACACATTGAGAGTCCCAAGTCCGTGTTAGCGAATACGTGACTCCGGTTTCAACATCGATCAAGGTATTGTTGAGTGCTCCTCCATCCGAATCGGGAGAGTCCTCCATCCACTACAAAAGTCAAGAGAGATGCTGGAGAACAAATTTCAGATTTCCTTGCATGTGCATGTGCTCGCTTGTTCAATAAAGCGATTTTTTTCTTCCGTCTTACTGCTATTTCTTGTGCATAGGCACCCAAGCTAGGAGCTACTCTGTACTCCAAGTGTTCAGGCTGCTAGTCCCTACCCTGCGTGCGTCCCGGGGATCAACGATGGACCAGAGGGCTGAATCAAGTATTAAGATAGCCCGGCGGTCGCTCGTCACCGTGCTCTTGTTTCGTACCTCCGTACTCGTTAGTGTAGGTCAAGTACATGTCCTGAATCGAGCAACTTCCCTCCCGTGCGCTAAGCTCCAGAGAAAGGGAGGGAGGAAAAAGGTTCAGACCCTCTCTCGACGTACCAGTGTACTTGCTGCTTGTCTTATCCCCAAGCCCTCCAAGTCCTCGGCCGAGCAGAGTCGCTCCCGAAGCAACCCCGAGTCCTCCACACCTTTCCTGTCCGATTGAGTTCCGCCTAACCCACGGCATTGCGCCTCCATCAATCATTAGCCTATCAAGAAATGGATCGTTGAAGGAAACAAACGGAAACCCGTAAACCTAACTCCGAAACTCTGGCCCGTTCCGACAGAACATGTGTGCACAGGGAGTGGGACGCGCAAGACTCAAAAAAAAAATAGAGCCAGCAACGTATCTGTATCTCCCCACATGCCTAAACTGTCGGCCCATCAAGAAATATAATCCATGGAAATAATACAGCGAGTATGATTGGAGGCAGGGGGTTAGGAACCAAGTAAACAGACAGAGGAAGAACGGCTACGAGAGAGGAGCGCTAGTTCCAATAGATGTGCTCGCCTGACTCGGGCCGGACTGAAAGCGCAGGAATACCAAGAGACAGAGAAATAAAGTGGTCATCTCGGTGAGCGTAACGTTAGCGTCCACTTCCCGCCGACTCACTAATATTGATTCCAGATCTTTGGGGAAGACAATGGACAATTGGAAGCGTTTGCAAGAGTGTTGACACCCGTCTCCCATTTTACGTTGTTTCGACATTCGTTTAGCTCCCTACTTATCATCGAAGCTCCCTTCTCCGTGGCGTAACACACAATGTCTTTACCCTTTGCACAGATGATAATTTCACGTGGGGCGATAGGCGCAGTCCAGGATATAACGTTCTTTCCATTTGACCCTCACCAATGGCTTTTTTTTGGCCTACCGTAGAAGATCTGCAATGTACACTATGCATCCGTCCAGCCCTGTCCACAAAATGAGACTAGTGACACCGAAGATGCTGGAGACGAAGAGAGATAAGGAGAGAGAGAGGGAGAAAATAGAAGAAAAAGGAGAAAAGAACCAAAGTAAAACCGGATAGTGTCATCATCCACCCTGTCCATCGGCGCGTCGATCGCCTCCGCCCACTTCATCATCCTCATCCACGGGCCAAGCTCCAGGCAACCCACCCGAAGCCGAAGTCGTTGCCGTGGCCCCCGCGTTTCTGTCCCCATCTCCCTCTCCCTCTCTCTCTTCGGCCCTCTCCGCTACATCTCGTCGCCCACCAAACAGCTGCAGCAACCGGTTGTAAATAGACTCCTGCACTGAGGGCTGATTCAAATCCTCCGCCCCAATCGTCGCATCATCATCTTCCAGCTCATCATCCTCGTCCAGGTCAAGGTCATCAAGGTTCTCGAGGCCCAATGCCTGAGCCATAACCTCATCGACTCCCATTTCATCCATGCCCCCCGGCATGCCTCCTACGCCCGCGCCCGCGCCCGCGCCCGCGGCTCCTCCGTTTCGCCCCTGCATAAGCTCCATCAAGAGGCGCGCCTGTCTCTCAGCCGGGTTAAGTGCTGGGCTTGTGAACGGCAGCGCCACCCCGCTCGTCGGGCTCGCGAAAATGTTCTCCGACACGTCAGGGGGCAAGGGGTCGAAATCGTAGTTGGGCTGTCGCTCGAGGTAGTGCCTGGGCACGAGGGACAACATTTCCGTGTTGCCTTCTAGGTATACGAACCGTACCGTCCTGAGCTCGAGAAGTGCATCTGTTGCCTTGAGAGATTCTTGCTTCTTCGCCGAGTTAGCGGCGTCTTTGAGCAGACTCGTCGCCCGGGGATGGTTCCAAAGGTCCTTGGCCATTTGGATGTATAGCTTCGTGTAGAATACGTTGACCTCGCTAGGAGGCTGGACTCCCCAGATCTGTGGCGGCGCGTCGATATTCAGTGCTTGGAATAGCGCACAGAACAGCCAGGGCACGTCCTCCATTCCCTCGATTAGTCTCCTCTTCGCCTCAGCATCCTCTTGCCGCTGCTGCAACCCAAGTACCAGTGTGTTTCGGTAATACCGCATCTCTCCATGGAGATTACTCGGCTCAAATGTGTCCAAAAAGGACCGGAGCCATTCCGACTCGTGGCATTTAATGGCTAGAATGTGGATCAAGTGATTCATGCCATAGGGATCAGCGGGGTCCAGGCTAAAAAGAAGCTTGGCCCACTCCAAGGCAGTCCGGTATGTGCCTTTGCGCATGAGACTCTTGAGGTAGTGGTATCCAGCCAGCCAGAATTGTCGATTTTCCGGCCTCCTAAAGTCAAGTCTCGCTCTACCCCTCTCTAGATTCTGTCTGAAGCTCGAAAGCGTGGCTCTGCCAAAGGTAAAGAGAGCCCGTTCGCAGAGATCGGCAGCAAGAGCTTGGTTCTGATCTTGGTTCTTTGCAAAGCTGCTTACTTGGAGCAGTGTGGATATGTGGTAGGCTAGGAGACTTTGTTAGAGTTGGATTCATAAAAAAGGACCCAATTGAAAAAAAAAAAAAAAACTTACGGAATTGTTTGAGAAGGTGTACCAGTCGCATAGGGTCGCCGATATTGGCGCAATGAAAGAAAATGACTTGGACTGTATTGTACTGCTTGCTGTGCACAAAGGCGTATTCGGTCCATGCCCCTGAAGGATCAGCTCGGATTTCCTTCATGGACAATCCCCCCGCCGTGGCACGAGGCCAAAAGTCCTTGCCCTGGATGAACATGTTCCGCCGCAAGGTAATCTCGGGGAGTTTCTTCCCCGGATCTTCCCTCAGGAACGTCTCCAGATCCACCTGGGTTTGCGGCCCTCCCTGTAGCAGCCGGCGTCTCGCCGCGACAGCTTCTGCCTCCTCTTCGATCCTCGCCGCCTCAATGACCTCTCTACCGAAGAGGTTCTGCATCTCGTGGATAGCCTTCAGATGGTAAGGATCGATCGCGAGAACCTTGGCTCGTTGCTGGTCTTGCGCGGGAGCACCCTCGCCAGCCACCCTAGTCTCGCCTGTCGTCGAAGTTTGAGGCCGGATATTGAGCTCCCTCAACGCTTTATCTATCTCATCCTCCTCGATACCCTGAGGTGCGGAAGCCACCTTCTCTTTGCCGCCGCCTTGCTTCTTCTTTCCCTTCTTTTTCTTTTTCTTGCTCCTCTTCGAAGTCGCGGCGGGCTGGGCTGTCTCTGGTTCTTGCTCCTCGTCGTGCTTCTCTTCGGCTTCTTTCGTTTCGTCGTCGCTTTCGTCTTTATCTTCGTCTTCGTCGTCGCCGCCGAGCGCCGCAAACATGCTGACTCTGGGCTTCACACGCGGCGCCAGCTCTTCCTCCTCAGACTCGCCCTTGGCTTCCTCCTCTGAAGGGGTCGTCGCCTTGAGGAGCTCCTGCTGCTGGCGGATCTTGCGTAATTGTCTGCTCGACATTGTGTGAGCTTTGGTTCTGGTGATGTCGAGAATCACGAAGTCGCGTGTGTGGTTGTGAGTTGTCGGGAAGGATTGGAGGAAGAGCTTCTGCACATGGTGGGGTGTTCTCTTTGTAGTGGGGGTGGGGCAGCAGCATCAGTGGCCTCCAATTGTATTTGAAATTGAAGCTTGCCGGATGCGTCATCACGGTCTATAGACCTTCCAAATCCAAAAATGGACAGAAGAAACAGCATCAAGATCAAATCCAAGTCTGTGAATAGGCTGAGTATTCCATACCTCCGACTCCATCGTTCCTTCCTCCATTTATCCCGTGAGGCTATCTACATCAGATCACTACTAAACACATGTTTAGGAGCATATAATTGGAAAACCGCTGAGACGACACCCCAGCTTTTAGCTTGACAGCGAAATTATCGAGAACATTACAATCACCAAATGATGCTAGTTGTACTGAGTGCCTAATGTTCATTTGTATTAAAGTCGAAAGATGTCAAGGCCCTTGTTGACCATATTGTAGGTCAACGTATGGCAAGAACCATCATGTGGTAGAAGACGGAAAGACTGAAAGGCGCAGAGGCACTCAGCCTCTACCATTTTTCGACCAGGCCACTAGGTAACTCGATATTATACTGATTTTCGTTTTTCGTAACAGCATGGACAGAGCTGTTCATAGTATCTTTCTGCCTTCCAATCCGAAGCGCCGAGGCAAAGATTACCGACCACACCCTCATCATCATAGAGACCAATAATCCTCAAAAAAGCAGAAACCTCCCTTCATCAGCCGCTCGATGAAGATAGAAAAAATGAGCCACAATGCTCGCCCATCCTGTACCCTGGATTCATGGGATATATCCTTTCAAAACTCCGTAAGACGCCTTCCATTCGCAAGCCATGCCAAACCATCCGGTATTGGTGCAATCGTAAAACATCGGAGAAGTCCGCATTGCGCCTCCCAAAAGACTTGGGTCCAGAGCCGAGAACGGAAGGGGGAAAATAAAAAAAAAACAAAAGACGAGAAGAAATACAACGAGACGAGGTTCAGGAAGGGTGGCGGATGGGCATGCGATTTGTGGTAGTACACGGGGTCTAGGCCCGGAAAACCGAAAATGCTGAAAAAAAGGGAACAAGATGAAGGGAATCATTATCGAAGAGCTCGTCGAAGTAGGAGCCCGTAGCTCCCTGAACCAACTTCATCAACAGAGAATCACCCGGTATTTTATGTCGTTTCGTGAGAAAATACATCGAATGCGTTCATGTAAAGGGTGTGAGGTGTGTCGTTGCTCCCAGTAAAAACGACAGTTTACTGGGGCGCGCTTGGCGTCGATGTGACACCATCACGAGGGCGGAAATTTCCTCCTCGACCACCACCTCGGCCCTGGTATCCACCCTGATATCCCCGGCCGCGACCACCACGGCCACGGCCCCTACCCCTATAGTTGTTGCGGAAGCCGCCGTCCACGCTTCCTTGGCCAAAGGTTTCGATGTTCTTGCGCTGCTCCTCACCGCGCCACTCACGGCCTCCAGCCTTTTGGCCACTACCCTCAGCGCGGTCTTTGGCTTCGCTAGAAATGTTGTCGAAGAAGGATTTCTTCTTGTCGTACGCCTGGGGGCTTGCAGGCTTCTCGGCGCTCTCGGTATCCACAACCTCGGCGCCGGAACCATTTGGAGCCTCGGATGGAGACCCGGCGATAGCCTCTTTCACGATGTCATCTTTGTTAAACTTGGCATTCGCTGATGCAAAGTCGAAGTCCGCATCAGGGACCTCGATCTTGCTAGGGCCAGAGCGCCCACCACGACCACGACCGCGACCGGTATGGCCGGCACGTACTGCATGCACGCGCATCTCATTAACCTTCTTTGTCAGGTTATCCATGGCACCACTGCTCTGTTGCTGCGGGACGTGGATGTTGCCCGCCTCCATCTTAGCCATAGCTAGAGCGACGGCTGCCTTGGCCGCCTCAGTAGCATCCTGGACATTGGCGTTGGAAGCTGGCGCTGTGGACTTGCTGCTAGAAGCCGCAGCTCCAGCCATGCTAGCAGGGACCTGGAATGGCTTGGGTACGGCGGGAATCACAGGCGCCACGCGGTTGTTCTTTGGGCCAGTGGGAATCGACTCTGGTTGAGCCTTTTGGATGGCAGGCTTCGGGGCCTTGGCGTCCTGCGATGGGGTGGGAGCTGTGGGAGCCTTCGGGGCACCCTGACCGAGCGACTTCGGCTCAGTTGGAGGTTGTTGGCTAGCCTGAGGAGGTTGGTCCTGTTTGCCAGGGGCAGCGGCAGGCTTTCCCTCAGTTCCCGGTGTACCAACTGGGGTTCTTCGGCTCTTTTGAGCTTGGGCTTGGCCCTGGGCCTGAGCCTGAGCTTGGACCTGAGCAGGAGGGCCCGCAGGACCAGGAACACCGGGAGGGAAGGGGTAGTTGGCATTCCAAGGGCCAGGTCCGGGACCGCCGGGACCGGGCGGGAAGCCTTGGGCCGGAGGGAACCAACCAGGCGGAGGAGGATATGGCATGTTGCCAAAACCGGGGCCGGGAGCAGGGCCGGGGCCACCGCCTCGACCCCACGATCCAGGAGGGGGCCCATAATAGTTGTTAAAGGGAGGGGGACCGGGCTGTGGGAATCCCGGTGCGCCACCGGCAGGGCCAGGTACATTAGGCCTTTGGTTGTTCGCCTCTTGGGGTTGAGCTTGGGGAGCTTCTCGAGGGCGTGCCTGTCAAAGGAAGTGTGGTCTTGTTAGCCACATGTACCGGGCCATGCAACACGTCCAGACTTCAATAAACAAGGTGGCGTTCCATATAAATCAGAAGGAAGGCAACGGAAATATCGACATGGTTTTGCGCTTTCCGACAGTGACAAAAGGTTTACATCCGCAATATTTCATCATAATAGGAACTAGGGCCTGGTGGGGCGCCAAGTGAATATAAACAAACGCGGGGAATACTCACACCAAGAATAGCGGGATCACTCGGCACGGCGGCAGGTTTGGTCTCCTTCACGGGTTGTTGCTCAATTCGAAGGTCCTTGACATCACTGCCTCGGAAAATGATGTATTCGTAGACTTGGTCCGATGGAGGGATGATTTCCTCAGGTCGAGACCGACGACCTTCAGTGCCATACGACTTGACATTTTCAAGCGAAACGGTCGACTGCTCGGAGTTGATCTCGTTGAGGATACCAACGTAGCTGTAGATAGGGAGAAAGAAACCTTGTTAGCATGAACGGTCCTCCGAGGTCGCGAGTCGGTGGCAGGGACGCGCCGGGGCAGGGGGAACAAACCGGACATCGCTCTTGGAAATGAGCGAAATTCGCGATCTAGAGCATCTCGGTTAGTACAAGAATGTTTCAAAAGATGGAACAAGAAGCATTACCCTATATATTCGGACATTTCTGTGGTAGTGGGAGCGTCTAGCACTCTGTGGCTTGCTTTGAAGGAGGAAAACAAGATGAGGTTGAAAGTGAGGTACAAAGAGCAGTGTGGAAAAGGAGAAAAAAGGCAGGAATATGGAATGCGGAAGAACTGAAAACTTGGTGGAACAAGAAAAGAAAGAAGTGGACAAAGGAGAGGCTGGGAGAGAAGGTTTGTGAGAGGAAGAGATGAATGATGGGGAGAATGGAGAGGGAAAAGAGGCGACAATATGTAGCAGGCTGGGTTTGTGCAGAGGAAAGTTTTGCGGTGGGTTGTCTTTGAGATCGAGCATGCAACATGGGGAAAGGTTGGGTGGATGAACCCGGTTCACGTCGTGTGATTGGCCTGGAGCTCAGCTAACATCCTTGCCCAGACCAGGTGCTGGGCCTCTTGAGGTTCCTTCTCTGCCCCATTCTAGTCACGTGAGTCACAAGCTGGAGCAACGTCAGTGTTGAGGGCTCTATTTAACCGAACTTGATCCAGCTTCCTCCAAATGCCATGTCTTGAATTCATGGAAAGCAGCAACCTCTCGGCATGAAACTGGATGAAATGGGCTCTTTCTGATTGAAACTTAGGACTAATACCTCGGTACTGTGTCCATTCATACATTTGTATTGTAGCCATCTATGAGTGGAAATATGTATCTGCCAACTATATTCCACAAACATGCCGCCAACCAACGCCCTACCTCACCTCGCAAGTCTAACTCTGTTTCCAAATCCCTTCTAAGGGATCTCTCTATTTAAGGGTAACAATCTCCTCAGCGCTCGTAGGATGAATAGCAACACATCGGTCAAAGTCCTTCTTCGTAGCACCCATCCTGATAGCAACACCGAATCCCTGAAGCATTTCGCCACTGCCCAAGCCCATGATATGAAGACCAACGACCTTCTCCTCGGGGCCAACGACAACAAGTTTGTAGTTGGTGGGCGCCTTGTCCTCGGGTTCCATCATGGCATAGTACATGGCGGTAAAGCTAGTCTTGTACACCTTGACATTCTCCTTTCCGTACTTCTCAATCGCCTGGGGCTCCGAGAGTCCAACGCTGCCAACCTCGGGGTGGGCGAAGACGACGGAGGGGACGTTATCGTAGTCGAGTTTCGTGGTAGCGAACTCCTCTCCGCCGAATACCCTCTCCGAGAGCCTGCGGCCAGCGGCGATGGCGACGGGAGTGAGCTCAAGCTTTCCAGTGACGTCGCCGAGAGCGTAGATGCCGTCAACGTTGGTGTTCTCGTACTCGTCCACGACAACATGTCCGGCCTCGTTCAGGTTCACGCCGGCCTTGTCTAGGCCAACATCCTGGGTCGCGGGATCCCGGCCAATGGCCCAGATGAGGTGGTCCACGTCCGACACGGAGGTCTCATTTCCGCTAGCGTCTTTGTAAGTTACGGTAAGCTTGCCGGTAGCAGAGTCTTTCTCCACCCTAGACACGTGGGTTTCCTTGTGGAGGTTGACGCCGATTCGCTCGTACTCCTTCACCACAGTTTCTTGGATCATGGGGTCGAAGTGGCGGAGGAAGGTCTTGTATCGGATGAAGAGGTGAGTCTCAGTGCCGAGAGACTGGAACATCCCGGCAAACTCGACAGCGATGTAGCCGGCACCGACAATGGCGACTTTGCCGGGGAGCTTCTCGATATCGAAGAAGCCATCACTGTTAATGCCGTACTCGGCGCCAGGGATGGATGGCGCTGGTGTAGGGTGGCCTCCCATGGCAAGAAGGATCTTCTTGGCCCGAACGACCGACTTCGCGCCGTCGTCGGTGGTAACTTCAACTTCGTTCTTGGAAAGGAGCTTTGCCCAGCCGTGGACATATTCGACACCGTCCTTTTGGAGGTTTCGCTCGTAGATCCCGTTTAGCCTCTTGATGTAAGCATCGCGCTTGTGCTTGAATGTCGTCCAGTCGAAGGGGGCCGTCTCTTGTACGGAGAATCCGTAAGCCTTCGCATGGTGTAACGTCTCGGCAATGGCAGCCGCATTGAAGGTCACCTTCTTGGGCACACAACTAGAGGACAAAAAGAAGAAACCAGTCAGTCAGCCGTCAGGGCCCTCATGTCACATTTCAATATTGAAAGTCGGTAGACGGGAAACTAAGGGGAACTCACCCGACGTTGACACAGGTTCCTCCTAGCCTCTTACCCTCGACAATCATGGTCTTTACGCCAAAGCGGGAGCTAGCCATGCGACCACACGCCAGGCCGCCGCTGCCGCCGCCAATGACAAGGAAGTCGGTTTCCGCACTGATGGGGGCCATGATGGTCGCGGAGGAGGAAAGATGTCGCGAAACTGCAGCTAGTCGCGAATGGACAACGGGTACAGGATTCGGGCGCGCAAAGGATGCTCTCGTGAGAAGTGGAAAGGATCGCATGGGGACGACTGGGAGTAGGTTCAATGTTGGAGTGCTATGGCGGGGTTTATGTATGGGCTCTGCAGCATTTTAATGCCGAGCTGCAGTTCGAACGAGGTACAAGCAATTGCGCCACTTGGGGATTTGAAATCAAGTAAAATCGGGCACTTCTTCGTCAGCATCAACCTGCGGAGCATTTTGTAAGGGCAGATTTCAAGTGGCAGTGGGACTAACAGATTCAATACGAAATAAGTTCTGTTGCTGCACCCTCGGATGCAGGAGAAATTAACTTTGGGATTTCGCTCCCATCAAATGCAAGAATTTCAAGGCATGGACAAGCACTGTCCGTGCTTCGGAGTACACTACGCCGTGAAGAGCAACCCACCCCTAGCTGTCCACAGATTGCTTGATTGATTTGATTTTCAGCAGACCATTCTGTTTTCCGTACCCTGTGGCCTGTGATGATGCCGAGAACGGTCAATGATGTACGAAGTACAGTGACGTCGGACAGTGACGTCGGAGGCTCGCATCGTTGGAAAGGGATCTCCACGGCAAGGGAGAGAAGACTTGCGCAACATCGAATTCAATTCAAATACTTCGTACCAAAGACATCAAAATCTCGATTTCTAAGCACCAACAACAGACGATTCGACTTTGACACCTTCTAATGTCGTTTCATTCGGATACGCCGCCAAGTATTTAAGATTGCAATGTCGATTGATTTATTATTCCAAATCGAACAATGATTTCGACCTTGATTTGTAAAATATCGGATTCATCGATACACCAGATCCATCTTCTTCTGATCCTTGATCCCTCAGATCGATGCGCCAGCGCCATTGAATTGAACGCGACGACGACGATGACTGCAACCACGACCATGACCATGCCCGTGCCCATGACACAGTAACATCAGGGGGTCAATGGATGTAGCGAAATAACGCCTCGTCCGCGCCGACAACGAAGAAAGAAGTATGGAAAGGACCACGCCTCCGTCGGTTGACGCGAACCTGACTCGAGGTCGACTCTGAATCCCACTTCGACGAGAAGATGGCATTTCTCCATGACTTCGCCGCAGAGCCCCATAAAGTAGGCCTTTCTCGTTCCAAACTCCGAGTCGCTCAAGTCCTGTCTTACCCACTTGTCCCGTATCGCTCCCGCCTCGCAACTCATAAATCTTGGCCTGAAGTCCCCGAGCCGACCGTCACTGGCCAGTGCCCTCCATTTGGCATCCCATGAAGACCGGCAATCCCCCAGCTGATGCCACTTTTGATATTTGATAATCCATACGTCTTGACCGTCTTCCCATTTATCATGTGGAATCACATCCATCTGGTAGTCGGTGAAGCAGATGGCGCACGATCTAAGTGACCCCGTGCCTCCGACGAATGTCCCGCGACCCGTATTGTGCCTCAGTTCCGGGATTGCTCGTTGCACTGGCAAGTGGTGGCATGTTATCAAAGTGCTTTTGATGAAAGCCTTCAGCCTACTCTCATCTCCCTTAGGTTGACTTATAATCCGAGTTTCGTGGACAAAGAGTTCGCCGTCGATTATTCGCGTGTTAAAGGATGAGTACGTAGTGATCTTGGACTTGTTTGTCCTCCTTCTCATTGGGATGTTTTGGTATTCATGCAAGGAAGGCCCATGCCCCGGCCCGTAAAGATGGCGATTCATAATGATGCGGGCTGTGTGATATTGGAAGTTGTAGCATCCGGACGGGAGCTGATCATATTGGAGGAGTTGTTTCCGGCATGCGCCATCATACGTTGGGGGGATCGATCCCCCGCGGACATTCCATGAGTGCAGTTTCCCACACACATAGCAGTAATAGAGACTCGGGACGTCTCTCTCAAGAAAAACAAGAAAAGCCTCTTTCGCTGACCACGGCAAGCCAAAGTTCTTTGGGCGAAATTTGTAAAAGGCCCGGCAGGCAAGGCAGAAGGAGACCACCGATTCTGGGGGAAGATGCTCGAGGATCATGTATATGAGCTCGGGAGGGACGTTTAGTGGGCTTGTATGTGTCTTCTTGCTCTTCTCCCCACTGGAAAGAGAGAGGATGGAGCGGAGAAGGCCTTCGAGGTTGAAGACACCCATGGTCAACGGTTGAGCAATGGATAGAATAGAATAGTGGTTTCTTCGAGAACTCATCGAGGGGGTTCGGAGAATAAAAAGTATCCGTTATTAATATGGACAACATATCTAACAAGATATAGATATCATTTCGTGTAGCCTGCGCTGAAGCGGGACTCTGCTTCTTAAGTGGGATCTACGATCAATTCCTAGCAAGCGCGGTCTAAAGGGGCTTTATACGGCCGGCTCCATGTTTACGGGGGACGAATTACACATGCTCAGAAGCTAGCATCAACTACGTAGTGGACTAAAAAAAGAGGCTATTCGCGTCCGACCTGGTTCACACCATTCTCGCGAACTACTTCGTACATCGGCATCTGAGGGACCCTGAAGGCGACTCACAAACATCTAGGAAATGGCTTTCTCGTTTGCAAACCTGATTCTTGTGTGTCGAAGACGCATGGTTCCATATTCGTATGAGGTGAATGAAATCGGCAACTTGACGTCAATTTGAACTAGGCGCTGTCAAAGGTGTCTGCGATCACGTCCGCTGACATAATCAAGGACCACCACAGGACAGAACATCCCCGATTCAACATCAGCATTTCTCCCTTTCTTTAGAAAGCTTGTGAATAAACCAGTCCGGAAACCGTGATGTTCAGACTTGGGGCGAAATGAGAATTTGATATACCGGTATCTGCTTGGCTGCCACTGGTAACGATGCCGGCACCTCTGTACATGCCGAAATGAAAATCGACAGCGACCCTTGAGAGTTCCAGAAGCCACCCGCAAAAAGTTCTCGCAAAAACACTAGCCCCGGCGCGGTGGATTAGTATCAATATGGGCGACTTTGATCTTAACTCGACCTTTATACCGGCCCTGTACAAACCGGCGGATCTTCTTCCTATCGCCAAGTATCAGCGGGAAATTCTGTACCTCGTGGAAACATTTCCCGTCCTTGTCATCGTTGGCCAGACCGGCTCGGGGAAGACAACACAGATACCCCAGTTCCTCGAAAAGGCAGGATGTTGCTCTGGTGGGAAGAGAATTGGGATTACCCAGGTAATTTTACTAGCTCTATGCATAAAGAAAAATTTCGCACGGAATCGCTGACGATGAAAATAGCCCCGGCGGGTAGCAGCTATTACTATAGCCATGAGGGTGGCCGAAGAAGTAGGCTGTGAAGTAGGAAAGGAAGTTGGATACTCGGTCCGCTTCGAAGACGCAACGTCACCATCAACCCGCATTAAGTTCCTCACCGACGGGCTTCTCATACGTGAGGCACTGATGGATCCCCTTTTGTCGGAATATTCCGTAATTATGGTCGATGAAGCGCACGAGCGATCTGTCAGTACCGACATACTCCTTGGACTGCTGAAGAAGATTTTGAAGCGCCGTCCGGACCTACGAGTGATTGTCAGCAGTGCGACAATACAAGCCAGAGATTTTTTTGATTTCTTCTCTACGCTGAAGCTTCCAGGAAAATCAGACAGCGAAAAGACGAGCAGCGACAAGAAGGAAGAGGGGGCGGAGGGTGAGGAAAGCAAAGATGAAGAGCAGGAAACTGTAGCTGCCTTGACGGTTGAGGGAAGATCGTATCCCATTGACACTTTTTACCTCGAATCTTCGACTGAGGATTATGTAAAAAGGGCGGTCGAGACTGTCATCGAGATCCATGAGAAAGAACCCGAGGGAGATATATTGGTCTTCCTTACGGGTCGAGAGGAGATTGACGACGCGATACAGGCTGTGGCTGATCATTTCGTCCAGAGTGGAGATCAAGAACAGACCCTACTTCCGCTGCCTTTATACGCAGGATTGACGGCTGAGCAACAAATGTCCGTCTTTGAGAAACCACCTGAAAATACTCGCAAAGTCATCTTCTCCACCAATATTGCGGAAGCTTCAGTTACCATAGATGGGATTGTCTATGTTGTAGACTGCGGCTTTGTCAAAATAAGGGTCTACGATCCAGACACGGGTATCGACAGTCTCGTCGTCACTCCGGCTTCAAAGGCCTCAGCTGCACAGCGCGCGGGCCGAGCAGGTCGAACGAAACCTGGCAAATGCTTCAGGCTCTACCCGGCCGAGAGTTACGATGAACTACCTGATGCGAATCCTCCCGAGATCCAACGAAGCAACCTTGCCCCGATCATTCTGCAACTAAAAGCCTTGGGAATAGACAACGTACTCCGATTCGATTACTTGAGCCCACCACCATCTCTACTCATGATCAAGGCTTTAGAGTTGCTCTATTCTTTAGGCGCGCTGGACGAATATGCCAAGTTGACACGGCCTGTAGGCATGAGGATGGCCGAACTCGCAGTCGAGCCAATGATGGCCAAAGCTCTCCTCTCCGCTCCGACGTTCGGATGCCTAAGTGAGATGCTGACAATAGCCGCCATGACAAGTCTAGGCGGCAATGTTTGGTTTTACACAGATGCCGAGAGAAAAAAGATGAATGTCGCAAGGAGCAAGTTTGCAGTAGATGAGGGAGATCATCTGACTCTCCTCAATGCCTACATAGCCTTTGTTACCGTGGGCCAGAAGCAGTCCAAATTCTGTCATGAGAACCATCTTAACTTCAAATCCATGACCAAGGCTGTCAGCGTCCGGGCGCAGCTGAAGCGTTATCTCGAGCAGTTAGGCGTGCCCCTCGAAGAGCCGCCATCCGGTATTCGACTCGATAAGGGACGCGACTTCGCCAAGGCGGCGGAGCAGATTCGACGATGTCTGACCACCGGATTCTTCGCTCATGCGGCGAGAATGCAGCCGGATGGGACATTTCAGACAGTGGGGAGTACGATGGTGCTCCATGCTCACCCGAGCTCTGTTATGTTCACGCGACAGGCGGATTGGGTTATTTTCCAAGAAATTATGGAAACGTCGACGAAGATCTTTATCAGAGATATTACCAAAATCGAAAAGGCGTGGCTCACAGAGTATGCGCCGGACTACTATCAGATCAAGGATACCAGCTTCCCAAGAGGTTGACGCGGTCACAGGGTACCTCCATTGCTGAGTAGGATCGATATCAGAATCTAGCCTGAGAAATCCATCGCATCTTCGTACGCTTTAAGGCATCCCGTCAGGTTTGGCTAAAGGCAGTCCCCGGTTCTAGATGCAAGCAACCGATGAGCGGTCAATATAGCCAATCGGGCAGAAGAGAATTCAACCGAAGGGGATGAATTTCAATCAAGAACTTTCGGTGAAAAGATTCAGGCTTGGCGGCTCTGTTGCCAATGTCTCTGGAGTCTCAGATAATCGCGGGTCGCGGAGGGGGACGATTGCACGAAAGAGATGGAATTATTGTCGGTAGAAGCTATTCTTCCAAGGTCGCTTCTTCAACACTCCTTCTTACCCTCGTTGAAGATAGCTTGAGTGATCTCTACACATTTTAGGGACAGCGAAGAATTCGTCATGAATTGCAAAATGTCCACATCACACCCACCACATTACATCAGAGTCCAAGAACGCATCCCCGCCAGAAAGCTACAGGATAGATAGTTTGGAGGAATTGCAGTATATTACCTCGTACCGACTTGGGACCCGAATTCATTGTGTTTCTCTTCGGCCTTGGAAATTAGCCTCGCTTCATGCACCTGTGGCTCATCAGCTGTACATAACGCCGCACTTAACATTACCCGCGCTTGACTCTCACTATCTAGTGACCGGAGACAATACACCAATAACATATCTTCCTCTAAAACAGACCCCATGGTATTATCAAGAAGCCCCACTAACAGGCCCTGTGACGACCACACATCTTGTTTCCTTAGTTTCAACAGGCCGAGACCATGGTCTTCCGATGTTAAGACGCATCAGCTTGGATCTGCGCTGCCCTCCAAGCAGCATAAAACCCTTCGCCTCTCCTGCCAGTCAAGGACGCGAATTCGCGGTTCCAATTCTCCGGGTCCTGGGACAAATCATCCGAGACCCCGTCCCCAGCATCCCGGTGTATCCTCACGACCCAGGAGCTGAGCCCCGCCGCTTCCTCCTCGCCGCCATCAGTTCCGGGCCAGTTTAAGAGGCATATAGTGGCCGTGAAGGTCTCTTCCCAAGTGGTATTTGTCCGGTCGTCTCCGAGCTCTGCCGTAAACGGCACGACGACCATTTGCGGAAAGTCTTTAGGCGATCCCTGAGACATGAGATACTCGACGAGACCTTCGTGCTTCTGCGTAAAAGCCTGGATAGCCGCAGTCCGGCCCTTGTTGTCGCGAAGCGCTAGATCAGCGCCGCGCTGCACAAGGACTTTCGCGGTGTACATGTGACCACGCAATGCCGCCCGATGAAGCGGCGTCTGTCCCGTCGCCGACTGGGTGTTGATGTGCGCTCCGGCATCGAGCAAGAGGCCCACGACGTCCTCGCTGCCCTCCTTAGCCGCCCTAAAGAGCAAAGCGTTCAAGTATGCCTCAGACTTGAGTTCTTCCGGAATTTGCTCCAGTGCTTCTTCGAACAGTCTAGACCAGTTCCCCGAGCATGCGTGAAGCAAGAAGCGGAATGCGATGGGCATGGAATGCTTGATCAGCATTCGGCCCCCCCTCGCCGCGAGAAACTTGGCAGCTCGGAGCCTGGCGATCCATAGATCTTCCCAGTGTCGACTTGTGCGCGGCACATTCGTGTCGTAAACGCCTACGTTGTAGCAACAGTCCAGTGGTGACTTGAGCTTCCCGTCGTCTGACCTGACTAGAACGTTCACCTTCGCCCCTCGGCCGACCAACGCCACGACGACGTCGTAATTACCGTGAAGAGCGGCAACGTGTAGCGCTGTTTCTCCCCGGTGGCGCCCTCGCATGTCCACCGCGTCTCCAGAATCGAAATGGTTGGAAAGATAGTCGAACAAAAGGCGGTTTCCCCACCTTGCCGCGTACGTCAGCGCTGTTAAGCCTGACTCTTCGCATATCACGAAGTCCGGTTTGCGGTCGTGGAAAGGGTGCTGGGGCTCAAGTAGATACTGGAGCGCTGCTAAGGAGGTGTCCTCATTTACGCATATTAAGAGGTGAAGGATGTTTACTACAGATGAAGTTGCCGAGGTAGAGTTTGCTGGTAGAGTCTTGAAGTTTGGATCTGCTCCTCTCTTCAGGAGTTCCGTGGCGAATTCGAAGGCGCCGCCTAGGACTGCCAGCATAAAAGGGGTGAGGTGTCGGTAGGACATGACACCATTCTCGTCGGTGATATCCACAGAATCGGGGTTGATTAGGTCCAGCAGTCTCCTGAATATACCGACATCAGCGCGATGGGATAAGGGGTATGTGAAGAGAAGGGGTGTCATGTCCGGCAAGGGGCAGCTTCCTATGTTATCAGCAATTCTGTCCAGCAAAATCGCCGCCGCGTCCGGGCTTATATACGAAGCTTCCGAAATGAACATTTCGGCGAGATCCCAGGATGATACCTCCCTCATTCTGCAGCTTTGATACCACAATAGATCGTCCACGAGCTGTCCTTGTCCACTTTGCAGGGCTTTTCTCAGAGGCTTGTGTAAATCGCCACGGATGAGCCCGGCTCTCCTTAATTGAACCAGAGTATACTTGAGAGCGTCTCTATACGATGGTCCGTGGAGAATCATGTGGTAATGGTGAGGAAACCCGAACATTGCGAAAGACACCCAGTCCTCCGTGATCTTCTTCTTTGCGCCGTCAAGATTCACGCTTCGCGTCGGTCCAGCGATCCGAGACGTGATCGGGCCTTCAGCGTATTCCAAGAGGAGCTTGATAACCCGCCATGAATTGTACGCAACGGCCAGGTCGAAGGGGCTCATATACTCTCCCGGAGTGGTCGGGTTCGCCCCGTTTCTTAAGAGCATCGAGACAAGATCTTCTCTTCCCTCAATGATGGCCCAGCAGAGTGGCGTCCCTTGGTACTGCTCCTGCCTATAAACGCGGCCGTCGCCAGTGTCTGATCGCTTCGCAATGCCCTCGAGGTCTGCTCCCTTGCTAACCATGATGCGAAGTAGTTTTTCCAGCAACTTCTGGTCATATACATGGATGGCCCAATGGCAAGGAGTCTGCCCATGTTGATTTGATATCCTGGGGTTGGCACCGTGGTGCAGGAGTACCTGAGCGTGATAGCCATATCCAGAGCGCATTGCCATCAACAGCGGCGTATTCCCATCCTTGTCTTTTGCGTCGATATCTGGCTTTTCCAAGTCCAGAAATTTCTCAAAGCTGTCCAAGTTAACACCGTACGCACTCGCGAAATGAAGGAGACTGCCAAGTTTCTGGTTAAGGTACATTCGCTGCCGCTGTCCCTGCAATATTGCCCTTTGTGACGGTGTAAGTCCTTGCTGCCATCGAGGGCTGATAATGGCTTCGATGACCTCTTTACCAAGCTTAGCTCCTTTAGGACCCATACTTTCTGGATAGAAGCGTTCTCTGAAGTCATCCATTGCAGTTTGAGCAGCCTCCGGCTCCAGTTCCAGAAGGTCTTGCCGCGCGATCCTAGATCCTGCAGCCGTCGCGGAGATCAGGTACTCTCGTATGCGGCCAGGATCCTGCCGAAGTTTCAACTGTCCAGCTCCGCAGAAGATGCGGTATATAACACCGCGAGCCGCTTCAGAGCCTAGCTCGGCTGCCTTCTCAAGCCAAGGCAGTGCGGTAGATAAGCTTGGGTGGTCTGAGAACCCATCAAGATGGGACAACGCGAGCTGGAAGCAGAGCTGGGACTTTTCGAGCTTGGATATTCGATCTCTCTCGATCGATGTGACGAAACGTCCAAACAGAACTTGGCGTACTTGTTGTGGCATGTCGGAGAGCATTGTATACGCGTTAGCGCCCTAGATTCACAATCAGCACAAGATACTTTTTTCTCATTTCCAACATTACTGACTCTAAATTCGTGCAACAAATTTCTTCGTCCACGATCCCCAGGTATGTCTCCGGTCTTCTGTGAACTACACACATATTTCTAGTCAGCATTGATACGCGAAAATGTGGCAAAAGCATAAGACCGGACCTATAGAAATCCTCCACGGACAAAGCGCTCAAGGCCGAATCTAGATTCCGTCTCATGGGGTCGAACTTCAATGTGTGGCTAAATGCTCTTCGTGGACAGATAACTGATGCAAGGTACAGTTCAAACTCTTCAAGCTCACTTGTACACTCCACCATATGTCTGTAGAAGTCGTAGTGATCGGCAACGGACTTGGCCGCCTCGCTTTCAATCACATCACCTATCTTTCGAGCCTCGATTTCGCCAGGGGTTAAACCAGGAAACGGGCTCCGGCCTTCAAGGCACAGTGTCCAGATCAAGAGGCCGAATGAATACACATCTGCTGCATGTTGCTCCCATGGCTCAATGCTCTTGCGCCATTCCGGAGCAGTCCAGGGCGGAGTTCCCCCCCTATAGTGGTACCCGCCCTCAATAAGTTGGACAGTAGAGCCGAAATCCGCTAGCTTCGCGACGACAGAGCCGTCCGGACGGTCGAAGACCAGGGCGTTGTCTAACTTCAAGTCCCCGTGAACTATCCCAGAGTGGTGTAGTGTGCTGAGCCCCTCACCGAGGCCTTTTCCGAGCCGGAGCCGTTCCAATGGGGTAGTGTTATTGTCGGACAAGTACTCGCGTAGAGTGCCGTGGGATGCAAACTCGAGGAGCAAAACGGGAACGATCTGATAGCGCCCTTCGACAGCACTTAACCTAGCCCATGAGAAACCTAGTAGGTCAATGATGTTCGGATGATCAAGAATCGGCGGATGAGAGAGTGCCTGGATCTCCAGCTTAATCGCCTGCAGATTCTCGCGGGAGATCCCTCCGCCTTTGCGCGCCGGATCAAGCCTAGGGTATTTGGCCACCATTTGCCTATTGTGGTTGGGTTGGTCTAGCTTCCGGACTTGGAAGAAGGTTCCTGTAGCGATGGGGTGGCTGTTAATGCTGTTGAACAGCCCAGGAACCGCATAATCGATCTTGGATGAGGATGGTAGAAGCTTGATGCCGTTGATGAGTTGAAGAAGTTCTGCGAGGCCATCTTCGGTTTCATCGTCGTCTTGCGACACCGGCTCGGGTTCCTCAGCTCTCGATGGTGCGCTGCTGCCTTCCCCATGGTCATGGATTGCCAATTTCGAACTGAACAAGTCCTGCAGTATTGCGGCCTGTACTCCCTCGTTGCGATCCATGATTGTTGGGTGTGATAACTGATGCCTGGAATCGGTACATGAAACTTCACAATTCGATTTGGCCTAGTGCTCGCGATGGCAGACTCGACGACCGACCTCGTGTCGCACTCCGTAACACAGGCAAGGCTGCGGAGGCCACGGTGTGTGTCGGAACAATGTAAGAGAGGGGAAGGAAACGTTAAAGACATCGTCGCTACCTGCTTTTGGACAGATATTGGACGCCACCTAGCCTCCGTCCCTTCCAATGAGATTTCGAGGCCAACCACCCTGGCAGAGGCAACATTTCCGGTACCGGTAATCCCTCCACCTCTGCTGCCTTGCCGATATTTCCCATCTCCGAATACAGATATGCCTTGAGCAGGCTGTGGTGATTGCGCATTGTTTCGTCGCCCAGGTGAGTTGTCAACAGCCCAGGTTCTCATATCGCGTAAGTATATGAGACCGCCTAAGACAGCCAAGCCTTTCCGTAGATTTGCTCACAAACCACCCGAAGGCTGATCACAGCTTCTCATTTGTTGGCAATGTCGATTTCCAGCGCCTCGCCAACTATCTTCGAAGCCGTGGTCAATGGGGACATTGAAGCAACCAAAGACGCGATCGACCCACGACGGCTGGAGCTGCGGAGAGATTCTAATGGTGACACGGCTCTACATCTAGCCGCACGACACGGATATGGCGATATCGCTAGACTACTTCTACAGCACGGGTCGAGTCCACGGTCCAAAAATCGTAAGGGGGAGACACCCTTGCATGAGGCTGCCAGATCTGACGCAATCGATGTCGCCAAGACTCTCTTAGAGGCGGGGGCGTCCCTTGATGTCGAGTCCAGCCAGTCTAAGACATGTCTTGAAGTTGCAATAGCCCACAAGAGCGCCGGGGCTATCACCCTACTCCTTGAGGCGGCGTCTCCCGGCGCCATCTGGCATGGTCTGAGAAGAGCGGCTCTACGACAAAGCGTGGGCCAGGTCCTAGCGATATTAGACGCGCATATCGACCCAGCCCTTGGAGAGGACAGAGGGGAGCTCCTTCTAGTAGCAGCCTACCAAGGCGACGCCGCAGCTGCTCGATATCTCCTTGAACATGGTGCGAGCCCTAATGTGACCGACCACAACGGGGCAACTCCGCTACATCTCGCCGCATCTCTCGGCCACGCTGATATCGTGAAGGACCTTATCAATGCCGGCGCTGATATCGACGCTAAGGACACGCGTGGTGGCGGCACACCGCTCTTTGCAGCAATCCAAGGACAGAAAATGAACGTGGTAAAGATGTTGCTGGACGCTGGAGTCGCCACGGATGTCGTTATTCGGAAGGGGAGGCTTCGCAGAGATCTCGTTCACATTACTGCTCAAGACGAGAGTCCTGAGATTCTGCAGCTACTACTCGACCGAGGGCTGAACCCAAGGACTTTAGATGAGGCAGGTGCGACGGCTGCCATTCACGCTGCGGGGAACGGACATCTAAAGACCCTTAAAGTACTGCATGCCGCAGGTTGCGACATTCTCGCGCCGTCTCGGGATGGAACAACACCGCTTCTACGCGCCGCACTTGGTGGCCACACGGAAACTGTTTCTTGGTTGCTCGACCATGGGGCGGACATTAACGCTTCTAATTCAGACGGAGCCACAAGTTTGAATGCCGCTATCCAGAATCAACACGTAGATACCGTCCAGTTGTTATGCACAAGGGGAGCTAAGATCACCGAATCACATATTCAAAAAGCCTTCGGCCGCAGAGGCGCTGAGATAGCTGCCATTCTCTTTTCCTCTGGCGCTGCCATTTCTACTCCGAGCAAGGGATGGCAAGCGGCTGTCCTAGAGATGGCTGTGAGGAACGGTAATGCGGCTCTTGCGAGAGAGCTGGTGACGCGGGGGCAATCAATCAACGGGCTCTCCAAAAAGGACAAGCTGGAGTTTCTTTTCAACGCAATCCGGGAGCAGTATGCAGACTGCGTCGAGATATTTTTAGAACAGTGCGACGACAGGAGCCTGGCAAAGGAAGTGAGCCTCATTACCCCTCTCCACCTCGCCGCCGAGGTGGGCAATCTCGCTATCTTCAACATGTTAGCCGAGGGTGGATTCTCCATAAACCCCCGAACCCAGTACGGTCAGACGGTCCTGCACTTAGCAGCGCTCCGAGGATGTGTAGAGATCATCAAGGAGCTTCGGAGGTCTATCAGTTCCGAGAACCAAGACCGGAACGGCAACACGCCGCTCCACTGGGCCGCATCGACCGGCCATGAGGGCGCCGTTCGGGCGCTACTTAGTCAAGGCGCCAGCGTACGCGCCAAGAACGACTACGGCCTCACTCCACTGCACCTGGCCTGCGGCGAAGGACACGTAGCTGTCGCGGAAGCCTTACTCGAAGCCGGGGCTGTCCCATCCGCGACATCGCTCAGCTTGTCCAACGCTTTGCATATTGCCTCGCAGAAGTCTGATGAGATCGTGGAGAAGCTCTTGGCGACGGGGAGGGTTGACGTCAACGCGACCCAGTCTATGGGTAAGACGGCACTGTTGCTGGCTGCGACTCGGGCGATTGCTGTCATGCTGTTGGACCACGGCGCGAACCTGTCCGCTATGTCTTCCGATGGGTTGAATGCGTTGTGCACGGCGGCGAAAGCTGGGAACACGGACTTGTTCACATATTTGTTCCCCAAGTTTGACGACTGGCTAGACTGCGAGGAGAACCAGGTCAAGCTTTGGCGTCTCGTGTGTCAGGGTGGCAGCGCGGATATCTTCAGATTTCTGAGAGCAACCCGGATTCAGCTCCACGATCTGGACCATAGCGTATTGCTATCTCTTCTAGCTGAAGCATCGGCAAATCCGAAGGACTATATTCTCTTGAACTTGATCGAAGCGCTTCTAGACGTAGGATTATTGCAAGATCTCAACCTTGCCTATCGAATTCTCTTGGTGGCCGTCGAGGCGAAGTGCTTAGAAGCTGCGAGGAGTCTGGGATCTCTGAAGGGGATATACGACGTTGTTTTTCGTGGGTCGTCTCCTCTTGAACTAGCTAAGAAAGGTGATGATGAGGATCTTGTTGAAGCACTCCTCGAGACCGGAGCCGAGTGAATCTAAGCCACAGACCTCATGATACGAAGATTTCGGCTTGGAATATTTCATAAATATCATAATGTATTCTGCGGACGGTTTCACAGGGAATAAGGAGTCCTCCTGTGTATACCCAAGAAATGCCGAACGCCTACATGATGTCAAACAGACGCTTCTCGCTAGAGATTTCCTCTTGATTACGACACGCTCCCCAACTCCCGCGCAACTTTCCAAAAGAATACCTCGTGAACATTCGACGGCTCATCGCCTTCATCCTCAGCCTCCTTCCACATCTCGTCTTCATCTATGCACTGCAGGACGGCGCGCTGATACGCCTTGCCCATGAAGTGCGCCAGGTAGCCTTCACAAGCATTTCTTATGGCACGTCTAAACTCCTGAGCGTCTTGATTCTCCTGTTTAAAGTAGTAAATGCTCTGCCACATGCCGATTTCGAAGAGGACTAGCCCGAGAGAGTAAATGTCATGACGTTTTTCGTAGCGTTTGTGCGTGTCAGTGCGGAGCTCCGGGTGTTGGTAGAGATCGAACTGGCTCCCGACTTGTCGCACATCAATCGTTTCTGAGGACTTGTCCGACGTCCTCCCCAGACCGAACCCGACCAGGACTGGGTGCGATACCATAAGCCCGTCCGGGCCATGAAAGAAGAGGATATTATTGCTATTGAAGCATTTGTGCAGCCAGCTGATGCTGTGAAGTCTTAGAAGGCCTTCCGCTAAAAGCTTGGCGAGATTGTACCTCTCTTCCAAGGAGGGCAGGATGGGTATCCTATGCGGCCGTTTCGGTGCGTTCGGGTGGCGAGGAAGCAGGCAAAGGAGAGTCCGCGGTTGTTTTATCGGGTCGGCTTCATCGGGTGGCCGGTAGAGGATGAAGAACTTGGAGCTAGTTACCCGGACGTAGCCTTCACACATGGGCAGGTAGAGATCACTTGGGCGAGCCGCGTCCTTAAGGAGATAGCTGAGTCGACTTATACGAGCGTTGAGAAGCTCCAGCGTGTCTTGGTTCGCGATTGTGCTGAAATCAACAATCTCGACCACCACGCGGTAGGCCTCGGCGTTGGAATCTTGGCCTGTATGCAATATGAATAGGGTAAGTTAACAGAAGAGGGCAGATAGCACGGAAGCAGGAAGCACTTGCCAGAATGAAGGCTTGTAAGACGATAGTCGACAGAAGCAGGTGTGTTCTCTCCGAGCTGTGGTAACCGGAATAAATCCAACGGCGCAGCGACCGGTCCGATGTCTCTGTCGAATTCTGGTCCTGTTTCTAGTTTTTCCCTCTTCATACCGCAGCACACGTAAATGTCCTGGTAGATGCTACCACTAATGCTACGTGATGCCTTTCCAACACTCTCCAACTCCTTTTGATCATTTAAGTGGCCCAATACCCTCACTTGCGTCATCATGCTGTGAGCTTGCTGGTGCTGCAGCGGCAAAATATCGCGTAGGCCATCGTTCCAATACCTCAGTTGTTGAACCAAGTCTTCTAGCTTTGCCATGTCGCTATCCTCACTGAATAGGCTCCAACCGAAGCGCAATTTACGGAGCTTTCCTGTTTCCTTGCCCAGACGGAGCTTGAGCCTACTCGACGCAGCAGCAGCCTGCTCTACGCCGGGCTTAAAACTCACGGAAGTAGGGAGGGAGAACTTGTGCTGTCGCGTTGCGGGCAGCGGGATGGCCTGCTGGGTAGGGAGGTTTGGCTGCGTGGCACCCGCGCCGACCGGCTCATCAAGCTTGTCAGCTATCCGGTTCTTCTCTAGGAGTTCCCGGATCTCAGCCAGGACTGTCTGAATCTGCGCTACGATCTCGTGAGCTTTCGCCGCGGTCTGGAGCAGGTAGTGGGATCTAGAGCTAGCCTGGTGGGTTGTCTGCGCTGAAGCGGTGCTTGCTGGCTCTGACCTATCCTCGATTTCAAGGTAACCGCTTTGCTCCGCCCAGGTCTCAAAGCGAAAGTACTCGAACGATATTTTTGCAGTAAGAGCCTCTGTTTAGACATCAGGCACGAGGAACATGGCTTTATTGAGCACCCAGCTACACATACCGGCTACCGCGCCAAAGGACTGCATCGCGGCAATGTGGCGATAGACGATGATAATCTGGCCCACCAAAGTGGTGGCATTGACCAAGGTGCCGAACACATCCATTATTTTAGGCGTACCTGCACTTTGCGGAGTTCACGTCTACGGAGGAGACAGGATGTGCTCCAGGCGGCTGTCTTCAGCATCTGCGGGGGCGCGAGAGAAACCGTCAATTGGTGTACTCCGTACTTGTAAGCCTCATTCTGAGCGGTCTTCTCTTAACGCCGTTCGTTGGCTGCAATCAATTTCCAACATTGAAATCCCTATCCTGATGACTAAAATATTACCTCGACTTAAAATCATAATAATAGTGCCTGGTTCATTAGGCGAAAATATCAATACATCGGATGAAAATGTGTGGTTGATGCAGGAGATTGCGCCGAGCTATGGATCCGCCTCCTGACGAAGAAGATCAAGGAGCTCAAGATAGAGTTGGAGTTGACGAAATTTTGGCGACTCCTTCATATGTAACCCAAGAATGTTCGTTTTGTTTCGGCAGGGAACCAGGTATTACAAGACACAACATACCCCTCTCAATTTTGGCTCCCGTCATTCAGATCCTGAATCGATGAGCGGAAGCTAGTTGTGCATCATGCGAACCATGGTTTGCGTGATTATTGCATCGACGACCACAGATTCGAGGCCAGCGCGTGGCGGAAACTGGTCAATGATAGCGCGTCTTATCACGGCCTTGGACGGTGCAGAGGGCGGGAGACTTGCTTCTCTCGAAGAAAGCCATGCCCCTACTGTTGATGCGATGCTGTCAGTGGTGGCTCGAGTTGTGATCAGATATCTGTCATCGGACGGAGAGGCTGATCAACAAAAAAACACCTCCACATGCCGTGGTGGAGGGCATATCCACAATAAGATGCACTAAAATGGAGGATGTGCATTAAGATGCGAAGCTTTTGATCCGCTAACGATTCCCGGCAGGGCTCTCATCTCCGATGAACAAAATTTTGTGCTCTCGCCGCATATCTCGACTTGCGGGTCCGCTTTGCGTGCGCAAGACTTTTCAAAATTATTCTCAAAGTCCTGCTGAGAAGAGAATTTTTATCCCTGCCCGGGAGATTGGGACGACCTAACTGACGTGGCGAAGAAGGATTCCGATTCCTTTGTAGTTTTCTGTAAGTTGTACGAAGACAGCATTCCTCGTGACCAAGGGAGAGTTGAGGTCCGATCCTTACATATCTGGTCCCACGTTAGGCGCGACGCCTCAAAATTGTGTAAGTGAATGCCATTGCTACTTGAGACTCCGATTTGTTGCTTCAGTGCGTACTTTGAAGGTGAAGCCAAGAGACTGCTCCTGTGTCTCAAATCGACGAGAGGAGCGTGGAATATTATTATTAAAGGACTGAAGGTGACAAGACCATCGATTGTCATTGCAAGTCTGACCAGGTTTGCCCTTGTCGCTGTTATCTCCGATCATACCTAAACTGGAAACTCACGAGAATAGGGGAGGCGTGGAACAGCGAGAACAAAGTGGTGTTTCTCTGGAGTAGTGTACTTGGGAGTACCTTGAAGCTGTATCAGGAATGTGCTAGTGAATATGTATTGGAAGGTCACTAGTCTGACAGTCGAGATCATCCTTAGACCTCAAGTGATCCACAGACATTCCAGCGGTACGAAGTACAGGGTATTAGCAGCCTTGGTGATGGTTGGACAGCGCGAACGGGCCAATGAGAACGCAGTCTTACTCCACTGTGATGTCGTGTACCTGAATTGGTTCTCCCACTTGTAGTCTGTTCCTGCATGGCTGCGCCTTCTGCCGAATTAGGGCCTCCACTCGCCTAATCCAAGTCATTTCCCGTTGATGAAAGGGGTCAAGATGGCTAAAAGTACTTCACTTACAGAGCGAAACAGCTGGGCTCTGGGGTACCATGTCCTACGTGGTACTCCTATCTTTTGATTAGCTTCCTCCTAGAGATCCTGTAATCCACGACTCCAGGTACTCGGGTGCACTGCGGCCCTCCTCAAGGTCCTTCCTTCTCCTGGGATGGTCCCCTTAGATGCCCAAAAGACTGGGGGCCACCAGGCGAGGAAGCGGTGATTCCAAGGTTGTATCGTCAAAAAGTACTCACGCACTGAGGTTTTACTGCACTAGACGGGTAGTCTATACAAAGCCCGGACACGGCACGGTACAATGTATAAACGCTGAAACCCCGCTAAATCCACCGTACCTAATACCTCGATGTCAAAGTAGTCTAGTGTACATGCCACTTCCATCCCAGCCAATGCAGCGATTAGACGCCCCGAATAACACTCACTGTCACTTCCACTAAGAGCCAGAAATGCATGGTCCGACTCCTTTGGGAAAGGGGAGGTTGCCTTTTCTTCTCTCCTCACCTTCTCTCTTCCTTCTCACCTTCTTTCCATGTAATCGTCAACTCGTTTTCCGTCTTCGCCTTTTTCAAGATTGTTGCGCCCTTCCTCGTCGGTGGGCTAGTCACTCCTTTTCGTATATTGTGTTTTCCATTCATTCGCTCCTTCATTGTTTCGGTCCCCCGCGTGCTCGGCTTCGGCTCCTGGCATGTCATTCTAACAAAGTCATTCTTTTCTCACTCACGTTTAGAAAGCCAGGCGTCTCCTCGATTGCACCAGCACCGAACGTGTCACTCTTTTATCTTTGCGTTTTAACAGTTCCCGCCGACGTCTGACAGGATCGACCGCTTCTGCACCTTCTCACTGCACGGCACGAGATTTGCGTTCTGTTTCCAGAAACACGGAACCAACTGGTCGATCAGTCGGCTATTGTTGACAAGAGTCGCCGGAATTTAGACGAATTAACAATCGCCGACGAACGAGAGTTGAAATTTACGGAAGACGGGCGGAAGAAGAGAAGAATCTGCAGTGGTGTGTGATTGTGAATCCCTCGGAGAAGAACCAGGACGACACGATTAGTGTTTATTCTACGAGAAGAGGCAACCCTCGGAAATCTCTCAACTGCTAGTCAACCGGAGCCTTGAAGGTCATGATATCAACCCATTTCGCTCAGTAAAACGCACCGACAAATCCTCGACCTTTCGACTGACAAAGGAGGCTGGGACCTTTTTCCTACTAATTACTGCACCACAGCAACACCTCTATCGGATTACTACTTTTGCGAGGGCGTTATGATGGAGCCGTTCTCGACGAATGGAAGGACCCATACCCTGGGGCCCAGGATTCCCATGAATCCTGAGCCTCTCAAGGCGGTCAGGTCTCCTTCCTCCGCCTGGACTATGGATATTCCTTCTCGAATAGTGGGACGATCGGAATCGACCTGTACCTCGGAAAATGCCAATATGTGCGAGAAGCCTGTTGGCTCCCAGTCGCTTACTCTGCCCATTGTCCTTGGTATTGTGTAAGTAACGACCGAGACTCTCTGTTCGCACAAAAAAATCCGCTAATTCCCAACTAGCATTCCCATCGTTGGCATCACTATCGTCTTGTTCTTTCTTCATCGCAGGAATGTCGCCAAATTCAGGAAGGAGGAGCAGGATGACCCCAATAAAGAGTTGGACTTTGGCTTTGGCGATAAGAAGCAAAGCTTGCGTCGGAGCATCTTCGGTCTTGGAGATAAAAATCCCAACCACAAGCATCAGCTCTCCATGGATATGAACATGTCGACTCCGTATTTGCTTCCCCCTCAGTTGCAAACCTCCCGAGAGTCTTTGCATTCGCTTGCCCGCTCGATCCAGAATTCAGAGGATCCTTACCGCCCCGTTGCGCAGTATGCCGGCAGCGAGGTTGGGTCGTTGCGGTCTGTTCATCGTGGCCCCGGAGGTGAATTGGCTTCTATTTATAGCGGCTCTACTCGATCTGGTGGTACGCGGGATTTGGCTCCCCAACGTCAGAACTCGCTCCCGCGTCCGCCACCTCCCACGGCGGATCCTTTCCAGCGTCAAGCAATGCCGGGCTCGGACGATGGAATGTCCCCAACTTCGCTCTCATCCCCCGATCCTTTCAAGCCGGCACTTGGTTCTGCACTCTCTCGAAAGCCTTCAGTTCCCTACCCCGACGAGAAATTGCCCATTGATGAGCCGAACAAGGCTGAAATGCCCGATCCTGAGAAGTCTGCTGTAGTGTCGCCTACCCTGCCGAAGATTGATCTTGGGTTCCCCTTGCAGGGAAGCCAGAGCCCTCCCGCCGGGTCTTTTGTCACACCCATGTCCGCCACTATCGAAACTGTCGATCCGCACTCGAACTCGCACGATTCGTTCCCCCATGCCAACATGAATGAGAGGCAAGATATGGGCGACTCCCATGCTAACGTTGGCATCGCCCACTCGTCACCTCCCCCACAGCTAGCAACACCGTATGACCCGTCTCCGCAAGTACATGCAACACCCGCCTACAACGACAGCCAAGCCTACAGCGCCTATAATCCCAGCCAGGACAATCACCAAGACGGATATGTAGACTACGACTATGACGAACCACGCGGTCGCACCGCTCATCGAGACATGGATGATGCCCAGCGCGGAAGTCAATTTTTGACTGCTCCCAATATGGAGAACAAGAGACTCTCTGTTGGCTTCCGCCCGCTCCCTCCGGATGACATTATGGACACCGAGGATCCCGAATATCGCGCCAATCGAATTCGTTCCTTCTACAAGGAATACTTCGATGACGGCAGCGCTGCTAATCGGCCGCCTGTTCCTGAACTCCCCGCCCAGATCCCCGAGCGGCGAGTGGGTACTCCCAACCAGCAACCTCCTCGCCAGGCTCAGTCCAATGAGTACTACGAGGATTATGATGGTGCCTATCTCGAAAACACATTCTTCGACCCGGGAACGAATTCGTTCGTCATGCCATATGCGCAGCCTGTGCATCGCCGTGCGATGACGCCTCCTCCTCGAGCTCCCCGTCATCGTGGTCCTCCACCAAGAGCTGTCCACGGCTCCATTGGTGGCATGAGCATGCAGAGTGGCCGACCTCCCTTCCGCCCCGGTTCTGCCACCTCCAGCCGCTATGGTCCTCGACCTGGATCGTCTGCATCCGCGCGCCTTCCCAGGGGCAAGCCAATGCCTCCCCCGACCGCGCTCACCACTCTGCCCAACCCCGCCAAGCTAGGAGATGACACTTTTGCCCTCCTGAATGCCACGGATTTCGCGCCCCCTGATAATTTCAAAGACCATGTCGCAGGACGCTCTCAAAGCCCGGCTCCCGAGCGGCGCCCCTACCAGCTGAATGTCCCGATTCACTCCCCTCTGGCTAGCTCTCATGACGACTTAGCCGTCATCCCAAGCCCGTAAGCTACCACCCCCTCTTCCTCTTATCCTGAAAGCGTTGACTAACACGACGATACGTAGGCATCTCTTGCGAAAGTCTGGAACATTCACCGGCCTAGACTTCGCCCCTCCGCGACGATTCAAGGACAATGGTGACGTCATGAGTGACGCGGGTAGCATTAGGAGCTACCGAAGCAACAGAAGCGGCATCTCTGCCGCCAACAATTACGCGATCCGAAACGGAGCAGGTCGAGTAAGCCGGTTACCGGGTGACACAGTGTTTACCCAAGCACAGTTGGCAGACCAGCTCAAACCCTCGTGGACTATGCGCCCTTAACGAAACACCACTCGCTTTCGATTTTCCTACAGTCAATCACGCATTCGCTCCTGGAACCCAATTCAAGCATCGATGCCTTGGGACGTGCGACCCGCGACCCGCAACCCCGATGTCTTGGAATGTTGAACCACCGGAATGCCAGGTGCTCCGGGTGTTGCCGAACAATACACTACAGGGAATGAACTTTTCTTTTGCGCATCAGCGTTTATTTTTATGACCTCTCGCTGCCTCGAGAGCAGTAATGTCTTTTGTTTATTACATATATATTCTGGCGCGTTTTTGCATTTTTGGGGGTGTTTCATGTCGCCTTCTTTTCTTTGCGGCTCTGCTGGACTATTACAGTCATGACAAGTCAATTGGGAACGCATCGGTTTGCATATAAATATGTTTTGCTATACACGCACGCACACAAACAAGCACGAGAACACAAATGTATATGCACTCATGTATATTTATATATATATATATCAACATATATATATGTATTCAAGGCAAGTGTCAAATGGGTTGTGGAGGAACAGTCAATGGTGCGAGGAAGATGGAGAAGCGGTATCCGTCTGCTAGTTGGACGTGATTTTTTTTACATATACATTTGAGAAGGCATCAATTAGATTTGGGAAATGGGTTTCTAGTTCGGAAAGAAGACAGAAGAAGAAAAACTCCGTAGATGGAGGCCAAAAGATACTATTCTATATGCTCCTCGTGGCCTAAAGTTGGCGATTCCGTGTGATCGAAACTCAGCGATGTGGCTCCCGGCATGAGAGCCATCACTCTTAAGGGAGCATGTACGATGCATCACATCACCTCAGCACAGCCATCTCAAATTTGGCTATATTTGAGGGCCGGTGTCTAGATCTGGAAGGTTGATACCGCTGTCCTAAAAGCAGTGTGGACGGAGTAGCCAGAGGCAGAGCAGAGCGTGGGGCTTAACGTCTCTCTCCGTAGGTTTTCCTGGCTTCAAAACATTGAAAGCAGGCGGGGACAACTGGTATGCAGACGAGGGAACTCTACTTCGTGGTTTCCTGGAGATGGACCGGTGGGGCTTGAGATCTAGACGAGGAGGATCGCTTGCGAAGACTACTTCTTGGGCGGGGCACGACAGGATCTTCAGATGTCCAGTTTGAAGGTTAAAGTGACCGCGATGCGATCCAATTGGTTCTTGGTGGTTTTTGGCCTGTTGAGACTTATGTGATCGCCTTGGCCAAGTTCAACTTGAGAGTGCAGTTTCCCTGCTCAATTCTGTACTACGAAGGAGACTAGTCGCAAGCTGAGGCATGAAGTTAATATCAGGTATTAAGAAAACACGAGATCGAGAGATATTGGTCGTATCTAGGCGTGGCGAGCTTCAGAGCATATGGCTAGCGTGAGGCTACAGCCGTCTACTGCATGCACGATGGGTTGGTAGCCCAGATACGAGGACGGAGGCGAATCTGTTCGTTTTTGCTGATAGATGTTGTCTTCTCAATGTACTCAGTAGGCATGGTAATTACCGGTTTCCTACGAAGTTGGATGCGCCGCTGAGTGATAGTAGGGATGGGATTATCAACGGGCTCAGACTGATCTGCTGTGATTCACGGCAAGATCAGATGGGCTCGGCCAATTGGTAAGATGGACATCTTTCGGCAGAACAGGATCGACGGCACGATCCGGAGAAGCGAAGTCCTATGGAACTTGAGAGTTTCGTGTTGGAACTAGCTAGCCTTCGATAGCTTCGACCTCGATGTTGATTTGGTTGATGAATGCATTAGAATACCTTAGACATCGATCCCTTGATGTCGTCTGGACTCAGGCAGCAAGCAGCGGATAAGAGAACAAGCGCCTTTTCCGTCCGTTCACGGGATTGATGCGGAAATTACAGATCAGCAGGTCCCGATTAAGCAGGTGGGCAAGAATGCACAAAGGTACTTCAATGTACTACGAAGGAATGGGCGAAGGAATCATTGATGACTCGCTTGGCTGACCAGCCACAGACCGAGCAAGCCCTGCCAAATGCCCACGAATATCCAAGGACAAAGCGTAGAATTATGAAGACGGAAATTCAGGTTAAAGTGGCGTAGAACGCACCGATATTTTGGCCATCGCAAGCCTTTTCTGTCAATGGAGCGCATCTCCCACTCTCACCTACCAAAAGCAATTCTCACGACGCCGTTTTGGCAACAGTATCGAGGGCTCGACGGGGCGTTGCTGGAGGCTTGTGTTCGTGCAGTGTACCTGCAGCTCGCAGCACGCAGCGCAGGCTCAGGTGGCACATGAGCCTCGGAAGGTGGATCGCGGTGGGCTCGGTGCAATTTTGGGAGCTGATGTTCGCTGGAGATATGACCTTAGGATTGGTGGCTCTTTTGCAGAGAAAGGGGAAAGAGGAAAAAAAAATCCCCAAATTAGCACATTCCACGGCCTGCATCGGATTCAGGGCGGAGGTCTGTGGGTTGACCTATCTGGCTTGACCGGTGTCGTGTGGCGTAAGACGCGCCAGCGCGTCAGGACACAGCACGGAACTCTTCTTGGTCGCCAGGGGAGCAAACGTCTCAGACATTTGATTCTTCGTGGGGCGACGACGATAGTATCTTCGACACCAGCCAGGTGAAGACTGGCGTTGGGGGGCAGGAGAAACAAAACAAGACAGTGGGTGTCTGGCTGCGTTCAGGGTGGAGGAAAGAATGCATCAAAGTGTGGGATACGCAACAAATAGTGCGTTAACTTTCGTTTACCGAGGTGTTGGGCGACCCTGGGTTTAGAATTTCCTAGTTTCTCCAGAGACAGGTTTAAGGAAACCAGGGCAAGAATAGCTTTCGGATCCAAGGGTCCGGAGACCCTAACGTTTGGGCTCATCCTTTAGTTCAGGAACAGAAACAAACGATGGCTGTAGCGTGGTGTAGTGGACTGTAAGTCAAGTCTGCACGCTACGGTGTACATCAGCACAAGTACGAAGTACCCGCTTCACAGTCGGCAAACTATCAGGGTTTTAAGATTAAATCTCACGACCAGCTGTACTCCCGAACTTCCCACTTCGACTTGCCCGAATTACCTGAAGCCAGCCATCCTTGACAGGCTCCCTGGCAGGACAAAAGCTTATTCTCCTCGACGATTGAAGAACACTGAACGTACGACGACACATCCCACCCTCCTTAGTGATATGTCAAATGAGAGTGGGCTAGAAGCTCTGATATCTTGGTGCCATACAACGCCAGATTGGATGATGGATCGATCGGTATTTGGCACTTGGTCGATTGATACCGTGGGCTTGTACCTTGGTCAAATGGTTACGGTCATGGCCAAGAGAGGATCATTACAGACAACGAGGGCAACGATGGCAACGATGGCAACGATGGAGAATAGGCGAGGGAATGTACTTGTACATATGAGAGTCGCACCAAGACACCAAGACTTAACGGGAAGCAGTCGCAATATATCATATTGATCAATGATCTGCCTCCTTGCGGGGACCGCTTCGAATTGGGAAACCCCACAATACACATGATACTTCAAAGTGCAACCTGACTCTGGCTTAAAGTGTATGCTATGTTACGGAGAGACTACGCTGTCTGGTACCTGTATTTCGTACTTTGCCAGGTCTGTCCTTGCCCAGGAGTAGATTCTGCTCCCCATAAGCCACTGATTCCAATTTTTATTTTCTAGTGGAAATGGTAGTTAGTCGTGCCAGCACGATTGTAACCGGTGCTACTTGGTGCTTTCAGTAAACTACTGAGAGGGCCGACCCTCGCCATCCTTCATTGTGAATGGCTGCTGTCGATTACTCTCCGATCTAGACTCCGTTCCCGCACGGCCAATCCTGGCAGGCTGAGAGGGATCCTGTCTCCTCTGACCGTTGAATGCTCGTGCCCATCAGAACAATCAATCCCGCCGAGGTCTTGCTATTGGCCTCACTTCCTTGCACAATGACGACCGCCAGGTCCAGCAGACCCTTTACTTGATGCGATTATATTACACTTCACATATCAAATACTGTAACCGCATATGCGGCAGCATTCCATCCATAATTCGCCATTAATCCGTAAATAACTGCGAATGACGGTCTCAGACGAGCAACTTCCCAGTACGAAGTACAAGTACCCCTACAAATAGAAAAAGCAGAGGTAGTATCGATGCATCGATGAACAATGTACAATCATAGTGTAACCGTACGAAGTAGAACACCATCGGTACTTGTTTTGTCTTACTAGTTGAGTGGTGTTCCAAAGTACTCTGTCTGGTCCACCGCCCACCCACCTGGTACTCAGGTACCATCCCAACTTCGTACTTCGTACCTCGTATCCCCAGGCTACTGGACCAAAACTGCGACTGTAGCGTCCAGTACCCGCTCCACCGCCCACACAACGCCAAAACGCTACTGGCCCCAAGGCCCGCACTTCCTTCCTCATGTCTCCCGTGGTCTTCGTTCTTTCCTACTTCGTAAATTTGATATTATCCGTCCCTCCCATGTTTCCTTCAATGGTTCCTTCCTTCTAGATTAGACACATCACGTCCCTTTAACCCCTCAAAACGGGATTCCCTTCGTTCTTTTACATTTCTTTCTTTTTTCTTCTTTCCCTCCCTTCGTTTACTTCCTTTTAGCTCGTCGTGAGCGGCTTCGCGAATCGCCTCCGCCAACCTTCACAACTAGTGTCCGACAGACCGAGCGACCGACAGGAGCGTGCTAAGCCCCTGGTTTATTTTTATCCCCGTATTGTTGGTCAGGAGAAGCCTATACCGAAACGGGCGCGACCGTCACAGCCACCTTCGAATCATTTGCATCCGCTCGCTTGATTTCTTACTCGACCGACAAACCCGGCAGTACCGTCCACTCTTTTTTTCTGCATCAGAAAAAAAACCGTCGTGCATCCCGAACCACTCGCTCTTCACTGCTCCGTGGTGCCACCCGTACACTCGCTTTTTTTCTTTTCGGTCCCCCGCTCTCCTCTCTCTCTCGAGTCTAGCGCTACCCGCAGGAGACCTTGTTCTCGTCCTGCCCATCCGAGTCTCCAACATCACCATCCAATCTTTTACTCTCGAGAACTATCACCTGCGTCAACTATTTTGAACAGCGATTTCAAAACCCTGCTTCTGGTCGGCAAGTTGGGCCAGCTCTGTGTTACAGATCGACTATTCAGCTGAAGGTATGTCTTGTTTTTACTAACACTTGAACGTTTTTGTTGTCCCTTACACCGTCGACATGGTGCGCCAAAACACGACGAGGAGGCGCATGGGCGGCTGCTGGTGGTTTTCTCTTGCCTCGTCCTTTTTGTTCTTCTCCAGGAGTCGGCGCTTGCGACCTGATAAGTTGCTGTTGTCGTGGAAGGAAAACAATGGACTCTCGGTACTGTCGTTTGTTTACTGCTCCCGTTTGAGCTTTCCTCATCTTCATTCTGATGTCGGTCGCAATTGAACCTGGGCTCTTCATCTGCGTCTCAGTCACTCTTTTCCTTTCGTAGCGCTGTGCGCGAACTTTTCTTTTTTCTTTTCTTCTTCTTCATCTTCTCTTGTTTCCTGTCTTTCGTCCTTTGCTAATATGCCACTTTTGCACAGCCAGCACCCGTGGCCTCGGTTCCAAAGGTTCCAAAACACTACCATGGCCGACGCTTCCAGTATGGAAACCCCCTCCCCAAAGTATCGCGATGCGAGTATTTGCAGTCAGGACGAAGACACAGGCCTGCGTTTTTGCGTCGCCCCTGATTTTACTTGAACCTTGCTAAGTTGTGACCTTTTAGGTCCCGTCGTCCCTCCGGCGACGGATAATACTCCTGCACCCACTCCTTCCGCCTCGGAATCTCCAAACCCTCCTCCCCAAACCTCTCAGACCACTCCTCCTGAACCGACGAAAGAGCCGGAGCCGACTCCGACGTCCAACACCCCAGTCCAACCACCGGAGTCCACACCGCCGCCAAACAACAGCCCTACAACAACACCTCCGGCTCCCGATGAATCAGTTCCGCCAACCAACGAAGATAAGACGAGTGTAATCGTTACCATTGTTACCAGATCCGGAACGGGAACTCTTCCTGGTACTTCGTCTACCCCCACCTCTAGTGATGGTGCGCAACCAGCCGGCTCAAACGGTGGAAGCGGCGGTCTTAGCAACAGTGGGAAAATTGCCATCGCTGTAGTCGTACCTGTAGTGGCCGTTGCTCTCTTCCTTGTCGCGGCTATATGGTTCTGGAAACGCAGGAAGGCGAGGAAGGATGCTGAGGAGGAGAGACGTAAGGAGGTCGAGGATTACGCCTACAACCCGAACGCCGACCCTACCATCCCCGCCGTCGGTCTCGTTTCTGACGGTCCTTACGAGATGAGGGAGGACACCACCTCGGGATACCGTGGCTGGGGATCAACAGCGACACCAGGCTCAAATGGCCCCAAGGCCCCAACTACTCTTTCAGGTAGTGGTGGTGGATACACAGGTGTGGCCTACTCCGATGCCACTTCGCCACCTTATGCTCATGTTTCTGACACCCGCTCAGGAGAACCCCTCGTGGATGGAAACCCCGCACGCGACGGTTCCTACTCTCCCGAAGGCGAGATCCTTGGTGCCATGGGTCCCTCAGCCGCCGCCAACAGGGGCGGTGACATTCACCGCGGACCGTCGAACGCTTCGTCATCGTATAGTGCCGGTGCCCGTTCCGATGGTTCCGTCGACGGCGCCATGGGAGGGGCCTACCCGAACCAGTACTACGACCAATACGGCAGCGGCAATCCTTATGCGAACGATATGTATGCTGGACAGCGGCCTGCTGATGCCCCCGTGCAGCCCGTTATCCGCGATAACCCGGCTCGACGAAACACGCGCATCGAGAGCCCCTCCCACTACCCTCAGCAGAGCGCTGGCATTTCTCAAAACTTCTAGACAATGTCAGCTGCTCTTCAATGATTTGACGCGAGGGGGGAAGCGATCATGTCCCGCTCGTCGTGTGCGCATGTTTACGCCATAATGATACCCAGTTATTTCTCTTTTTCCTCACCATTCGTCTCTCTTTACGAAACGAGTTCTATATTTCCACTTTTGGGGCTTGATAAATGTGGTGAATCCTTTTCGTCGTTTCCATCGGGGCGTTTTGGGTGATCACTTTTACTCACATCCAAAAAAAAAAAAAAAAAAGAAAATCCTTCCCTGAGGTCTCTTGGCCTCATGTCTTTTTACTATTTTCACCAACTGTCCATACGCCTATATTTGTTTGTAATCTTGCCATTTCACCAAGTTGGTTCTCATTTTCGAGGAGCGGCGCCCAGTATCATAGCTGGGGTCTTGTCTTACCTCTTCCAGCTCCCCCATCTCACTTGTTGAGTCCTCTTTTCCTTTTCTTCTTTTCTTCGTCAAGTTGACTTGCTGTCTCTTTGATTCAGAAGAGACTATGTAGCTAGTTGATCCGACAACATTTTGATGCATGGAAACTAATGAGAGGGGATGTATATATGGATGGTATGGTATGAAGAAAAATACAGAGAAGATGAACACGGCTGTTTAAGGCTCATGAGAGCTGCACAAAAAGAATGGTTTGGAGGAGAAATGGGTGCGTGGCTGTTATGAGTAGCAGAAGAAGCATTGTGTAGTTATAAAGATGAGTTGATGGTCAAAGATCAAGATGTTCTAGAGCGTTCTCGTATTTGAAATATTCAAGGGTCTATCTAATCTATCCAAGGACTGATAAACTGGATACTTGACCCCCTTGTCCATGTCCCGAATTCAAGGACTCACTCTCTCTCGCCAAACCCTTGACTCAACGCAGTCCTCTCCCACCAAAACCCTATCTGCTCAATCTCCCTCTCCGACAAGCTCCTCACATCACACGGCACGCCCTTCCTCCCGACCCCTCCCCTCTCACCAGCAACCCTCTCATCATTCCCCTTCCCAAACACCATAATCTTGCCGACATCCCCGCCCTTTCCCCCTTCCTCCTCGGCGGCCCAAGGCGACGTGAAGGCCGGCCAACCTTCAAGCACACCATCACCACCGCCCGCCACAAAGTCCGCGAAGAACCCGTGCATGCGCTCCGAGACATGGACGAGCCCCGCGTGAGGTTCTAGTTCCTTTAAGGAATGGGTGACGAAGGGTGTTTCGTCGGTATGGTTCGCCGTTGCGAGGGGGGGAGAGGAGGCGGCGAATTCGTACACGTAGACGGGGGATGAGGGGGAAGAAATGGAGAGTTGGTGGGCTGTGTAGAGGACGGGGGCGATGTAGGCGTAGTGGGCGTAGGCAGCTTCGAGTCTCCTCCAGTGGGGTCCTAGGGCTGGAGAAGGTGGCGGGGCGGCGTAGTGATGCTGCGTTGTGAGCGTCTCCTCTGAAGTGGAGGAGGGGGGAGGGCCAGGGTACAGCTCTTCGAGGCGGTCAAGATCCGCCTCCGTGAGACCCGGGATGAGGGTCGTGAAGAACGCGCGGAACTCCTCGCTAGAATGGCAAGGCGACACAAACGCCGTCCCCTCATGCGTACAGAAACCCGTGATGACGGGAATGCGCACGCCCGCTCCCTTCCTCCAGAGCTCAAGCGGTCTATCGGGGATGAAGGTCGAGTCGTCAATGACGGGCTGGAACGGCCAACGCACAGAAGATTCGTACTTTTGCCACGTCTTGGAAGCGGCGGCCGTTAGTTCCTCCAGGGGCAGTGAGCGCAGGGCCGCTAGGGGGTTAGGTTCTGTCGGGGATAGGCCGAGGGCTGAGAGGAAGTCTTGGAGCTGAGTCTTTTGGCGCGGGTGGGAGGGGTACCAGATTGCGCGGGAGGTGGGGGAGCCCGATTCGAGGATTGCTTTGTGGAAGGGGGCCGCTTGGGGGGTGTAGCTGAGGATGTGATGGCCGACCTTGTTGATATTAGTCTTTTGCCCTCTATCAAAAGGGGCGCAACGAACATGACAGGAAGAAGGGAAGAGAGCGAGATGATAGACAAATACTCACCGAGTGTCCACCAGCACTTATCCCCATCAAAGTAACATTCCCCCCATCTCCCCCAAAAGCCCCAATATTCTCCCTCACCCACTCCATCGCAACCCTCTGATCTCCCAACCCAAGATTCAACCCCTCCTTGGCCCCCTCCCCATCCTCCACGGCAAGGAATCCCAAGACCCCCAACCGATAGTTAAAACTCACAACCACAACATCCCTCTTCGCAAACGCCACAAACGAAGCGAGGTCCCTGTCCCCGCCGAACCCCATGTTAAACGCGCCCCCGTGGATGTACACCATGACCGGCAGAAGAGCATCGCCCTCTGGAAGAGCGGGTCGAGTCACGTTGACGCTGAGGCAGTCCTCGCTGCTGGGAAGAGGCTCCGCCGTGGCGTCTGTGAAGGGCGAGATGGGCCCTAGCTCGACGGCCGGGATCGCATCTCCGTCCTTGGTGGATCCGGCGATGTCGAGGGGTTGAGCGGGCCGGAAGCGGTTCGCTCCTGCTGTGGATTGCGCGTATGGGATGCCGAGAAAAACTTCGAGGGCCTTGGGTTGATACCTCGTTGCTGGGATGTGTCGACCTATGTAAGTCCCCTGGCGGAGTCTCACCCGTGGAGAGGAAGTGGTTGAGGACATGGCTCCTAATTTGCTGGGCGACTGCTTGTTGAGATGTTAGTGAGAGGCCGTATATTTCATTAATTCAGTCCTGTCCGAACAGATCAACTTTGGTATGCTGACGTTGGCTCGTTGTAAGAGTCGAGAGTCTTGAGGCCGGGCTGTGTGAAGTTAAGAGTTAGTTTACCTGCTCGCATCAATTCATGTGCCACACAGCTCCGACCCGGAACCCCGCACACGCAAGCGCCTCCCCAGGCCGGCAGATCTCAGCACTCACTGCACTCCTGCTCGTCAAACTGGGGGCAACCAAGATAGAATCGGATGTGAATGTAAAATGCTAATGCATAATGACTTCTGCTGCCGAGGCTATCTACTAGTAGTAGCATACAGCCACGAACCACCTCCTTCACTCTCACAACATTGAATTGAGTAAACAATAAACAATACTGCACAGTTGAAACCACGAGTCTTGTCGAGAGCCAGAAAAGAACCCCCTTAACTCACAAATCGATACACTAGAAGAATACAAATCGATACAAACGCCATGCAACCGCCTATCCTGTTTTCCTTCCCTTGGTTGCTTTCCTATACTCCTCGTGCAAACGATAATAAATGATAAACCAGGAAAATCAAATCAGGACTGTAATTTTCTTTTCTTTTTTTTTTCTTCGTTTTGTTTTTCTCCCCTCTTTCGTCTTCGTAAACCAATGCAGCAACAATAAACTCCTTCGCAATGATGTATAAGAAGACAATGTCGTGACGGAATGGCGCAGTCATAACGAGCCTCTATCTGACGCAATCGTAGTTCAGAGACTCTCGGGTGAAGGGGGCACGCTTGGCGACATCTGAGTCTGGTGTCTTTGATATAATTTCCGTCAGAATAACTCAATCGTTATCGGGGTGCGGCGGTTGCAGCGGCTGCTTTCCGTCGTTGCTTCTCGGCCCATTCACGACTCAGCTGTCGTGAACGCTCCGCAGCTTGCTCTCGCGCCAACTTCGCCAACATCTCCCTCTCGGCCCGCTCCCGGTCCCGGTCATTGGCGAACCGGTTGTCCCGCGCGAGAATCTCCTTTCCACGAAGTTTTTGTTGCACCGCGTCTTCGGCAGAGATAGTGCTTCTCTTACCACTTCCGCTGACGCTGCCAGCGGAAACCGATGTCGCACGGCTCACCTGGGAAGGTGATGTGGCAGTGGTCCGTCCACGAGACTGCGGCGATCCCGTGAGAGATGAGGGAGCCGTGGCGAGTGAGAGCCGCTTCAGGCTGGCGCCTGTAGTCCCAGCGTTCTCCTCCTGCGCCACCTTAGCCTGTCGGGCGCGGCTAGCAATAGTCTCACGAGGCGCCGTGCTTGGCTGTCCGAGGCTTGCCTTGATAGGACGCGCCTTGAATTCGCGCCGCTTCCGCTCTTCTTCCTCTTGCGCTCGGAGCTTAGCCTCCCGCTGTTCCTTCTTGCGGCGGGAGATTGCCTCTCCAGGCAACTCGAACGTGGGCCGAGGAAGAACCCGCGTGGATCTAGAGCGTTGTGGTGTAGAAGTTCGTGCAACCTGGGGCGACTTCCCAACATCGACCTGCATCGAGAGGCGGGCTTCTTTCTGTTCCTTCAGTCGCCTAGCGACAGCTTCTCCGGGCAGCTCAAACGTTGGAACGGTGCGCGGCCTGTTCGACTTGACCAATGGCTTAGGAGGCGCAAGACTGGCAGGCCGAGGAATCGGTTTCCTTGCTGGTGAATTTGAAGGGGCGCCCGCTGTTGCGAGCTTTGGACTCTCATGATCTTCGGCACCCAGTGACATTGATCTCGACCGGCCCGATCCCGTTTTGGGGGAACTGGTAGACTTGACTCGAACGGTTGCGGCATAAAGGCTGCTGCGAGGCCGCTTGACCGCTGGCGCTGGGGTTCGGGGCGCCGGTTGTGGAGGCTTCAGCGATGCGCGATTTGGGCTTCGGCCAAGTGGGGGGATTTCAGGGGAGTGAACTCGTCCGAGGTGCGTCACAGCATTCACGGCCTCCAGCTCTTCCTCGAGGCGATCAAGTGCTTCCAACGAATCCTCAATGTTGAGAATCCTCGGAGCCACCGGGCTCGGAGTCACCGACTTGGAAAATCCATTTACGGATGCTGGTGAGTGCATCGTTTTTACGCTTGGGCTTGCGCCGCTTGATTGTAATGGCGAAGGGGGAGCCTGGACTTGCGCAACCTCAGTCACAGTGTCCTTTAGCTGATCGATCAAGACCTTGGGCTCCTCTCGGATCAGCACTTCATGCTCTAACGGGGAAGCTATCATAGTAATGGTGTTAGTCATGTGAATTCCTTTGCGGAGAGCGGCCTTGGACACTGCATTTCGTCGCGCGGGGTTGCAGCCGTAGGCAATCTTCTTGTCGCCCGAGCGAGGAGGGCTCTCGTTCTCGTCGGCGTCAATATTGCGATCGGGCTGCAACGTCGGCGGATACGAGATGCTGTACTCGTACTGACCTGCCTGAAGTTTGGCGACTTGGTCCTCGATGCCAGGAAGACAAGCCGGCAGTTGCATCAATGGGTGATCTGGGAGACCAGACATGCATTAGTCTCATGGCAGATGGCATTGCAAAAAGAAGAAGAAGAGAGGGAGAAAGAAGTAGATTGACTACAGTTGTTGAACAGAGAAAATTGAGGTCTAAACCAATGTCTTACTAACCTTGGAAACCAGCAACGGTCTTGCTTGGCTGCTTCTTCTCGCCAAGCGGAATCTCCTCTACAATTGGCTGAAGTGGCTCGGCAAAAGTAGTAGGAGAGTCAATTCCAGCTGCGTTCGGGTAGGGGCTAACCACAGCAATCTCGCACTGCTCCTCTCTCGGGGGATCGAAAGTTTCAAGGCCGATGGCTGGACGTGGTGGGAGTCTCCTGGCTGACAAAGGGGACCAGATGTCGTGGGGTTTATCGGCGTCGGCGCTAGGGGCGCAGTGTTCCTTGGGTGTCCCAAAGCTCGCGATGCGAAGCTTTCCAAAGCTGACCGTGAGAGAAGTGGGAGACGACTCGGGGAGTGACGTTTGGTAGTCGGCAGGAATGTTGGTGCTCTTGTGGCTCTGGATAACGTTGACGCACGTCTCCTGCAGGGCGCGAATATGGGCTAGGCCAGCCGGGTTCCGATCCGGGGTCGAAGCCGCAGACGAGTCGGTATCGCTTTCGGTGAGACCGTCAAGCGCAATGCGATTGTCCTCAAGGATTGTGAAGGAACTCGGATGATCGGTGGTATCAGGACGAGGTGTCAAAGTCATAAGAGAGTTCATCTTGATTTATGTTTCGGGGGGCGTGAGAATAAATGGTCCGCAGCGATAAGTGTGCATGCAATGTATAATCTGGTCCCAGTCCAGGGAGAGTTGGGACGAGCCAATGATTCCTCCACTCCCCTTCTCGATCCGGTCTAACGGCGGGTCAGTCCAGGAGACCCCAGGAGACAGAGCAAAACGGTCTCGAGCAGAATTTGATGATAGCAGAGTGACTTAAGCACCCCGGACGCGGTCCACTGGTCAAAACAGGGGGTTAAAGGACAGGGAACCTCCTCTTTTTGGTATAATTTCAAGGGTATTGCAGGGATGCAGGCACAAGACGCGGCGGGGCGAGCTCGAAATCAAGGGAGATGATTTACACGGACACTGGCACGTTTGATCACCTGGAGCTCCGTCCAGAGCAATGGAATCGAGAAGAATTCTCAAGGGTCAACCCGGCCTATCGGGTGACGGATATTGAGAGGGAGGGGTTCAGTGATCCTAGACGGAGATTTTCAGGGTTTCCCGAAATGGATGGAGAACGGAATCCAGAGAAAAGAAACAGATGCGGATCTGAGAAAAGACTGATGTTGCCGGAATGATGATCAATTATGCTGGCCACAATGCGATGCTTTGAATTGGACAAGTTGCAATGGAGATACGAAGTAATGCGATGAGGAATAATCAAATTTTACTTCGAGGTCTGCTTCAAAAAAAGAGAAGAGGGGAAAGAAAAGAGGAAAAAAAAACAAGATCCAGTCTTCTCGGGGAAACCTGGAGGAATGAAAGGATAGAAGAGGAGGGCATGAAAATGGAAGGACGGAGCAAGCGTTCATAAGTCAATATGTCAAGTGCGGAGCCCATACGTGATACAAGTACCTGTGTTATGGGAGGAGGGATGGAAGGAGGGGAAGCGACCGAAGAAGTCGCATAAAACAAAACAATACACAGAAGGACACGACATGACACGATCGTGGTTGGACATAGCAACCGACTTGCATTCGAGCAGTTTGCCGTGTACATCGGCAAGACTCGAACATCATCGACATCATCACAAGCTTTCCGTTGCTGTCAATGACTCAACATCAGAATCCAAAGCGGAAGGGCTCGCGCACAAGATGAGCACAAAAACTCGAACTGCAACATTGAACCTTCTGGAAAACATCACAGTCACATTTGCATCCCCGTAGTTCCTCCCTCATCTCGATGGTGTGTCGCGGATTGAACAGGGTCGTTCCTGGTCAAATGACTAATACACGCGTCGCGTCGCTCCTGCATCAAATGTCAATTAGGACCCACCCCACCTCAAGCGTAGCAGGAAGCTTCTTCCCCCAAAAACCCCTCCTGCCACATCTCCTTGGACCCATATTTACAATCAAGATTGGTTTAGGCCAAGTGGGAACGGCTCAACCAGTATAAACACTGCATGTTTCTCAAACTGAATAAAAGTCAACACTTGGCAAGGGAATAGTTTTAGATCTGTATGACCGGAAAAAAAAAAAAAAAAAAAAAACTTAGTCCCAGTCTCTTAATATCCCAGCTTTGTCTCCGCATTGGTTATACCGGTTTCTCTTCTATCCTCGTCTCGGGTTCAGGGTTGGGGGCCTAAATCTGAAGCCTGGCTTTAAACTCAACACGCTGGGTCTTTTCAAGCTTGCTTGGTCTCCGTCTCCGCCTCCGCCTGTGGTTCCTCAATGTCGCCCAGACGGCGAGCGATGGCTCTTCCATCCTTCTCCGTAATGTCTTTCATGTGAGCAGCAGCGTCCCTTGCCTGTAGGCCAACCTTGCCTTTTGCGCCCTCCCCCAGCTCTTCGAGACGCTTCATCCAGAATCGCCATCTCTGCATCACCAAACCGGGCGGACCAGTATAAAGGGGCCCCGGGTTTGTCGCGCGAATTTCTGTTTCGTCGAGCTTGTTCGCTTGAAAAGCATCCTTGAAGATCTCTTTGCCCGAGAGCATGATCCACTGCTGGACAACGACCAATCGAGAGTCTCGGACATAGGTGTCGACGATATCGTGCTCCAGAGCAGCCCCGATCTCTATGACTGCTAAGACCGTCCATCGGACAACTCCATTATTCATGAGACGAGCGGTGAAGGCGTTGAGACTGATCCATTCAGCCCATATGTCGGCGTTCGGGACCTCGTCATCGAGGTCTTCGACCACCTGCACCGGATCTAGTCGAGACGAACAGAAAATTAGAAAAGGGAAAAGAGAAAATGCATCGAGACAATGAAGAGATTCCGACTTACCAACCCACGCTTCGCGGATACATGCGTCCAAGAGGGGAAGGTCTCTCCAGAGGCGGTACTCCATCTAGCCAACTGTCAGTTTCGACCGTGTGTTCAGGATAGAAAGAAGAAACCATACACCCCACAGCGAGACAGTCCCTCTTGCGCGGAGGCGTAAACTCTCAAGGATGGCCACCATTCTCTCGAGTGCGGGGTCGTCGTAGGGCGCCGCACGAACCACGGTAAGCGAGAGCTCCCAAAGCGTCCAGATGAAAAGTTCCAGGGCCTCAGGCGCCTCGAGCGACGGGCAAAGCTGATCGATTTGGGCAGCGGCGGCTTCCGGCGTCCTTCGGCCCTCGTCGATGGGGCCTAACGGGAGGAGCGCGGCTTCGAAAACGGACAACAGACTCTTCTCCAAGCCCGCCGAGTTCTCGCCTGCTTTCAATCGCGCCATTTTTTGGGCGAATGAGCTAGGGCCGGTGTCGACAACAGGTTCAGCGGGATCAGACATCAGGTTGTTGGCGGAAGGAAAAGGGTGGGTTCCCCTTTAAACTGATTCTTCCAATATCGTAGTCTAAGAGAAGACATCAATCCATTTCATCCCAAGCTGAACTGTAACAAGGCGTGGGCCGGTTCTGTAGCTCTCAGCACTCGTTTGTCTTACGGCGAGTGAGCCTTTGTGTTAAGAGAGCTCAGGCTTCCTGTCAATGCCTCAACGCTCCATTGTCGTTATCGAGGATCACCGAGGATCACCGAGGATCACCGAGGATCACATAATCACGTCCGTGATTCTCGGGCTCCAGAGCTAAATGTGATTTGAGGTTGAACTGGGATTCACTCGACAGGAACCCAAGAGCAATGGTTGAAAAATCTAGCATAGATCACTTACGATTAAGGGGAGTAAAAACGCAGGAAGAGGTGGGAAAGGGAAGAAAAGCAGACAGAAGTAAATTAGTTGGTTCAAGTCCGCTGCACAATTCGAACCCAGGGTCCTGGACTGAGCTAGTTCAAGCTCTGATCCACTGGTAAATGACGCCAATTGTCTCCGCTCCCAGGTGTTTGAAAATCCTCGCCCTCTATTCTGGGCTCAAAGACGGTTCGTGAAGGCGTGAGGTGACGATAAAGCTTCCTTTCCTTATTCCATCCTCATCTCCCCCAAGAATCCCAAGAATATCCGCCTTCTATCTTGTTGGGCGAAGTAGGCTTAAGTTGCCCATCCCATTTATATGAAATATCCTTCGTAACTGATTATTTCATTTCTTCCACGCTCGCCAATCATTTGTAACCCGTGGACAACGACCCCACCGTCTCTTAGGATCGCTCCTCGCCGTGATATCCTACATACGCCCCGTTGACAGAACTGGGTACGATGTGGCAGCTGTGAGGCAGGGCCGGAATGTTCCGTGGATACCTCCTCTGTGCTTCTCGGTGTATTGAACGAGGAGCGACAGGAAGTCCTGGCATGCGACGTCAAGAGCCATCTCTCTCTGCTTGGAGGTGGTGGAGACTTGGAAGATTCGGCTTTCTTCACCTGTAACGACCAATATTATACTTGCGAACTCCGCCGAATAACCTCAAGGCGTTTCCTGCTTCTGTTCCGCCTCTGCCTCTGCGGCTGCGTCCGCCTGGGCTTGTAACGCGGGCGCATGTTCGGTGGGGATTCGGACGAGGGTTTGCGGTAGCTGGGGCGTATCGCCATCGCCGGACGGTTTCGCTAGTTTTGCTGTATATCGCGTTAACACCGTCCCTCCGTTGTAAAAGTAAACAAACGCCCGCAAATAAACCATAAACTTACTCGATGCCATGTTAATTGCGCGCAGCACGTTATGCCAGTTACTCATAACAGTGGCAATAGCTGTAATCTGTTAGTCGTCTGATTATATCTCCTCGCACGAACAAAACACACAAGGGCCGGGCTCTTCGAACCTTCAGTCCCATCCGAAAGCGTCGAAAGTTTTTGTTCAAGTGCCTCCATCTGTCCCGCGACTGCCGCACTGAGATCGCGCAATTGCTTCAGGTTCTCGAGCTCCGCCTTCTTCTCCTCGATGCGCGCCACGAGCGCAGGCGACGGTCCTGCGCCACTTCCTGAGATGGAGGAGCCTCGGAGGTGGGAAGGAAAGGATCGCGGTGGGATTGACATGGTCGCAGACAGGGATGTTGGAGTCGAGGTCTGGCAGTCTTTCAAAACCGACACTGGTCTTACTTGTTTTCTTGTTGCCTCGTCGGTTTGGTGGGGTTCTGTATTTCGGGCTGGTCAGGGAAAACTTGGTGAATGCCAATGCGTTGTCAACCTGAAAATGACCCCCACAGTCACGTGTAGTCCAGCGGCTTACAGGGCCCACGTTGCAGGCTCAACTGATCTCATCCTCCAACCATCACGGCTCCGCCCCGCTGTTGTGTCCTCATCCACCCATTAACCGCTGGACTGAGCTCCTGGAGCAAGAAAGTGGCTAGAATTGGCGGAAAGATGGCTTGTCGTGTGCTAGTTCAAGTATCAATACCTGATGCGGGTCCTTGATGACCAAAGTCCACAATAAACAGCTCATCCTAGACATCTCAAATCTCTGTTGAGGATCCGTGTTTTGCTACTGACTTGATAGGGAAGGCAATAATATCTGATTCACAGGATCACTACGTCATCCCTGATTCAGGCATGCATTTGATCAATAAATTTCCTTCTTCTTTTCTTCTTGTAAATAGTTGGCGGCCGCAGCTTAACGAAAATCTCACCGACAGTCATCGGTCGCGTGGGCACAGCCCCAGAGGAAGGATTGCATTCCAGGACATAAAGCTGACCGCTGGTGGCACAGCGTTATTATACCCGGTTGGCATCGTCGGGCAGTGAGAAACGTGGTGGCCCAGGATTTCTGGGAGAAGAGTCGAACGACTGGTAGATTAAAATAGCAAATGACGATGAAATACAAAAGAGCGCAGGATAACGCGGTCTGGTCTAACATGGCCGCGCTGGTGGTCCATCTTCACCCTCTCCCCCTTTCTCTAAGTTGTTCTCGACATGGCCCGACTGAAAAATTGGGAGTGCTTCCTTCTCATAGTACGAATACTAGCAATTCTCTACAGCCTGGTGATCGTGGCAGCATGGATCCACCTAGCCCGGACCGAACATAAGGCAACTTTCCCAGGCCTCATGTATGGCGTTCCACTTATAGCGGTAGGCTACACACTCCCTCTTCCCCATTGGTGACATATCCGCTCATATGGTACACCCTTAGGCACTACTAGCCATCATCTTCGATGGCTGGGAAACATACGGCCTCCTCGTCCCATCATGGACTCGACCTCCCGCACCAGCTCTCGTCGTCCACGAGTTGGTGAGCGGTGTACTTGTCATTCTCGTATGCAGGGAGGGTGCTTTACAAGACACCAAGTCCGACCCAAAGAGAAGCCCATGGGCTGTCGGAGATAGTTTTCGCATGAAGGTCATAGTTCTGTGCCTGTGCTTCGCGTAAGTAATACCCTGTGATCTAAGAATTGTTACTTGGCATTATCTGACGGCTATATAGAGGACTTCGACTCTTCACACTTCTACTTACTCTTGTCGATCATGGTTGTGTGGCCCAGAAGAAGCGAAGGGCAAACCGGAAAGACCAGTTGGAAGTTGTCTAAGTGCCGCCAGACGCGATTCGGTTTTAGACGGTGCGTGTATACAGAAGCATACGACATTTTTTTTACAATCTCATCATCTAGTGAAAGGAGTTACGCAGCATGGATATGACTGGCGGGGTTGAATCAACTTTACGTAGATGTTGTCAATATAGTGATAGTATCCATCTAGTCCAGCAGATCCCCCGCGCCTCCATACTAACAAAGACGGTAAACAACGTCGGAAAGCCTGTACGCTATCTCCTTGCTTCTCATTGCAACTTAGGGCGATTCCCCATTGGTATTCCTGCTGTTCGTATTTCAGCTTCACTTCACCTCTTGATTCCATTCAGGGAAGCCTTCGAAACTCTTTCCAACCTCCCTCTACGCCCTCGAAGAACAGCCTCTCGATGGATCCAGGAACATGAGGCACCTCAGGCGGGCTCAAGTGATCGGCGTGCACCTGTCCCCACCTCAGCCAGGCGTCGTATTCATTATTGTATTTCGGATAGCCCGTCCCGGTTTCCGTTCCCAAATCCCGCCATGCCCAAAACGACCATTTGCCCTCTGTGAGCTGAACAGCAATGTCAGTTCGACAGCGCCCGCAAGAAAATCGTCGAACCCGTCCTTCTCCCCCCAACATATCTGTACCCGTCTCATTACTCCCTCTAATAAGAGTTGTCTGAAGTTCCCTTGCCGCGGCAAGAGCGGTTCGCAGGAAGTGATGCCAACACAGTCTTTCCAACGACTCCGGAGATGGTAGGGGGAGGTTAAATTCCGCGTTAGTAAACGACGAAGGGACGGAAAAGGTCCAATATGAAGCGAAGAGAAATCTGCCGGACACGATTTTCATCCGATGATGGCTTTTCCCCCAGTAGCGACGAGGGTTAGTGTTTCCGAGGGATGGTGGTCTGCCGTACTCATCCGAATGGTAGGCCATCAAATCCCTCAAATATTGGCTATGAACGTTTCCCAGACGGTGATATTTCAAGGCGAGGTGGACATGGCGCTGGGTTAGGATGAAGCCGGGGCGAACCACATGGCAGGCGATGTGTCGGACAGGACAGGACCGGTGTGCGTGCTTAACGTGCTTTGGAGTGTCCCTTAGGTCAATAGCGTGTAACTTACAACACCTCGTACAAGCAAAGTAGTCCGGTAAGATGTATGCACATCCGGCCCAGAATTCCATTCTCTCACGGCGAGTCAACTTCTGGAGAGTGCTCGGCCAGTCTCTATGTAGGACCCAGTGAATCCGCCGACAGGTCTGGGACAGATAGAATTCCATGTGTAGGGGAAGATTACTGGTGATTATGAGAAGCAATTCCACCGGAAGTCCGGGTAGAGTAGAGTCTTGAATGGGTGTTTGAGTAGGAGCCGTCTCAGGAGCAGGGTCCGGCATGACTGCCTGGGAGTCTGGTAAAGGTTTTGGACGGAGCACCAGAGTTACCAGAGGGGTTTGAGTAGCCATTTTGAAGATCGGTCCACAGGGCCCTTCGAAAAGACAACAGGTTGGAGGTGCGATGAAGTTGGTTCTGCTTGAAGAGATATATTGGAGATATGTAGGAAAGAGACCTCCCGGGTTTGAAGGAACACCCCCTTCGAAGTAAATCGAGATATATATGATGAAGCAGGCCTGTGACAGACGCTACATCTGTCTCGAAAGCCAAAGTGATGAGCGGCTAGCCTACCAAATAGACAAGATAGTTCATAATTTTTCCACCCCTAGCCTCGATTCGCTGTCCCCATCACGAGCCAGTTTCCCACTTACACGTGAAATTTGAAGGGCCGTTCGTAATAGTTCCTTGCCCTGGCAAACCTGGCTTCTGGCTCCGCTTCCCGGAGACATCCTCTCGATAGTCTTTGTTCTGTTTCCTTTATTCGGGGTGAAGCTCTTGCCTACTTTTCTACTTTCATTTGCATCTCGAATGTAGCGTGTGTGGTGGCTGCCTCTGTCCCTCTCTTGCAAACAATCCCCCCTTTTCCAGCCTTCTGGTCCGTTCTCGTTCGGCTTTGGCTTCCTTCCTGGTCGGAGTGGGCGCTTGTCTCTCTTTTCCCTGCGCTTCCTCCGTGACTCCCAGTTCGTCATATTTCGGCCTGACCTGATTTTCTAGGTGGCGTATCTTCAACTTCTTGGCGATTGTCACCTTCCCCAGGGCTCTCTCTTTCTAATATTCGGGGCCATCCATACGGTCAACGAGTGAAGGACTTCCTGGGTTCCCGAAAGCAGTCCGTATACCTATGGTGCCATGCAGGTATGGCAAACCGATAATCGTAGGCCTTGCCCGTCTCGTGACATAATACCGTCTACTTGGAGAGCTTCCTTTATCTCCTGGATCGAGTATCGGTGGTGTGCATTCGGCCTGTGGATCCATGGCTAAGGTTGTTCTCGGTCAAGGAGTAAAGTGAGCGTGTGGAGAGCTTTCTGCTGGTGACCTCATATGGAGGGACAAGAAGCGCTAAACATCAAATGAACACTAGGGCCGAATTGGCCACTTGTTCCAACGGGCCCTTGGCAATGTGGACCTAGAGGTGTTCTCGTTCGGGACAGGGGAATTGCGGCACTCCCCTGAGCTGTACGGAGTATGTCAGCTCCTCAACAGGAAGACTGAATTCCCTGGCAGCCAAGCTGCTGGTTAGGACCATCTGATCTCACATTATCAAATCTGTCCTCTTCAAGTTCCATCTGCCGTTTTGCAATGGTTGTGGTGATTGCTGGAGCAGCGGGTGGGGAAAATCCCGCCGACACAGTGGCATGACCCGGTGGGGGAGGGGCCGGCCCCGCAGATTCGGATTCGGATTCGGATCGAGGCTGGAATCGCAGGAGGATGGAATGAGATTCATGATTCCTCTGATCGAGCGCGGGGTGAGACGCACATTTTTAGGTATATCAAAACCGCGATTTCAAATAGTGTAACACAAGATTATCAAGATACGACGGTTTCTTACCAAGATGTTAGTCAATAGCGACCTAATTATATGCATTCTAACCAGGACAGGTAGACGAAGAGGTAGATATCGCGAAGTTAGTGGCTCTGCATCTTGACATCGCCTCCACTTCCTCCTCAATCCAGCTCCTAGTACAGTCTGGCTTACAAATCTGGAGGCTGGGAAGGTGAACTAGTTCACGCCACCTACTCATGGGATGTACGTTCTGAGGGTTATTTGGTTGACCGATTTCGGATGCTGGATCTATAGACAAAATACAATGTATAACTATGATCTCGACCATCCTTTGCCGGCTCTCGATATCCATATATCCCAGTGGAGACTATGGTCTAGAACCGGCCCCGCGGAGGCCGGGGGGGGGGGTTAACGGGAAGTAGTAATCCTGGGGTACGACGGCGAGACGAATCCCGGTGGGCCGTGTCCTCCAGTAATATTGCACATCGATGACATCGGAGGGTGGTGTGATATCCTGGATCTGGAGACGGATGGATTCAGGCAGGTATTGGAGGAGGTAGTCTCCGAATTTCGATCTTATCGCGCTGTGCCCGATGATGCGAGATTAGATGTGAATTTAGAACATATGGTAATATAAGCCAAAAACGACGCGACTGTTTGCGTCGACTACGTGATTGACATACTGATAACGCAATATATGGAGAACAAGGAAAGTGCAGAGAATGACAATTAACCAGTTTGACTCTACTGCGCAAAGTAGCTGTCGCTGATACTCGGTTCTGTTGTACACTTTAGTTAGTGAGGACGAGAAAATAATCTTACATTGATCTCTTCATAATCCCTCAGGGATACTTCGTAGAGTCTCATGGATTTGTCCTTTTCGGGGTTGGGGCTGAACCGGATCGAGTCCTTATTGGATGGTTGTGGTTACTAATGCAGACTAGTAGTCTTCGGGACGGAGCTACCTAGATAAGGGTAATTATTTAGCAGCCCGAACACCAAGGCAAGATGCCAGAGTGGTTAATGGGTGTGACTAGAAATCACATGGCTTCGGCCGCACAGGTTCGAATCCTGTTCTTGTCGCTTTCTTTTTTTGGTCCTTCCTCCGCCGATATCCCTCTCCAGACTTATGCGCTTTCAGAACGCTCTCCACCACGGCAAGATGCCAGAGTGGTTAATGGGTGTGACTAGAAATCACATGGCCTCGGCCGCACAGGTTCGAATCCTGTTCTTGTCGTTCTTTTTTTTGGTCTCTCATATTTTTTGGCTTCGTCTTTTTATTTTTGGAATCGGCCGGAAGGGTCCCTGGCAAGCGGAGTTGGATGTGGGCGAAGTGACGCGGAAAATCCGGCTATGCAGAGGTGAATGTGTCCTCGGGGACTGTGCGGGATCATATCTGCTGAGCTACAGTGTGACGAACCTGGCATCATGTATTGCGTGCTTGATACTCGAGGCAGTTGCTACACACTCATATTATTAATTGGAAACGAGTGCGAGCTGAGGTCGCTCCGGACCGGAAGCTACACTAAGTAGATGCATCATCCATCTGATGGACAATGCATATATAGTTCGGCAGCTCCCCCCTGGAGGTTAGATAGTCGGCGACACTCCATTGATCCTCTGAACAATTCATTGTCTACCAAGTCCTCTATTTCCACAACCTTACCAGCTCTATTATACTTCCGTCCCTGAAACCCCTCTTATAAACCTCCAGATAAACGCACACTTCGATCACAATGACCCAGATAACCAAGGTTGCTCTGGTTGGTGTAAGTAGTCGCTGAGCTACCCCACCCCGGATCTAGGTTTCCGAACTGACATGGAACTCTGCAAACTAGCCCACTGGAAACCTCGGACCTTCCATCCTCGAACAACTACTCAAAGCCGGATTCCAAGTGACGGTCCTCACTCGGCAGGGCAGCACACACACCTTCCCGGACTCGGTGACGGCCATCCCCGTCGACCTTGATTCCGTCGACTCTCTTACTAGTGCTCTCCAAGGGCAGGATGCGGTCGTCTCCGTCGTGGGCAACGGGGTATTCGACAAGCAGCACAACCTTGTAGAAGCAGCCGTCAAGGCTGGCGTCAAGCGATTCATCCCTTCCGAATTTGGCTCGAATACACCACACGAGAAGACCCGAACGATACCGACTTTTGCGCCCAAGATTGCGATCCAAAAAGAACTAGAGGACAAGGCCAAGACTACACCTCTCACTTACACATTGATCATCAATGGTCCGTTCCTCGACTGGGGTCTTAAGGTCGGCTTCGTTCTTAACGTCAAGGGGAAGAGTGCACAGCTCCTTGACGGTGGCGATCGAGTATTCAGTGCCACGACCCTCTCCGGGGTGGGCAAGGCCGTCGCCGGAGTTCTAAAGCACCCCGACGAGACTAAGAACAGAGCTGTCTATGTCCAGGAGACGGCCACCACACTCAAGGATCTGCTCGAGAAGGCCAAGAAAGCGGCTGGCCCTGATGGCTGGACCGTGGAAGAGGTCCCTGTCGCCAATCTAATTGCCGCCGCTAACGAGGAGCTTAAGAAACCGAATCCAAACCCAGCTGTCTGGGCTTACCCTTATGTCAAAGCAGCGATCTGGGGTGAAGGATATGGGTCTCACTTCGAGAAGCTTGACAACGAGCTGTTGGGAATTAAGGAGTTGAGCGATGGCGAATTGCAAGCTCTTGTAGATAGCATTGCGAAGGCATAATGGTCTTCCGCGGGGGGACCGACGACTCGAGATGCAATGAGGATTTCAGAGAGCTGAAGACCTGCTCTGTATTTTGTTAGTCCTAGCGAAAGGGGTGCTTGCCATTACGTCCTGTGGTATCGCCCTAAATCCAAATGTCTTAAGTAACGACGAGCTCGAATTTCGAAGTCAAAGAGTGATCAATCATTGTGAATTGACGAATTTCAACGACCATTGATGTGTGGGAAGTTTGCTCGCGTGCTTGTTAAAGTGGGTGCGAGTTCATCTTTCTTGCATTACGTACATTGCTTTTGTACCTGGCTGTTGTGTACGAAGTAGGCGGGTCCAATTCTCCCTAAACTGGACGGTGTCCACAGCAACCAGGGCAACCCCACACAACCAACGCCATTCCTGTTTTGTCCATTTGTAAATATGCCAAAGTGGCAGTTGCACTCATTTTCTCTCCCGCGTTTTTCGATTTGCAACATCAATGGCTTGACACCACGAAATAGGAGATTCCACCTCTTTTTTGGACCGACTCACACGAGGCCAACGCCAAACCCCCTTCGCGTGGTTAATACTCGACGCAATTGTTCCCTCCCGTAACCCTTCGCTCGCTGCGTGTTTTAGAGACCGCCAGCGATTATGAACAATGGCGAGGCTAAACGATCCACCACAATCAGCGGATAGCTATGAGACGCGTAAGGAACACTCATTTTCTCCCATTGTCTTCGACTCCTAAGCTAACCACCTATCCTCGGAATCTAGTCCGCAGAAAGCTTCTACGCCAGAACCGCGACCTTGCCCGCGTAAACTCTACCCAATCCCTCAAAATTCGCCACCTCGAGAACGAATGCGCCCGTATGCTTTCGGAGAATCTCGAACTCCGGGGCCAGATCCTCCAGCTCGAGAAAGAAGTTGAAAACAGCAAGGCCCAGAGGATAGCCGACCATGCACTCGAGATTAAGGCCAAACTCGAGGAGCAGCTCGTTGAATGGGGCAGCATACTCGCCGGGTTGGGACTAGAGCCCCCGGCGAAGAGGCGGGATGCTGTTGGAAGGCGGGCCACGCAACCGAGGACGAGCCTGCCTAAGAGGAGCCCAAGGAAGTCGCTGAGAGATTTGGCGAAGGAGGCGGAGGCGAGAGCCAGGGAGGAGGGCAGACTGACGCCAATTCGGGAACATAGGACATACCCAAGGCAGACGTTGGAGTATGCTTTCCCCTCTCATAACTTGCTGATATTGATGATATTAACGATATTTTACAGTAGCGAGGAAATCATGGCACTTCGGTCAGAGGTAGAGGCGGCCGACGTGTCTGGTTCTTCTGATATCGGCCCTCCGCCTGTTTCCCAATTCGTCGATGAAGATTATTCGAGTATCCCCGAGTCGCCTACGAAGCCGCCCACGACAAAGAAAACAGCCGAACCAGAGCGCGAGGAGACAAAGGAGCCAGTCCCAACTACTAATGTGGTAGAGAAGAGCGAGCCGGATGAAGCGCCTTCCGCTGCGACCACAGTGCCCACGTTCTCGAAGCCCGAAGTCCAGAGTGCCCCGGCTCCCGCTCCCATTAAGGCCGGATCAAAGAGGAAATTAGGAGCTCGAGAGGAACCAGAAAATATCAACACAACAAATGCACAGATTCAACCAGTTACGGCGGCTAGGAGGAAATCCACTATATCAAAAGAGAGGACTGGCGGCAAGACGCTCAAAGAGCTTGCGGCTATGAGACGGGAGTCCCGAGAGACGGCGACTACGCCGGTTCTTGCACCGACCAGGAGACCTCTCGCCGTCAAGAGTACTAACGAGGATATTGCTTCACCAAAGAAAGCGGTGGGGAAGAAGGGTGCTGAACCAGACGGAAAACCAATCAAGCCGTTAAAGCTCAAGGCTAATAAAGAGGACGGTCCAAGGCGGTCAACAAAGCCCAAGAACACGGAGATTATCAAGATAAAGGAGGAGCCTGTACTTGCTCCTGTAGAGACCGCCATCATTAGCCCCACCACTGAGCCGGAGAAGCTCGCCGCCCCCCTCGATGCGAACCTTTTGTCGCCCTCCTCCCCACAGCCGAAATCCCAAAATGAATCAAACGATACGCCACCTCCAGCCGACATCTCCTGGAAAGGCGAGACCTCACGCCCTAGTCGCCGAGCGCGGGTGCCCATTAGCTACGCCGAGCCTAATCTGCGAGACAAGATGAGGCGTCCGACTAAGGAGCTGGTTGATGCTGTTGCAGGCGAGGGCAAATATCGACGCCAGAGCAGCTTAGATGAGGAAATTGCCGCCAGTGAAAGTCAGGGGAAGCGTGAGTCGACGGCGGGAGAGTCGTCGAAGAGGAGCACGCCTGCGCCCGAACCGGAGAGGAATGATCAGGTCGCAAGCCCGCTTGCGCAGAAGGGAGACGGGGTTGTTAATGACACTCTCCCCAGTAGCGTTGTCACGGAGCGCAGGAAGAGACGGTCCTCGATCTTAACGAGGGATAGTACCAACTTCAATGACACCATGGGCGCTTCCAGTAACGACACCGACGACACCCTCGATACTTCCCTTGGCTCGACATCTAGTCTGGAGAGTAGCGTGGATATCTACGAGTTCCCAAGCAATTCCCCCGACAAAGGTGCTGGGAGTGCGGCCGTTAGCGAGACGACTTCACGCAAGGTGGGGGTAGCAACGAGACGAGTATCGATGGCCGACCACACAGAACTCAGCCTCGAGAGAGAAGAGACGACCAAAGTTTCGAGGAAGAGATCGTCTATCCACAGCAGCCGCCGGTCGAGGGCAGAATTGGGAAGAATAAAGCAAGAGGATGGTGACGAGGGTACTTCTACTGTCGCTGCCACTAAGGATCGGTCGATGAGAAGGAGAAGCACCATGCTTTGAAATTGTGATAAGTTATCAGGCACTGTAAAGATTATGAACTCTTGGAGCGGAACTATGCACTTGTCAATTGTCAATTTCCTTTCCTTGTTGATACCATTGGGTTATTCTGGGGCGCATTGGTCTTTGGTTTCTCTCATGACAAAATGATATGAGCATGCAAAGCAAACACATTCATAGCGATAGGGGTTGTTTTACTCTGTGGATTTCCTTGTTTAGGGATACGACTTTTATTTAATATTTGTTTAGATGCTTTTCCTTGAAGAAGTTTTGATGAATGTTAATTTCCTTGTTTCTTGATCATGAAGCTATGAATAGCATATGTAATCCCAAACCTACCCCCAGCCTCTCAAGCAATAACACTATTTCCACCAGCCACGTCATCCTTCTCATTACGGGGTATAGAACTATGTATGTATGATAGTTTCCATCTCCGAAGCGCCTCCAGACCCGTCGCGCCCCCCAAACCTCTTCATCCTCCCTCTCTTCTCCCATCACGCGCCTGCTGATGGCTCAACAGGCTTCGTATATGTGACTTTTTCCACGGCTACGTTTTCGTTCCCCGCCTCGTCTTTTCGTAGTTGGTAGACGTAAAGAGTCAACGAAATTCCTTGGACCTATTCGAGTTTATAAAGTTAGCAACCAATCCCATCCTCGCGCCCGGAAGAACCGGCCTGGGCCAGCCTAGCCTCCCGGCTCCCGGATGCCCCCCCCCCCCCCCCCCAAAAACTTACATCCATCAAACAAAAGCTCGGCGTCGGCTCCCCCTCCTCACTCCACCCCGTCGTGAAAGCCCCCGTCGCGCTTCCCGGATTCACAAAGAACTTGTCCATATACTCAAACGCATCGAACTTGTGCGTGCCGCCCCAGCAGAGGACGTCGACGTCGAGACGGTTCGCCTCGGCGAGGAGGAGGTCGGGTTCGTTGGAGACGAGGGTGAAGCCCTCGAGGAATCCGATGCGGAGGGAGCCGTGGGAGACGACCTGGGTGAGGGGTAGGGAGGTGGCCTCGACGTCGTAGCGGCCCTTGACGATTTTCAGGTCGGGGGTGATGGAGCGGAGGTATTCGTAGGTGGTTTTGTCGGTTAGGTTGCCGAGGCAGAGGGTCTGGCTTATTTTGCCTGGGGCGAGTAGTTTTTTGAACTATTGAAGGGGTGGATTTAGCTATATGCCGGTCCGGGGGCGGAGTCGGGGGGAGGTGTGCGGTACCTTGGGCGGCAGGTCTAGAGCGCGATCCGGTATGTGCAGGTCACCAATCACTAGTATGAGGAAAGCCATTGTGTCGAGCGGACTGAATGGGTTCGTGGGAAGGGGACACGATGGGTGGTGGGCTTGGAGGAATTTGGCGCAAGGACCGATGAGGTGGGTTCAGGTTGATGGCGGTTTGGCCCGTGGAGGTCGGTGACGTTGGTAGCTTCGACTGCTGGCGCAGGTGCTGCACATTGATCTCGATTAAGCCCCCTCAGTGGCTTGAGCACGGAACAGAACCCCCACCCTCAGCCAGGCTACAGCACTTCGCCCATACGAAGAAAACGCGAGAGCCACTCATTGACAACCAAAAAAAAAAAAAAAAAAAAAAAAAAAAAAAAAACCTCGACAAAATCTGTGTTCTTTTTAATAGTATAAGCATTGGCTATCCCAAATACTCTAACTCTTTCCGAAGGGATTTTCTTAAATTGATTCTTCCTGGACGTTTTATGTCCGTCGTGTCCAACTCGCAGCTGTGTACAGCTGTAAAGTCCAAGTAAGTTAGGATTGAAAGACTAACCGAACTTTGCGCTGAGATTCTTGAAAACTGCTTTCAATACTTATTCTCAAATGACAATAAATCAGACAAGCACAGCTGTCTAGTCTGTACCCAATGCAAGGCTTCAGTACTAAAAGAAAAAGAAATTTCGAAGTAGTGGTCGTATGAGCCTCGAAGCAGCTCAGCTCTTCGTCCAATCACCCGCTGCGAAGCTTCGGACTTTCCTCTGATGACATCAATTGATCGCGGGAATCTGACCAAATCTCTTCTCTCAGTCTCTCGACCAGTCTCTTCACACCAATCCTCCATCCCTCTGGCCGCCAATATGTCTCAATAGCTGTGCGAAAGAGGAATGGGAACTGGATCTAGTGGGGTTCGGCTGTACTTGGTTGTGGAGCTCTTCGGCCAAGTACAATTGTACCTCTTCCGCGCGCTAGCTCTCATTGTCGTAAGTCACGTCGCGATGCGATCCTCCGAGTAAGAAATGGTAGCAATACTCCTCGGCTCGCCGGGCTATCGTCGAGTCACAGACTTGCTCCACATTCCCGACATCAAAATTGTATTAGATCAAACGTTAGTCACTAAAATCCTACAATCGTAGTCTTTGTATTTGTCAACCCGCCACGATTCTCAACTCCTCCTTGCCAGAAAGCATGCAATTGATGCCGTAGGTGTATGTAAAAGTTCCCCCTCCAGTCTTTACCCCTCATCACCAAGCAACCTTGTTGCCCGCGCAGTCACCTTCGCCCTTTCGCCCTCACCCACAGCGGACACCTCCGACATCCGGCATTGGATCTCCGGCGTTAGGAGAACCCACTCCATCCCAAGTTTTCCTCCATGTTGGCACGACATTCTCGAACTCGTTTTCTCTCTTCCAAATTTTTATCCTCGCAGAAGATCATTGCTCCCTCAACGGCCTTTCATCGCGGAATTGTATGTATGACGTAAAGCCGAGTGTCGACGCCGTGCAAATTACACCCCGTTAACGACCACTTCAATTGACACATCTTGTTTGCTAGTTTAACACGAACCCCGCGCTCAAGATGTCTACCCAACCCGCTCACCCCGCCCTCCTGATCCCCGGGCCCATCGAGTTCGACGATGCCGTCCTCCAGTCCATGGGCCACTTCAGGTAATTGCGTATCCGTATCGGACACAACTATCATGCCCACCAACCGTTCGCTTTCGCCTTAAACGAGGGGCAAACAGAAAAAGAAAAGAAAATAAATATACTAACAGAAGTTGAAACCAACAGTGAGAGCCATGTCGGACCCGGCTTCATCTCGGTCTTCGGCGACACGCTTTCTCAGCTCCGGAAGCTCTTCCAGACTACCGACCCGGCCTCGCAACCCTTCGTCATCTCCGGTTCCGGTACTCTCGGATGGGATCTCGTTTCCGCTAACCTCGTCGAGGCCGGTGACGATGTCCTCGTTCTTCAATCCGGCTACTTCAGCGACGGCTTCGCCGACTGCCTGACCACCTACGGAGCGATCGTTACTCAGGTCAAGGCCGCTCCCGGCTCCCGACCCCAGCTCGACGAGGTCGAGAAGGCCCTGTCCGCGAAGAACTACAAGCTCCTTACTGTCACCCACGTCGACACCTCGACCGGTGTGCTCAGCGAGCTGAAGAAGCTCTCTGAGCTCGTCCACAAGGTCTCTCCTGATACCCTCATCGTCGTTGATGGTGTGTGCAGTGTCGCCTGTGAGGAGATTGCTTTTGATGACTGGAAGCTTGATGGTGTCGTCACCGCCAGCCAGAAGGCCATCGGTTGCCCTGCTGGTCTCTCCATTTCCATGTTCAGCGGCAGGGCAATTGAGAGGTCTCAGACCAGGAAGACCCCTCCCTCTTCATACTTCGCCTCTATGAAGAACTGGACTCCTAGTACGCCCCCCCCCCTTCTTCTTCTTTGCATTATACCTCGCCCGATGGCCTCCTTCGCGTGAAAAGGGAGGAAATGCCAACTAACATTGTTTGAAACTAACAGTCATGAAGAACTACGAAGCCAAGAAGGCCTCCTACTTCGCTACTCCCTCTCCCCAGCTCGTCCGCGCCCTCCACACCGCTCTCACCCAGATCCTGGATAAGCCGCTTGCTGAGCGCTTCGCCCGCCACCGCGAGGCTTCTGATAGGATTAAGAAGGCCGTTGCCGAGCTCGGTCTCCAGCAGGTTGCCGCGAACCCCGACGACCAAGCCCACGGCATGACTGCTATGTACCTCCCCGAGTCCGTCAAGCCCACCGACATCCTCCCCATCCTAGGAAAGAAGGGTGTTGTGTTTGCTGGTGGTATCCACAAGGAGATTGCCTCCAGGTATATCCGATTCGGTCACATGGGTGTGAGCGTGGTAAGTTGTGCCTCCTTTGCCTTCATCGATAGTTTTGAAATATATCGACTGACTTGAAATAGCTTGACCCGTCGCGGAATGATATCGATAAAGCCCTCACTGCTCTCAAGGAGGCGCTTGCGGAATGTGGACATAGCAAGGCTTGACTGTAAGCCGCGGTGTGGAGTTCCTAGAAGGGGTTCGGGATAATGGAAAGAGAAAAAAAAAGAGCATCTGGTTTATTGGGTTCCTTTTTCAGGTAGACAAGGCAGCAACCACCCGTCAATACAGCTCATCAAAGCCGCCAAAAGTAGCCAAGGACATCCATTGCTGCCGTTTTAGGTTGTACCGACACCAATTTTGATGCTTTGATCTTTCAATTGTTCTCTGATTCAGTGGAGCATCAATCTCCCCTCCAGTTCTAGGCAGGTTCTTTCTGATCAGGCATCACGGTATGGCCTGCCCTGGCGGGTGACGTGACGTGACGTGGGGCCAGGCCAACCAGAATGGCCAAGCGACGTGTTCTTGATTGATCCGAACCTGCCGCTACACATACTCTCATGAATTACTATTTGCTCCTCCCCAGAATTTCTAAGGGATGCATGTCATTGACTGTGCATTTCAGATGTGATATAAGGAGAGTTATGATTGATGCTGCTAGCTAGCTCTTTCATTGATATTAATTTTATGATAAGGTTGGAGCATCTGAGTGAGAGCTCTGGTGATACCTGGAAGTACTAGGTACTTCATTTCTGCCTAGGTCTAAATCTTGAAATGCAGGTTGAGTGATGCATTAGAGCGGTTGGTGACGACGTCTCGGACTTCAATCCTCGGTGGTGGATCACCAAGCCTAGTGATTTGTAATCCTGTATTCTCCTCTTCTAAACTAAACATTAGTTGTTTATATATCGAGTCTGAAGATAACCGTGACTCGAGTTGTGACAGGACGTTCGAACGTTTCTAGTCCTTTTGAGCGGTTCAATGTTGGAGATCCTAAGCCGAATTCGGTGCATGCTGGAAGAAATTTGCTGCAGAACCACGCATCTGCATTCTGTGGATAGAGGGGTGGTGCTCTGGACTCTGGAGTAAGTGGTGTGTGGTTTCCATAGCAGCCAGGGTCAACGGCTCCATCACATCTATTGATCAATCAATCAATCGTTTTGGAGCCTTAAGCCACCGAGTGGATGAATTGGTGTCGAGCGGTGCTCCAGTGGCCCGCTACTAGACCGCCTATCACAGGAGAGCGTTAGGCGGCGCTTCCACTAACTTCCCGTTGTAAACGACTAGAACCTCCTGTTGTTTCCACGCTTCCACACCTGTGACGCGGAAAGTACTGGATACATCAAGACCCAGCATCGACCTTCTCCACTGCCCACTCGGCTGACAAAATTGGTCTACTTTGTCCCCGCCATCCACCACCTCGCCTTCCTCTCTCTGATGCTATCTGCCTCTGCACTGCACCTTCGATATACTCGGCCTCTCCACCCCCTCACCACTTTTTTTTACCCTTGAAATCTCCGTCCACAGTAGAGAGCCCTCTCTCCTCCTCTATCCACGATCCGATCGCCGAAACTCTCTCTTCTTCTCACAACATCACACCTCATCCCAAACCCCGCATTCATAAACTTCCCCGCCATTTCCCCCTCGCCGCGATCATGGCTGTCTCCATTGAGGAGCTCGACAGTCTTGTCCGCGACTTCTACGAAGGTCGCGGTGAGCAGGTATGCATCTTGTGGACATCGGGGATGCTCTTCCTCGCGATCAGTGACGCTGACTAGTTCTTTTCGCTCGTTGTATAGCAAAAAATGGCACAGGCCCGTCTAAACCAGGTATGAACGACCGATCCTCCCAGAAACATACCGAGTCGCTTAATAGCTAGGCACAAAGCTAACTTTTCGCGTCTCTAGTTCAAAGAAGATCCCGACGCCTGGCTCATGGTCGATAAAATATTGTCCGAAGCAAGCTACCCGCAGACCAAATGTATGCCTCGAACCCGCCCAAACATAAAACAAGTTTGCTTCCTTCCGCACTAGGTGGTAGATAAGGAAGGACGAGAAGCCGATGGACGCTGACATTGTATTCTGCAACTAGATTTAGGACTACAGGTCCTCGACCAGGTCATCATGACCCGGTGGAAGGTTCTGCCCCGCGAACAATGTCAAGGTGGGCAGGCTAGGACCATCCTGATTGCGTGCCCCGGGTTTCTCGCGGTGCTCGGGAGCTGTGACGCTGACTAGTTTATAGGTATCCGAAACTTCGTTGTTCAGTTCATCATTCAGTGCTCTAGCTCCGAAGAGTCCCTGCGATCCCAAAAGACGCTTCTGAACAAGCTGAACCTGGTCCTCGTGTCGGTATTGAAGCAGGAATGGCCGCACCAGTGGCCCAGTTTCATCAACGAAATCATCACGTCGTGTCATTCGAGCCTTTCGATTTGCGAGAACAACATGACGATTCTTCGTCTCCTCTCCGAAGAAGTCTTCGACTACTCCGCCGAGCAGATGACTTCGACCAAGACTAAGAACCTGAAGACGACAATGTGCGCCGAGTTTTCGCAAATTTTCCAGCTCTGCCAAGAGATTCTCACGACAGCGAATCAACCCAGTCTCATCAAGGCGACCCTCGAGACTCTGTTACGATTCTGCAACTGGATTCCTCTCGGTTACATCTTTGAGACTAATCTCATTGATACCCTCCGCAATCGATTCCTCGAAGTTCCCGAATTCCGTAACGTGACACTCCAATGTCTAACAGAGATCGGTGGTCTGCAGACGGGCGGACCTGGGCAGCCAACCTACGAGGAACAGCTGGTCAAGATGTTCACCGAAGTCCTAACCACCATCTCAAACATCATTCCCATCACGCTGGACCTGAAGGAGACGTACCCGGGCAGCAATTCGCGGGATCAAGAGTTTATCCAAAATCTTGCCCTCTTCCTGTGCAATTTCTTCAGCATGCACCTGAATGTAAGCTTATACCACTCACCCTCATCCTCCAGCGGCAATCTTTGCATTCTACTACACACCCTAGCTCCTCCGCGAAACATTACGATCATTTCTAACTGCGTGGTTCTAGCTTATCGAAAACCTCCCTAACCGCGACTTCTTGTCCCACGGACATTTCTACTTGATCCGAATATCCCAAATCGATGATCGCGAAATCTTCAAGATCTGCCTCGACTACTGGCTTAAGCTTGTTCAGGATCTCTACGATGAGATGCAGCAGCTTCCCATCACCGACGTAAACCCTCTAATGGCCATGGGAGCCGGCATCTCCGGCGGTGGCGCTCCCAACCCGGCTCTGCTGATGAACTATCCCCTCCGAAAGCACAAGTATACCGAGATTCTGTCAAACCTGCGAGTTGTTATGATTGAGAAGATGGTGAGGCCCGAAGAAGTCCTCATTGTTGAGAATGATGAAGGAGAAATTGTACGAGAGTTCGTCAAGGAAAGCGATACCGTGCAGCTCTACAAGACCATCCGCGAGTGCCTCGTCTATCTCACCCACCTCGACGTTGTGGATACGGAGAACATCATGACCGAGAAGTTGGCGAGGCAGGTGGACAACTCCGAATGGTCGTGGCATAACTGCAATGTTTTGTGCTGGGCTATTGGTTCCATCTCCCTAGCCATGAACGAGGAGACAGAGAAGCGCTTCCTCGTTACGGTCATCAAGGACCTACTTGGTCTGACTGAGATGAAGCGAGGAAAGGACAACAAGGCCGTTGTCGCGAGTAATATCATGTACATTGTCGGCCAATACCCTCGGTTCTTGAAGGCCCATTGGAAGTTCCTCAAGACGGTTGTCAACAAACTCTTCGAGTTCATGCACGAGTCGCACGAAGGTAAGGACACTCAACGGAATTCTTGGCATAGCCTTAGTTTGGTAGCTAACCTTGCTCGTTCCTCCCTTAGGTGTTCAGGACATGGCATGCGACACTTTCATCAAGATTGCCAGGCAATGCCGACGTCACTTCGTGGCGCTCCAGCCTAGTGAGCAGGAGCCTTTTATCGAGGAGATCATTAGGAATTTGCACAAGATTACTTGCGATCTCACGCCCCAGCAGGTCCACACATTCTACGAGGCATGCGGCTACATGGTGGCCGCACAAGGTAGCAAGCCCCAACAGGAGCGCCTACTTGCCGATCTCATGGCCCTGCCCAACGCTGCCTGGGACGAGATTATCAAACAGGCCACCATCAACCCAGCCATTCTCCAGGACGCCGAGACTATCAAGGTTATCGGCAACATCATGAAGACCAACGTCTCAGCGTGCACATCAATTGGACCTTACTTCTATCCCCAGATTGGCCGAATTTACCACGACATGCTCCAGATGTACCGCGCCACTAGCACGCTTATTTCGGAGGCTGTGGCCAAGGATGGTGAGTTTTCAGTTCAAGGAATGTCTTTTGATTCTCACTGACTAAAACTTGATTCAAGGTGAAATCGCTACCAAGATGCCTAAGGTCCGGGGTCTTCGTACCATTAAGAAGGAGGTCCTTAAGCTTATCGAGACCTACGTCGAAAAGGCGGAGGATCTACAAGCTGTCCGATTGCAGATGGTCCCCCCTCTTCTCGATTCGGTCCTGGTGGATTATAACCGCAACGTACCCGGTGCCCGAGACGCCGAGGTCCTGAAGGCCATGTCAACCATTATCTCAAAGCTCTCTGTAAGTATCGTTCCTGCCGGTACCACCGCCATCATTATTGACAGAACGGCGACTGACGCTGTGCGACTATAGTCTCTGATGGAGGACCAAATCCCTATCATTATGGAAAATGTTTTCGAGTGCACCCTCGAGATGATTAACAAGGACTTCTCTGAGTTCCCGGAGCATCGAGTCGAGTTTTTCAACCTCCTTAGAGCCATCAACTTGCACTGCTTCCCAGGTACGAACAAGAACCCCACCCCCCAACGTTCGAGTTGTTATTCCTCTACGGAAATGGATTTACTGACCGAGACGTAAATAGCATTACTCAAGCTTGACAACCGCCAGTTCAAGTTTGTTATTGACTCTTGTTCGTGGGCCTTCAAGCACGACAACCGAGATGTGGAGGCTGCAGGACTTAACATGTGCCTTGAGCTCATCAACAACATTGCCGAGAAGACTGATGTCCAGACGTCCAACATGTTCTTCCAGCAGTTTTTCATCCCAATTCTGCAGGACATCTTCTATGTCGTTACCGATCCCGACCACAAGGCGGGTTTCAAGACGCAGTCTATGCTGCTTATGAGGCTGTTCTACTTCGTCAGCCCTGCCGACGGCACCGCGCCCAAGATTCAGGGCCCGATCTATCCTCCTACGGAAGCGCAGCCAGGAACTGGAAACAAGGAGTTCCTAGCCAACTTTGTCGCAATGCAAATGAAGAATGCCTTCCCCAATCTCCAGCCGTGAGTCTACCTTCCCCCCCCCCCTTCACCCCTAAAACCAGTGAAGAACCGGGACAGAATCAGACTAACAGAAGTAGGGCGCAAATCGCATCGTTCGTGGAGAATCTCTTTGCGTATAACACGCAGTATGACAAATTCCGACTTAACCTGCGAGACTTCCTCATCTCCCTCAAGGAGTTTGCTGGCGACAATGCCGAGCTTTACGTTGTGGAAAAGGAGCAGCAAGAGCGCGATGCCAAGGCTGCCGATCTCGAGCGCCGAGCCAAGGTTGGCGGTCTCTTGAAGCCGTCGGAATTGGAGGAGGATGAACTATGACTGGGCGAAGAGCTACGTACGGAATTCGCGCCTAGCCATGGCAGTCCCAGCCTCGGAACTAAATTCGAGGGTAAAACGGAGCAAGATGGTTTCGACGGCTGGGACATATACGGATTGTGACCCGGGCCGACGAAACGGGACAGCCAGCATATTTGGAGCAAGGGTTCACCCGGCAAGAGGTGTAATTCGAGTCGTGTCTCTCTCGCTGGGGAGCGCTGAAGTTCTGGCCACAATCTTATTTGTAGTGATACCAAAATGGGTCCTCAGAGGACAAGTTATTAGCGTTTTTTCACGTTTTCTTTTCTTTTCTTATCCCCTAGAACGCTTTATTCGGTCCTGTTTACCCCCCAGGGAGAGGAATGATCCGAAAGCAGAAAAAGTTTTATATTCACGTCGGCGAAGTGTACTTAACGGGGGAGTTGAAAAAGCTAGGCGGGTTCGGTTATTACGGGAAGGAAAGGAGATGAAAAATGGAAAGGGGGGGATGAACGAAATGCGCGGCTTCTTGTGAACAGGTTTTTTTTCAGTTCAAGATTTCCATCTTCCCATCTTCTGTTTCTTTCTCTGGTTTCCTCGTTCCGTCATTGCTTGTGCTTCCTCTTGTTCTAATTTGTTGTCGTTGTGTGGGGCTCGAAGGTGCGGTGACACTTGCCTCTATGCATCCATGGTGGTCGATGAATGGTTTCGTGTGAAGGATCTTAATACGGCTTGCTGGAGGGGCATTTCTAAACTGTTTTAAAAGAGGAGTATAAGTCCAGTATCCCGAGTGCTCTCTCTAATACCACCACTCACTACCCTTCTTCCTTGACTTCATTACATTGCCGGTTAGACTAATCCAATCTGATATATAACCCCGGCCAAGGAATGTCGAATTCAAGGCTTCCAGGAAAGAGGGTTTGTCTAAAAGGTTATCTAGCTGACTACCGTCTCCCTCAAGCTAGAGGGAGCTCCAGCGCCCTTTGATATTATTTTCTTCTGTCGGAATGCCACGTCGAGGAGAGATAAGACAAGAAGAGTATGGGTCGAATGTCGAGAAAGAAGTCGTTTCCGAGTTGGCTTCCGATCTGTTGAATATATCATGTCTCCAAGTTCTATTCACCACGTTAAGGAGGAGTTGGAGTCAATAGCATGTACCTCTTTTTCTTCTCGGCCTCTGCCTTCTTTATTGAAATTAATTATTATGATTATGTCTAAATAGGATCATCCCCATAGCTCCCCCTAGCCAGCTTCCTAAGCCTTCACAAATAACCTTCCTTTCAAGTCCAGCTGTCGAAGGGGCGTGCAAGGCATTCGGAGAGCCTTCGGGAACGAATATATAACGGGCAAGCCCTCCATTCCCCAACCAATGCTTCCAACAGGTCTTTTTCTAGAGGCTAGAGATGGACTCCGTGGGATCGGCAGTGCCTAAGAATTATTATACCAGGGTCAGAAATCACATAGACATCTGTCGGATTTCAGAAGGAGAGAACTTACTGTTGACGAACCTGTATCTGACGTTGTCGTACTCTTCAGCACCCCCAATGCCTCGGCTCGCAAACCTACCTAGGAAGCGCCGGAGCGCAGGGTTCAGCATATTCACCTGAATAGTCTCTCCAGTGAGACTTTGGCCCCAGAGGGCAACGGGGATATCTGAATAACCATCAAGTAATTTTCGAGGCTGGACTTCAACCAGGCAATCGGAGTCTCCTTGGCCGAAAACGGTTGGCAGATAGTCTGAAATGAGAGCTTTGCACTCGTCGACGAGGGTGGCCATTTTCAAAGGAAGTGTCTAATATCGAAGAAATGGAGAGGCAATAGATTTTGCGAAAGTGTGAAGATGTGGAGCGGAAACTAGAGTTCAACAGTGTTGGTCTCTCTGTCGAGGAAGCTTCTTATATACATCGTGAGGAACAATATCTATTCATAGTGAAGAATGAACAAGGGACAAACATATGCATTCATTGCATTCAATCTAAGTGATGGCTGGTGACAGCCAGATTGAATGGAAGTAAGTGTTTGATCTCAGGAACAATAGTGGAAAAGTAGAATGCTAGAAAGGCAATAGATTCCGGGATAGTGTGAGGGTGAGGAGCAGGAATCATAGCCCAACAGAGTTGGTCTCTCTAGCAGCCTTGTATCTTCATTACGAGAAAGGAATGAGCAGTGAATATAGATGTCCATTGCTTTTGATTTATTCAAATGGTGACTGGCGGCAGGTCAGGTTGGTATAGTTTGGTAATAGTTTTCTTATATTCATCGCGAGGAATGAACGAGGGGCGAACATAGATATTCATTGCTTTCGATTTATTCAATGATGCCTGATGGCAGGCAGATTAGTTCTAACGGTGGCACCTTCCTCTATGTATCCATGGAGGTCGATGAAGGGTTTCGTGTGAAGGATTCCAAAGTGTTTTGAAAAGGAGTACGAGTCCCATGACCCGAGTACTCTTGTACTCTTGCTAATGGAGATCCGTGGACGAAATTTCTTTGCCGCATACCAGGTTATACGAAATGGGCAACTTGATGGCCCTACATGGCGTCGCCATGTTGCTACTGGCCGCCAAGGTCGGGGGCCATAGGCCACGGCCTGGCTATCTTTCCCTGAACCGCACTTTGTCAACATACTCACCGTCCCATGTCATCTGTGCCAGTGTTTGGAAAACTCGCGACTTATATTGTTACGGTGAAGAGGGGGAGGGGGTACAAAGGGGAGAGATGAGGTGCTTCATATGGGCCTGTTGATGTGATGTGCCCTTATTTCCTCGGTTTTGACTCTGATGAATAGAAAAAGGGAGCTCCATTGTTATGGCCAAGAGTACTGGTGATAGGAGACTTTCTGTATTCAACAGATCGGGAAGCGGTTCTTCAGTACCGAATCTCGATATTCACCCTTCACCCGCACTCCCCTCGTCTATCTCGCCTTGATGTGACATTGTCCATATTTTCCTTCTTCTTTGATTCATCAATATAATATGAAATAGCGCCGGCACCCTCTCCAGTCTGAGTAGTCCCCAGGATACCCCTCCAGACAAACACTCATTTCCGGAAGCCCTCGCATTCGACATCCTTAACCTAGGTTATGTGCGAGAATGAAATAGTCTACTCGGTACTGTAACAAAGCAAGGAAACAGGATGTTCACGTCCACGCGCACGAAAGCCTGCTCGATGCTAGCATTAGCTAACGTCCTTTCCCTTTCCCTGCCTGCTCATCTCTTCACGGCCTAGTTCTGAGAATAGGGCCGTAGATAATAGCTTGATTATTATTAGTTATCAAATCCGATTTCACATCAGGTGCCATCATTCTTACTCACCCATGTCCTAGTCCAGGATGAGCTGTTCATGGAAAGGAGGTGAAGCCGGCCCAAATGATTCAAGAGACCTCAATGCTGGGATGGATGTGCTAGACACATCTTTGCTAGAGGTTCCTATACGATGTCGTGAAATGCGTCCGTGAGCCTCCGGCAATACATTAACACATTCTCAATGAGGATTAGCCTAGGAATGATGATTTTGAATCAATTCTTCGGATTACGACTGCATAGAACCATCCCCATCGCTTCTCCTACTCCTAGCCAGCGGAGTTTTCACAATAACTTCCCTTTCAAGTCCAGCTATCGAGGGGGTGTGAGGAATTCGGAAAGCCTCAAGCTCCCGAGATCAACAGGTAAAGGGCAAGACCTCCCCTTTCCCAACCAATGCTTCCAGTTGATCTCTTTCCATCAGAGGCTACTCTCGTCCTCGGTGAGCTCCTCCGAGTCTAAGAATTATACCAGGGTCAGAAACCTCACGCATCAATCGATGGACAACTGTCGAATTTCATAAGAAAAGATGGAACTTACTCAAGACGAACTTATATAAGACGTCCTGGTACTGTTCAGCGCCCCCAAGGCCGCGGCTTGCAAGTCTCGCTAGGAAGCGCCGGAGCCCGGGGCTCATCATATTCACGAGGATCGGTACTCCAGTCAAACTTACCCCCCAAAGGGAGATCGGGACGAGTGGGGAACCGTCAATCATTTTGCCAGGATAGACCTCAGCCCAAATATACATGCCCCCAAGGCTGCACTCCGTGGGTAGGACCACAGCAACTAAGGTCTCGCACTCAGAAACAAAATTGTGGGACATCGTGAGATTTAGAATGTGTTTGATAGGATGGAATAGAAGTAAGGTAATGGATTCTTGGAAAGCGTAAGGATGGGGAGCAGAAATCACAGTTCGACAGCTCCGGTAAGGCAGCTTTTTATCTTCATCGTGAGGAACGAACCAAGGACGCCCACAGATCTTCATTGCTTTCGATTTCTTCAAATGATGACTGGCGGCAGGTCAGAACAGTGGCTGGTCTGACGGCAAACTCCTGCAGACTGTTTGAAAAGAAACAATTGAAACAAAGCTGAAGAGTATCAAGATCAAGATTCCCAGAGATTTGGGACAAGAGGCTCATTACCAGTCAGACCTCGCTTCTTCAACCTCTCAGCCCTCTTGTCAAGGTATGCAGCATATGGCAACTTGGGGGTGGTTTTAGCTTCGTCGGCCCAGATGTCATATCCAGTTTCATCCCATACCACCAACTGTTCCATGAAGTTCGATTTGAGATTGACATTCTGCTTCTCCTTAATGAGAGCCAAAGCTGAGTCTGGAGAAAGGTGGTGCTTTCGCATAAGGTAGGCCGCAACCACAGCAACGGCACGACAGGTGCCAGTCGTGCAGTGCACCAGGACGTGTTTGTTCGTCTCGCCACGCATCTCCTCGATGAAGTCGCACATTTCAGTCATACGAACTAGAAGATCTTGGGTTGAAGAAGCGGCACATGGGACCAGCAGGTGCCGTGCGGCAGGAACTATCTTCCGGTTCGATGCATAGCGCCATCTTGCTGAGTCCCCCTTCTGGAGGGAGAGCTTAGCAGTGATGTTGTTTTCGGCGAGACAATCGGCCTCGTAAGAGCTCATCAGATCGCCGATGTATAGACCGGGTTCGATTTCCGAAATTTTAGGGTCTGGAATGTTTGGAAAGACGAACGGCGGCCTCGAGACCGGTTCTGCGACGTCTAGAAAGTCGAATGGCTGCATCCTGAACGGTTTTGCGATCACTGGATTGCTTTGATTGTGGGCGGAGATGTATCGTGACTAGGTGGAAGCGAGGGTGTGTAGGATGAAGGTTGTTGGCTGTGTGAGAAGAGGTATAGTGTGTGACTGGGTGGAAACGAAGAAGCTGACTCTTGGGGAGTGGATGATGACTAGATGGGAGTGAGGTGTCTGTCGACTGTTTGAGATGGAAGTGAAAAGGTTGACTGTTTGAGAAGATGAGTGGTGCTACCTGCGGCTCTTTATAGCTCGGTAGAGTCCTCTTCACATGGAAAAAAAACAAGAAATCAACACCAAGCACAGATTATTTGTGAGGCAAAGAATCAAGAATGGGATTCGTAAGGGAAAGGAGAGCGACAACAGAGCGAGCACTTCAACAACCTAAATCACATGTAATCTCAGCTGCTTGCAGGTGTGTGGTTGCGGTTGCGTTTTGCGGTTGCGTTTTGCGGTTGCAGGCGGGTGTCACTACCTTTGACGTCATACGTAAGTAACGTTGGTCATCACATGAGGAAACTTGGAGTTACAATTGTAGAACCCATCAAATTTATCACAAGCTACAATTGGTGAGGTTGAAAATGCAGTTGATATTTCATCTTTTCCGGAAAATGACACCGTGATTCCCCGATCCGAGTCTCCACTCCGCCCTCCGGCCCGGCTCCGAACCCTAGCGAGATAGGGGATAGCGCCTGCCGTTTTAGGAACCCAAATTTAGACGCGAGAGGCAGCGGACATTTCGCAGGATCCCAGGGGTAGGAATTTTAGGAATTTACACTACCCTTTGAAAGACATCAGATCAAGCAGACTGGCGAAATCAACCAAATTTCACGGCAAAGGACAGGTTCTATCGTTATGTTTTGTAAAGACAAATAACTGTGCTGTCTTCCGAAGCAGTTTAGACAGAGCTTTTTCCTTCCCCACCCTCGTCCATTTGTTTCAGTCGGACGCTCAGAAGGACGCAATCCGGAAGTGATGCTTGATATGGCCGACCCAGATCCGAATGACGAGATGCACTTGCTGGTCACACCAAACGAGGCATAAACAGGCCCGGCCTAGAGGCTTTCGATAGTGGGGTCGTGGTGGAATACGGAGCTTCTCAGATGTGCGTGATCGTGACTGTTGACTGTGATCGGTGAAGTGAACCCGATTCAAGAGAGACGGGCGAAGAGATGGAGCCTAGGCTGGCAGTCGTCTTGGGGATAGGAATGCCATCTAAAATAGTTTCTGGGACAATGGATAGATAACATCGAGCGTCGCGTCTGATACAGGAACCATCTGAATTACTCACTCTCACTGGCGTTACCGGCTCCAAACGGGCAGCCGCTAATACCGGCCGAGAGACTCACCACATTGATTGATGTATCGGCACTCTTACGCCGCCTTGGAGATATCCTACAGGCCAATTCCAGTGCATCTCAGGTGCGTAAAACGAGATTGTCCATGGTCAAGCTAACTGTGTGCTGGTTCCTCAGATTCTGAGAGAGTACTTGACCTTATGCTTCGATCTCCTGAGAACTTTTTAGATGGAATGTGGAAGAAATGGCGTATCTCACCAGTCACAAAGCTCTCTCTCCCCCCACACATTCAGGACTTCTTCCCTACCCTAGAGAAAACAAGTTCGGATGTTAGAAGGCCTTGGGGTTGGCACTACGCCGCACCGGCGGTCTGATCCGTTGGCGTGCGTTCTCATCAAGCG